GCCATCTGCTGACACTCTCAAAGTATGTCAAGATGGCTCGTCCCGTGCTGTAACGAGCGCCCGCTTGTGAGGGTCAAGTAGGAGAGTATAGTGTACATGGGCGAAGGTGTTTTCTGACAGAGTCTTTGAGAAATTTTATATTCAGAATTGCTGTAGTATCCAAAACTCGATGAAAAGCTTTCTCCGAAATAGCTTACAGGTGTCGAATTTTTGAGATGGCCGGAACACTGACCTGGGGGGATGTCAGCAAAGGTCCTCGCAGTCGTGGAGGTAGTGACTCCACCAACTGCAAACAACAGCCTCGTCGTGCTACATTCTCGCTGCCGTTGCCAAAGCAGCAAGACCTGGACGGCTGTCACTGCTGAACAAGATTCCCTTCCCCGTTTTCTACCGTCTTTTGCTCCAAACAATGGCCTCGGACGGCGACCGATCCGACGAGCAGCGACCGCTGCTTCACGAGGGCGCCTCGAGTGTTGGTGGTGACGCGGCCCTGCCCAAGACGACAACGACGACCCAGCCAACAGCGTCGTCGTCGTCGTCGTCGTCGTCGTCGTCGTCGTTGTGGTCGCGCCGCGGGCTCCTCGTCTCTTCGCTGCTCATCCTGCTCACGTCCAACCTGACGGCGATTCTCGTGGACACGGCGAGCAACCAGCTGATTGAGGGCGCGGCGTGCAAGCAGCTGCATCCCGAAGTGACGGACTGGTACAAGGACCCCGTGTGCAAGAAGAGCCTCGACGTGCAGGACCGTCTGGCGCTGATTGCGGGGTGGGAGTACTCGTGGTCGCTGGTGCCGGGCCTGCTGCTGGCGATCCCATATGGCGTCTTTATGGATCGGTACGGGCCGCGGGCGATGCTGATTCTCGTCGCGCTCGGTGGCGTCATTACGCAGACGCTCTACCTGGTCGTCAGTGAGTATTTTTTTTTTTCCATGTTGCAGGTGTTGTTGTTGTGATTTTGCCGTACTGATCAGCGGGGTTTGTGTGATGAAGCCCAGTACCCGGAGCTCTTTGATTTACGCATGCTTTGGGGTTGTGTGTTTATCGGCTCCGTCATTGGTGGTGGTAACATCGGTTGGCAAGCCGTTGTTTACACCGTGTGCAACATGATTGCGTCAAAAGACAACAGGTGTGCCATTTTTTCACCGAAGCAATTGTATAGGCAGTCCTCTCTAACTTTTTGCCATCACAGGGCCGAGATCCTCTTCTACGTGTCTTCAATCACCACATTAAACATGCTATTTGGAGGGTTCCTTGTCTACTGGGCAATGAATATCGGGCCCGTATTTGCACAGTCACTCGGCTGTGTCATATTTGTCGTAGAACTTGCATTGTCCTTTACGCTGCCTGGCGGGTTGGCCTCGGGCGAGCCTGTGACGCAAACTGACAGTAACGCTTCTGCCTGGCAAGCAATCGTTCACGGCCTGAGCGGAACCAAAAAAGGCGTCATGGGCTTTGGCAAGCTCTTTAGCCAGAATCGCCAGTTGGGGCTTTTACTGATAAGCCTTGTGATTTCCACCATTGGCATCAGACAGTCGGGCATTCGACAGCAATATGCAACTCACAGATATGGCTGGTCTTGGGCAAAGGTAAATTGCGCTAATTTTATGCATTACATTTTCTTGAAAAAAGTTGTAATACTGACTGTTCTACCTTATTTAGGCCGGTTTAATGGTCTCCGTGACCTCTACTACAACGCTTGTTGTTATGGTTCTCCTTGTCCCATTTGCAAGTCGGCACCTACTAAAGACCCGGTCCGCCATGGGAAAGGATCTCGTTATTGCCCGTGCCGGCATCCTTTCACTCGCCTTTGGCAGCCTTTTCGTGGGTTTGGCCAGGACATCAGAGCAGTTTATTGCCGCACTCGTCTTCTACATGACGGAAAGCTGCTACATGCCGGCGATTATTAGCACCATTGCCGCCATGGCGGGCGTTGATAATATCCAAGCGGACCGTACTGGCTCTCTCTACATGGCGGTCGTGTTCATGAATAATTTGGGCGCCATAGTCGCCGGACCAATTATTTCTTCGCTTCTTCGTGTTGGCATGAGTCTGGGGGGTGACTGGGTCGGTCTGCCGTTCTTTGTCGAGGCAGCCATACAAATTGTTACCATTTGTATTGTCTTTAGTATCAGAGAGAGCCACTACAAGCGTCTTCAAACACAAGAAGATGGGCAAGACTCGACGTCTGCTGCATCAGCTTAGCATGAAAACAGCAGCGAGTCTGGGGCAACCTAGTTGGAGCAGACCAGTTGGGACTGATTTGTCTCTTGCTGATACGAGGCATCGTACTATACAGAGATGAAATGGGGGGGTTGCCAAAAGATCGTCCTTGGCTAGATGCATATTTTTGCTTCGTGAAATCTCGAAATATTGATCATGCGATATCTTGTGTAGCTTCTCGGCCTCGACAGAGTCGGGTAGATGCAGCGGTTAAACCTGCATGAGACGGAACGTGACAGCAGCGCGTGAGCAGTTATGATTCGAGCTGTGATCAGACAACTCGATAATTGTGCCTAGGGGAGGAAGTTGGAGAGGTCTTTGACGTCTTGGCAAGCTGCAAGAGGAAGTTGATGCCGTGTTAATTTGGGACGGCCAAGGCTGTGCGTGATGGCTGTGCGGGTGGTATCAGATGCGCTCTAGGCGGATGCGCTGCGACATTACAGGGCCGAGCCACTTGTACTGCCGTTACTGCACAGCCGGCACGATGCACAGATTTAGCTCGGCAGCTCGCCGGCATGTGTGCAGTTTCATTTGAATCAATTGGCTGTGCATATTTCAAAGTGCATGGAAATGGATCAGATGATATAGTCCCTTTTTCTGAACATTCCTCAAAAAGTGCGCAAGACCCATTAGTTTCATCAGAGACCTCTCTAGAGTGTGTGTGTGTGAGGTGGGGCGGTTGGCACCAACACGGGCGGGTTGCTTGTTCCCCGAACTCGTTCCTGGTGCGGGGAGAGAGCTAGCTTTCGGGTGCTTCACGAGGGATCCACAGTGGAAGCAGCAGAGGGTACCTAGAGCTAGGTGTCTAGGTACCTAAGGTAGGTACCTACCTGCATGGTACCTACAGCAGCGACTTACAGCGGCAGATGAATATTGGCGCCGCCATTCTTTGCTGCCACCCGTCATTACACCATTACACCCGCTATCACCAGTAACTAATACAAGACTGCCAAACATGCCTGTCTGCCTAGGTCTATTTTGCCCACAGGTGGCCATTGACCTGCTGCCGGCCTGGCTTGTTCCTACCTTATCCTTGGCACAAGGGAGGCCCCATGATCCACACCAGTCCCCGCTACACCCCCGCAGTACCAATGCACGCTCTGGTACTGAAGTAGGTTGGTAGGTACCTGGGCAGGTGGTAGGTACTCAAGAGTTAACTCACTCAACCACGCGTGCCACCGTGCTCCCCTTCCCGACAAATGGCACGACTCCTTGTCTGCTGACAACCTTGAGCATTTATACAACTGCAACCCAGCATCAAGTGACTCTCGAATTCACTTCTCAACGTTTTAAGCTTGTTTTCTGAAAGAGGAAGGTTGTGTTGGTAATAGTCAACTCTGTCAACATCCTTCTGCAGGCAACAAACCATCTTTTCGACTATAAATACAATCCCTCGGTGCGCCGCTTGCAACACTCGATACGGCTTGAAACAAGCTTTCATCTGTATTCGCAGATATCTGATATTCATCACAACGACTTCAAGTATTAACCGCCCTTTGCCGCGTCGCTTCTTCCTGCGCACGGCAATGACGGAAGCGCACCTTTTTCCGGGTGCTGTTCCAGATTGGAGCACCCAAAAGGTCATTCATCGCAACACCCTTTACCCCAGAAGCTATTTCTACTTGTATGACAAGGAAGAAGATGCCTTGACCCGAGACATCAACAAGGCCAAAGTTCAATGTCTCTCCGGTACTTGGAAATTTGCAGTCTCCAAGTCCCCGTTTGAAGGACCACGACACTTTTATCGCAAGCACTTTGACACTTACGCCTTCTCCGACGTCAGTGTCCCCGGCCACTGGCAGCTACAGGGCCATGGAAAGGGTCCTCACTACACCAACTTTGACTATCCTTGGCCCTGTGACCCCCCCAATATTCCGTACGAGGATAATGAATGCGGTCGCTACGTGACACGCTTCCATGTAGGAGACCACTTTGACGGACACCAGCTCCGCCTCCGTTTCGAGGGCGTTGACTCTGCATTCACCGTCTGGGTCAATGGCGAGGAGGTTGGCTATTCTCAGGGCGCGCGAAACCCCAGCGAGTTTGACGTGACCAAACTCATCGAGCTGGGTCGCGAGAATGTCCTTGCCGTCGAGGTATATCAGCGCAGTGACGGAAGCTACATCGAGGACCAAGACGAATGGTGGCTGAGCGGCATCTTTCGCGACGTCTACCTTCATGCCTTCCCCAAGACACATCCCACCGACTTCTTTGTCACCACCGACTTGGACGACAATTTCAAAGACGCCACACTCAATGTCAAGGTCGACACGAGCGCATCATCGCGCGTCGAGCTGAAGCTCCTCGATCACACTGGTCACTCCGTTATCTCGGACACCAAGGTTGTCGACACCTCTTACAAATTTTCTTTGGCTGTCGCGAATCCCAACAAGTGGACTGCGGAAACGCCGTATCTGTACACCCTTGTTCTCAATTTCCTCGACGGACAAGGCTGCAGTCTGGCCCAGAAAGTTGGTTTCAGAGTTGCTGGCTTGATTGATGGCATTTTCTGTGTCAACGGCAAGCCTATCAAGTTCCGTGGCACAAATAGACATGAGCATCACCCTGACCATGGCCGAGCGGTCCCATACGAGTTCATGAGACGAGACTTGCTCACAATGAAGCGCCATAACCTCAATGCCGTCCGCACGTCTCATCAGATCAATGACCCCAGACTCTACGACGTTGCCGACGAGCTGGGTCTCTGGATTCTCAACGAGGCTGATCTTGAATGCCACGGCATGTTTCGCCTCAAGGACAACGCTTTGTCTGACAATCCAGAGTGGGCCGAAGCCTATGTCGACCGTGCCAGACAGATGGTGTGCCGCGATAAAAATCACCCTTCTGTCATAATGTGGTCCTTGGGCAATGAATCCTTTTATGGAAGAAACCACCAAGCCATGTACGACTACATCAAGAGTGTCGATGTCACACGTCTCGTCCACTACGAGGGTGACCAGCAGGCCAAGACGGTTGACATCTATAGCCGCATGTACTCGGGGGTCTCGTGGATTGAAGATTTCGCCAAGGAGCGTGATTGGGTCAAGCCGCTCGTCATTTGTGAGTTTTTGCACGCCATGGGCAACTCGTGCGGGAACGCCAAAGAGTATGTCGAAGCCTTTTACAAGCATCCCCGTGTTATGGGTGGCTTTGTATGGGAATGGAACAACCATGTACGTTATAGATTGACTCGCACTTTTGTAAGTCCTTTGCTGACAGCTTCTAGGGTCTGCGCACTAGAACCAAGGATGGAGAGGAGTACATGGGTTATGGAGGTGACTTTGGTGACGAACCAAACGATAGCAACTATGTCATGGATGGCATGATATGGTCAGATCACATTCGTGGCCCTAATTTGATCGAGTACGCCAAGGCCATTGAGCCTGTACAGACCATCTCGGTAGAGGGGAATGTGCTCACAGTCATCAATCGTTACGACTTGATTGGCCTCGACCACGTCGAGGCGACTTGGGAAATCAGAGCAGACGGCGTCAAGAACCTTGCGAGCGGCGACATTGCAATCCCTACCAGTATGGCATATCTTTGAATCGTCTTCGGTCCAGACTAACAGGCGTGTAGGTGTCAAACCCCACAGTGAAGCCAAAGTCACCCTCGAGGGGTACAGCTCCGACCTGGTCAAAAAGCTGGCCGGCGAGTCGTACCTTTTTATCTCGTTCAAGCTTCGAGAGGATACAAGTTGGGCAAAGGCCGGACACCAGGTGGCATTTGGCGAGTTTCAACTTTCCAAGCCTGTTGCTCTTTCAGACTCACTGCCCATGCAGCTTACCAGCGCCAAAGCGCATGTTCGCAAGACATCTGACACGGCGCTTGAGATCTCCTCGGCATCCGGTAACTCTAAATGGAGCTTTAATCTCCTCCGTGGCGAGCTCAACGGCTGGACCAGGTCGAGCCAGCCGGGCCTAAACCTGCTTTCAGAAGGCTTTACCATGGACTTTTACAGAGCCCAGACGGACAACGACAGCCGTGGTCATGGTAGGAAGTGGAAAGATAGTCGTCTTCACCAAACAGGCATGCATGTGCGCCAGGTGAAGTGGATGTCCATCTCTGGCGGAGTACAGATTGAGGTGACTGCCAGAATTGCGCCACCCGTGCTCGCTTGGGGTGTCGATACTGTCTTGACGTACACGTTCCGCGGCGACTCTATTCACGTGCACGTGCACGGCAAGGCACAAGGAAACGATCTTCCGGACACATTTGCGCGATACGGCATCTCAGCGGGCATCAAGGGCATCACCAATGTGACTTGGTGGGGACGCGGCCCGGGCGAGTCATACCGAGACAAGAAGCTGTCGCAGTCGATTGGCAACTGGGCGTTGACCGTAGATGACTTGTTTGTGGACTATGAATATCCACAGGATGGCGGCAATCGCACCGACGTCCGGCAGGTCGAGTTCCACGGGGAAAACGGCCGAATCATCCGGGCCAACTTTGGCGCACAGGACGGCGCCAGCTTCAATGCAGTGCACTATTCCACTATGGACATTGAGGCGGCTCACCATCCGTACCAGCTGCGCCGCAAGAAGAGGCATGATAGCGTGGTGAAGCTGGACTGGCTGCACCACGGTCTTGGCGGAGCGTCGTGCGGTCCTTGGACGCTGCCGCAGTACTGCCTGTACACGAATCGAGAATTCGACTTTGAGGTCTTGCTCGATTGAGGGGCGACTGTGAGTTTGCATGGAAACGATTGGATGCTTTGTTTATTAGCCAGATTTTCTAGGATACTCCTTAATGCCACCCGCGTAGTGCTGATTCGGTCGCAAATAACGTGCTGATCACGCAAGGACGCCGTGTTACAGTAGTCTTGCAGGGGAGCGTGCATGCGCGTGTCCTTTTCCCCCTTGCCGGGTGCATTTCGTACGCCGCCACGCATATAACTGGCAGGCTCTCACCGATCTTTCTCAGCCGGGTGCTACGTAGGCTTGCAGCAGGCAGTGCATGGCTTCTGCAGGGTCCCGATGTCTTACAACTCGAGGATGGTTGCTTTTTTGGTGTCGAGTTAATCCGTAGGCTAACTATATAAAGCATTGGCGATTCCTCGCTTGCGTCGTGCTAAATTGACTCACTATTTTGCAAGTTGAAGTTTCGGCCCCCTATTTAGAAGAAGAGAATCATGGCTCCTCCTGGCATCCTTCGCAGCGACACTGAAGAGTCCACAGTGAGTGCGGCGGTCAGTACTGGCCTGTCGAACTGCAATGGCTGCGTCAAGATTGCTAGAGCAGAACAATTTCTTCAACGGAGCCTGAAGCCGGAAAAACGTAAGTCGAAGTGTTTTTCCTTGTCATCTTTCTCCATGAACCCAGTCGGTCATTATTAGACATGTCTATGCTGTGGGTGAGTCAGAGTCGAAAAATATTGCTTCCATACGAATGAAGCGAAGCCACCGCCAAGTTCCACTAAAAATCGCAATGACACAATTCCAGCACACCATCGTCGGCGGCGGTCCATCGGCCTGCAAAGTTGCATGGCTCGCAAGACAGACTTTACTTTTGCCATGCTACTTCTCTCCTGTGCTTCTCATTACATTTTTCCTGTTTTTCTTTCTTTCTTTTTTTTCTTCAATCACTTTTCTCCCACAGAGTTATCCGGCTGTCAAAGCATCGATTGACTACACGCCCTGCTTCTATCCCCCACGCATGCCACCTCGTCTGTCCCCGGTCCCTTGATTCTGGCCACCACACGCGATCACGCAGAGCTTCGGGCTCTCACCGCATCACACTCGTACCATGCCGTCGCTTACGCCTGATGCAGTCGTTGCCACCGCAGCATCTCTCAGCCCCCCTCCGACAGAGGCTGCGCCCGAGAGCAAACCGAAGCTTCTTCACAGCCTAGAGCACGGCAGCGCCATCCTCGCTCTCGCCGCGAGCCCCGAGCACGATGCCATTTACGCCGGCACGCAAGACGGCGAGATTATAACATGGTCGCTCTCGACCTTTCACCAACTTCGACACGTCCAGGCGCACAAGCGCAGCATCCTCTCGTTGTTCCTCTCCCCCGACGGCAAGCTGCTCTTCTCCAGCGCAGGCGATCCCATCATCAACGTGTGGTGCCCCAAGACCCTGCGCCACCTATACGAGATTTACGGCACCTACGACGTCGGTGACATATTCAGCACCGCCTATAGCACCCAGCACGACACGCTGTACGTCGGCGCGCAAAACACGTCGATCCAGTGGGTGCGGCTTAGCGACCCGGCTGCCGTCGTGGCTGCGGGCTCGCAGAAGCACCCCGACCGCCGAAACCACAGATTCTTCGACTCCAAGGCCGTTGGTGGGACGTGCACGCCGAGGCGAAACGAGGACCGGTGGGCGCTGATTCCCCGCGCCAACACGGTGCTGGAGATTGACGGCGGCTCCATTCGCAACTTTGCGCATTATGGCTATGTCTACTGTATGCTCATGGCCAAGGGCCCTACTGTGCTTGTGGATGAAGAAGACGATGTTTTGATTTCTGGTGCAGGCGATGGCACCATCAAACTCTGGGCGCTCGGTCGCGGCACACGAGAAGGTCTGGACGAAGACGAGCCTGATCGCGGCACGCTTGAAGAAATCATGACCTTGGGGACGGATGACGCAGAATCTGTACTCTCGCTGGCTATTGATGGGTCATTCTTGTATTCTGGAAAGCTGGATGGTGTTGTTGAGCTGTGGGATCTCGACACTGCGCAAAAGTTGAGAGTCATCAAGACGGGCGAGTCCAACATTATGGCTCTGCAAATGGCCTGCGGCTTCCTGTGGACTGGGTCTACAGATGGTCATGCAAGCGTAAGTGCCGTCACACATGGTAGCACACGATGTTCGACTAATTTTTATCATCAGAAATTCAGCACCGTGCACTACGGCAAATATCAGCATCCTACGGACAAAATCACACAAAAATACCAATGCCTCGGCCGCTGGAAAGCTCACCAAGGCAAGATTCTGGCTTCTGCAGTGGTAAATTACCGTAACGAGCAGTTTTATATAACTGGGGCCAACGATGACAACATTCGCATCTGGGAGGTTACAGGTTCAGATACCACGGTCGCGGAAACTGCAGAGGGCGGCGATGACCCTTTGCTTTCCACTTTGGTAGACTTTGTCTCCTACAAGACAGTTTCGTCCAAGCCAGAATTCGCAGAAGACTGCCGTAGAGGCGCGACGTTTCTCGGTGCTCTGTTTAAGCGCCTGGGCGGTGATGTCGAGATGCTCAGCACAGAACGCGGACACAACCCCGTCGTCTACGCCAAGTTCTCGGCCAAGCAGGAGTCGGCCAAGACGCGGAAACGGATCCTGTTTTACGGTCATTACGACGTTGTCGCTGCCGACAATGAGACGGGCAAATGGGCAACGGATCCATTCACCGTGACGGGCATCAATGGGTACATTTACGGACGCGGTGTTAGCGACAACAAAGGTCCCGTCGTAGCGGCGCTATATGCCGTGACTGACTTGATGCAAGCCAAGCAGTTGGAGAATGACATCATCTTCCTAATCGAAGGCGAAGAAGAGTATGGGTCGCGAGGTTTCAAGGAAGCCGTCCGACAAAACAAGGATCGCATCGGCCACATTGACTATGTTCTTCTGGCCAATAGTTACTGGCTGGATGATGAGGTGCCCTGCCTCACCTACGGTCTCCGTGGCGTTCTTCATGCCACTGTCTGTGTCGATTCGCCGCGACCTGACACGCATTCTGGAGTCGATGGATCATTCATGATGAATGAACCGCTCTCGGACTTGACTGGCATCATTTCCAAGCTCAAGGGCGCTGGCAACAGGGTGCAAATGCGGGGTTTCTACAGCGGAATTCCAGCTCTGACCCCGGCAGAGGAAGCGCGCTACGACGATATCGTGTCCATTTTGAAGCGTGGCCGCTCGGACAACATCTCGGAAGAAACACTCAAGCGGTCGTTGATGGCGCGATGGCGCGAGCCCAACCTGACTGTTCACAGCTACAAGGTGTCTGGTCCCGACGGCAGCCTCGTCAGCAGCCACGCCAACTCGCACATTAGTCTGCGTCTCGTGCCCGGTCAAGAGGTCAACGACGTGGCCGAGGAGCTGACGCAGTTTTTGCAGCAGCAGTTTGCCACGCTCGAGTCGCAGAACCAGCTGAGCATCAGCATTGACAACAAGGCCGAGCCGTGGCTCGGCGACACCACCAACAACATCTTTCGCATCCTCGAGCAGGCCATCATCGAGGCGTGGCCCGACTCTTTTGACACGGATGACACGGACAGTAACCTGGGAAAGAGTCAGCCTGGTCCCAAAAACAAGGCATCCAAACCGCGCGGGCCCCTCTATATCAGAGAAGGGGGTTCTATTCCCGCTATTCGGTTCTTGGAAAAGGAGTTCAAGGCGCCGGCCGCGCACCTTCCCTGCGGCCGGGCGAGCGACTCGGCGCACTTGAGCAATGAGCGCATGAGCGTGGTCAATTTGTTAAAGGCGCGGGAGATTATGGGCAAGGTCTTTCGCCGTCTGTAAACGTTGGAGAAGATTGTGAAATAACAAATAGCGCATGATACCCTGGTTGACGGAGATGGTTACTGCAATAAATAGAATAGGAAAGCAAATAAAGTGTATCAATATACGAGCATTGCACAGAGTATTGTTCCGTTCTGTTCTCGCCCTTCAAGGTGGCGTCATTGCTTGCTTGGGTGGGGATCGACCAACACTAAACACTTTACGCGTTCTTGTGCCCCGCGACGCGTCTTCCAAATTCACGCTCTGCATCCAACATAACATAGAAAAGATTTACCTCTTCCAAAATGACGCAAACAAAACCTCATGAAGAAGACCAATATCTCAATCTCGTGCGCGAGATTCTACAAGATGGCGAGCATAGACCAGACCGGTAAAAGCACCTCAAACCCGCCCTCAACACCACCAGCGACCCGGCCTCCCCCCAAGCTAACGTGCTCTTTTCAGCACCGGCACCGGCACTCTCTCGATATTCGCCCCGCGTCCGCTCAAATTCCTGCTGAGCGCGCCCGACGGCACGCCCATCCTGCCGCTCCTCACGACGAAGCGCGTGTTTCTGCGCGCCGTGGTCGCGGAGCTGCTGTGGTTCGTGGCCGGCAGCACGTCGTCGCTGCCGCTCAGCGCCGCGGGCGTCAAAATTTGGGACGGCAACGGCTCGCGCGAGTTCCTCGACGCCGCGGGCCTGGGTCACCGCGCCGTCGGCGACCTCGGCCCCGTGTACGGCTTCCAGTGGCGGCATTTCGGTGCGGAATACAAGGACGCGGACGCGGATTACACGGGCCAGGGCGTCGACCAGCTCGCAGAGGTGGTCAGGAAGCTGCGCACCACGCCGTATGATCGCCGCATCATCCTGTCGGCGTGGAACCCGCGAGACTTGGCGCTGATGGCGCTGCCGCCGTGCCACATGTTTGCGCAGTTTTACGTGTCGTTTCCGCGGGGGACGGCGGCAGCAGCGGCGGATGAAGAGGAAGAAGGAAAGGAACAAGGAGAGGAGGAGGAGAAGGAGGGGAAGAGGGAAAAGAAGAGTCGAGGCCACCTACACTGCCAGCTGTACCAGCGTTCCTGCGACATGGGCCTCGGCGTGCCGTTCAACATTGCCAGCTACGCGCTGCTGACGCACATGCTCGCGCACGTGTGCGACCTGGTGCCCGGCTCGCTGACGCACGTCATGGGCGACGCGCACGTCTACAAGGACCACGTCGAGGCGCTCCAGGTGCAGCTCGAGCGCGCGCCGCGCGCGTTTCCGACGCTGGAGATTTTGCGGGAAAGGGGTGGGAGCATTGACGGGTGGAAGGCCGAGGACTTTGTCGTCAAGGGCTACGACCCGCACAAGACGATTGCGATGAAGATGTCTGTCTAGAAACTAAGTTAGGTGGGTTGGTGGGGGGGGGGACGAGGAATGAGGAGTCGTGTATGGGTTATTATTATCTTGGGCATTTACGGCATCCCATCAACTGGGGTTGTATCGTGCAAACGAATCATTTAGAGTTGGCAAATGCATTTTCCTGTTTTCATTCGACTATGGTCATGGCGGAAATCCGTCACCAGAATCACCTCACACTTTTTCCACCTGTCGCTTGGTCGAGACTGAACGGCCTGACTGAAGCCATATCTAGACTCGCAATGGGCTTTCTCCGCCCGAACAAGAACCACCACTGTGCTGCATGATCTGGAGTCATGTCCCAAATACTTCGAGACAAAATTGACTAGCTAGATGTGTTGGCCTAGTCGAGGGGTCAAGGAATTTTCTGCAGGTAAAAGAGGAAATGAATACGACGACGCTGACGATTGACCATGTTGGGTGTCGATGCCGCCTAGTGCCATGTTAATGCTCGCCGGAGTGTGGTTCAGCCCTGCGCCGCTCCGGACTCTGCCGATAATGACACAAAACGTTCATTTTGCTTTGAAGCGCCATTCAAGAATTGAGGCCATGTTTGCGTGGAATGAACACTTGTTTGCTTGAATAGATTGACAATTTAAACTCAAATGGGTATGATTATCCAGCACCAGCTGCATATACGTAATTATAGATACATCAACATCATCCTCCGTAAATCCAAACAACCCGTCATCTCCATCATGTCAACTTTTAGTTGTTGTGCTCCAAATCGGCAGCTTTGCCCACACCAGGTTGGGTTTTGCCGATGTATTCCGACTTCTTGAGCATGTTCCACTTATCTTCCTCGGCGTCGAGATGGCGGAAGCAGAACCAGAATGCAGTGCCTCCAACAACGGCAATGACAGAGATGACGGTGTAGTTCCAGACCAAAAGAGGGTCGCCGGAGAGAGGTGTAAAAGCTTGCCCAATGGCAGCAGAGAGAGCACTCATGAAGAGGTTGACACTCATGACCAACGACTTCATGTTCTCGGGCGCCTTGGAGAAAGCATACTCGTACGAAGTCACATTGGTGAGAATCTCAGCAACACCAATAAGGATGTAGGGAAGACACTGAGCCCAGACATTAATGTCCGCAGGAGGGCAGTTCACTTCCTCTCCTGCGTCATTAATGATGGTGCCGTTGGCGCGCCAGCCACAAGGACTCTTCTGGTAGATGTAGTACTGCATGACAGCGGAGGCAACCATGGAAAGGGTGGCCATGAAGAAACCGGCAGTCATTCTCTTGATGGGGGTAAAGGGGATTCCTATGCGGCGGAGGAGAGGGTAAAGGCCATGATCAAAGATGGGAATCATGACGACAATAGAGATTGGGTTCAGGTTCTGGATGATGTCGTTGGGCACTCCGTGCAGCTTCATGGTGCTGGCCTGGGTGGTCAGGTTACCGGTCATCTGGTTGTAAGCGAGGAAGAAGACAGGCAGGAAGAGAAAGACCTTGCAAGCCATCAATCCACGGCGGACCTCGTCAACCCAAGCATCGTCATAAGTCATCCAGGACGGGCGCTCGCTGATGGCAACCTTGGAGGGGCGGGCAATATCCCAGTCAAACTTGAAGAGGGAGGGGGACCTCTTGCGGACATAGAACCACATCTTGAGAAACTTTTCCAGCAGAGATCCGGTGGGCGGTGTGAGCTTGTAATTTTTCTTCTGCGACCAAAGAACAAGGGGGGCAATAAGGAAGAGAGCCGTGGGGATGAGGAAAGCGAGCCAGAAGCCGACATATTTCTCAACGTAGACCATGCCAATCTGGCCAGTGAGGGAGCCAATGTTGATGCAGAGATAAAAGTAGAGAAAGATGCGAGTGTTGGTAATAGCAGGGTCGACAATGACGAGTTCGCCCTTGCGCTCTTCAACGCGCATGCGCACATCCTCGTTTTGCTCAGCCAGAAGAGGGGAGACATTGGCTTTGAAGAAGCCTGTACCAACGCAGAGGCAGAGGAGCCCAAGAATGAAAGCGGCGAAGGAGGAGTCACGGTGAACAATGACACTGGGAGCGGAGGCGGCGACAAGGACCACGTGAGCAATGGTCGAGATTCCAATGGCCAGATGCAAGGTCCAGAAACGGCCCATGCGGGCATCAGCAATCCAGGCACTGCGATAGGGCTTGTTAGCACGAATGCATGGAACCTGGTTCAGTACCGAGAAAGAAGAAAACGTACCCAAGAAGAGGCATAATGTAGGCAAAGAACATGTTGAATAAACTCAGACCTTGGGCAGCCTTGGGGCCCATGCCGAGAGCGCCAGCCTGTGGATGAGGGTCGCTCGCTAGAGGAGCACCGGTTGTAGAGCCATTGGGCAGCTTGTGGTTGACAAAGTTGGTGTAGAGGACAGCGGATCCGTAGTAGGAGAAACGCTCGCACAATTCGACAAAGGCAATCGTCCACATAGCCCACTTGATCTTGCCAGAGACACGGCGCAGAGTGCGCTGCTGCTCTGGCGTTGGCTTGTCGGGCCAGTCGTTGTCATCCGTGTGAATGCTTTGCTGATCAACGGCAAAGTCGTTCTGGTGCTTCTCTATGGCAAAGTCCTCCTGGCGCTTCTCACCATCAATCTTGTGAATACCGTGGTTTTCGGGATCTGCAAGACCGGCGCGCGCAATGGCGTCGTTGTCGAGGTTGACGGCAGACGTCATTTTGAAGTGCCCTCAGAGCGCTGAGGTTATCTTGGTCGGTGTGAAGGAGACTCGCGAAGCTGGCTTGCTTTCAGCAAGTACAAGCTGTGTTCTCAGAAAGAAAGGAGATCGAGTAGAGCTTTCACACCAATAAGGGCAGAAGTAAGGAATCGGAAGATGGGCGCTGGACGTCTTCTAAATATATTACGACACGCCATGCACTTACATGGCCGCTTCGGCCAGTCCCCATGTTGGGTGGGCATGATAAGCACTCTGGGGTTCAGCACTAGGTTTGGGGCGGCAGCAGCAGGTGAAGAGCGACTGGAAATCTAGGAGAGTCAAGTTGTGTGAGAGCCAAGACTGAAGCGGCGGAGGGCTTGCCTATTCGAGACTGGCGGCAGTGGTGGCTGAACAAAAGAACCTGGAGAGAAGCAGAAGAAGGCCTTCAAGTAAGACTGGGAGGGCCTAGAGCTATGGGGATGCCGAGAATTTGGAGCGGGTCTTTTGAATTCATTAGCAGATTTGCAACATATCTGCTGCTATGCATGTGGAGGAGGAGAAGGTGTTGCAGTTGAGTGACGCTAGTCTTTGCTAGCTTGGGTGTGATGGTGGTTGGGTTGTGGTTGGTGGCGTTGGCTGGTGGCGTATAATTTTTTATTTTCTACTTGCGTTCTTGTTCTGGTATCGGTTCGAGTTGTAGTTGTTTCTGTCGTGTGATGGGAATATCTTGATAAGAATAAGCGTGCCGATGATGATTCTTGTCGGTCAACGTCTCGAGAGATGATGATGGCGAAGAGGAGACGAGGGCAGGCAACTGGTCAGGCGAGGCGAACCAGATGGTGCGGGGCCCAACAGCGGGCAAAGATAGCAAAGACAGGCCATCTGGCATCTGGAGCCTTCAGGGGCCAACCGGGGCGGGCCAGAGCGCAAGTTGCCACTGAAGCGGCAACCTTATTCCAGTGTTTATCACTGAGACAGTGCCTAGATTGTACCTACCTAGCCTACCGTACCTACCTAGGTACCTACCTAGGTAGGCAACGTAGGTAGAGATAAAAAGGCCAGGCCAACCGTTGCAGCGTTCCAGTGCTAGAGCGGGCCCCACCACTCAGCGTTAGCAATGTTGCATCCGCACAAACAAACTTCTGCAACATAGCAGCATTGCCATCATTCATCAGGGAGCTGCATCCTGCTTGGCCTGATTGACCGACTGACTCTTTGTCTCTCGCTCAGCTCCAGAATCTTCCTAGTCTTTCAGCTACTCAGTTTACCACAGCCTACATCGTCGTAGCCGAATAGGAGATGACAGCGTCGTGATGGCCTAAATACTTACTCTATCTGACAAGGTATCAACTTTCTAATCTTTCAGCACCATCTGCTACGAAAGTACCTGCCTCTCTCGTTGTAGTTATCAATAGTTATCATAAACTAACGAAAGCGATCAGCCCGTTACCTAATAACTCACTGCTCAGCCTGATCTGGGCTCGATACCACACCACGGGTCACCACCACATGTTCCGCGCGAATTAGCCAAACACACAGCCTGCATTGCAATTCCCTACTCCCCAGACCCACGCCAGCAACGCCATCTGGCTCGCATCTCGTGTCAGGGCACGAGGACTTAGTGGTGGATTGCCCTGCCCGACCGCCACCGCGAGCGCAAGCGCCAAACACTCGAGTCTGCGGTGGTGGCACTGAGGCCGGCTTTGCCCAATGCGGCGAAGCGCTTCGTTGGTCGAGTTGCCAGTGGCACTTTTTCACTTCGTCCGGCAGCCACTGGCTAGTGGAAACAGCTACTTCTTTGGGGGCGCGATGAACATCGATTCCCTTGGTCAAAGGCACCATGTGAGACCAGAAAGAAGCAAGTTCAAACTCGCCTCGCATCTGCTGAATGCAGTTTCTCTTCGGTTGAATGCATGTTCATATGGGCAGCAGATACCGCTTCACCCGTGAATATCCCACATGCCCACAACTGCTCACGAGTAGACGTCTCCCCCCCCCCCCCACGGATCTCGACACTTTCTTCCACTATTACACCCCCACACAACTCTCATTCCGACGGTGGTGTCTCGTGCCGCGAATAAGCTGGCACAGGATGCTAAAAAGATGCGTACCCACTAACCGTACGGTCTAAACGCCAAGCTAATAAAAAAGCCAAAATGCAGGGCTGGACCGCCGGTTGGCTAGCTGCTAATAACTTTCGCCAGAGTTCACCAGCGCCCTATCAGTTCGGACGCAGTCGCAGGAATGGACGTTCCGCGGTTACACGCACCTACTGTCTTCTCGTTTCATTCGCACGTGAAGTGTTGTTGGTCGCACAAAGCCGCTGCATAAGAGGTAATCTATGACTGTCGTTTTTGTGGGATCCTCCTCGCACGCCATACCCCCAGCCAGTTTACGGGGCATAGGAGCCATGAGAAAAACGAGAGATAAGCCAATACCAAGATACTCGCAATGCCCATGAGACCGAATCTATTCCGTGCTTGATTCGCCACTTTGACGGTCCTTTTGCCAGGGTTGTGGCGTGATGGTTACATGGCGCGTGCATTTCTTGTCCGTGTTCACTAAGGTAAATAGGTAGTTATTTGACCTTGGTTATACAGCGCGGAGGCACTCAGGCATCACCCACCAAGCGCCATGTTGGCCCATTCCAGCCGCCAAAGACGAGTTCGTCCCTTGTTAGTTCCACGAGCGGATCCTGGCTTTACAGATTTCGGGCTCGGCAACATTGGCAACATTGGCTATTCTGGCCGAATGCAGCACAGCCAAGGCCCAAGACTGGCCGCCCGTCGCGGCATCTTGTGGCAATTTGCCAGGTCTACCAACCTTAATATTTTGCATTGGCAATGTCAGATTTCATGGGCCCGTGCATAGCCAGCAGCTTGGCACTTGCCATCATTGCCCAGGCCAAAGAAAGCCAACGACGATCGCACGTCAGCAACGGATATCACTCTCGGGGCAAGCATCCGGATCACGAAGTGCTGCTGCATTAGTTGCCACCGTTATACTTTGTAGCCTCATTACCACGTAATTCAGCTGAGGCGAGGCGGGGAGAAAATGTAACGAGGGGTGCACAGCGATTGCACGCTTGTGAGTGAAGTCGAGTGACATGCGAATGATTAATGCTGAGGGACGAAGGAATAATTCCCCATGAACCAGAAAGGGGGTTCCGCACGATTTCGTCTGCCGTATTTCTATTACTTAATGGTTTTTACTAAAAGCCGCAAGTTAATCTATTCTGAGCTCTCTCGGCTCCGAGGGCCCGTGGGGAAGCCCATGCGACAGCTTCACCAAGTTTACTAGCCTGTTCGCCTCCACGATCTCAGCTGTCTGCCCCTCCTTTCAAATGGCTTCATTGACTAGCCCTTTCCTTTGTAGATGGTATTTTTTTTTCCTTTTCGTCCGCCACGAAGAAACCGGGCAGTGGCGGGTAGAGGAGGTCTTTGCTAGCCTCAGCTGGTCGCGCCACCTCTTGTTCGTTCGCCGTCCGCTACAATGATCACCTTTGATTTCCCTTGGATGCAAGATCAACGGCGCTCACGAAAAGAGCACGGGTAAAGTACCCAGCCAACCAGCTTAGACGCACCACTGTCCATCTCGCTCACGCCAAGCAAATTAGTCGCCGTCGCCAAATAGTCCCAGTTTTCGATAACATGCATGGCGTTGGGCAGGTTAACACCAGCCGAGAGGTACCAGTTGCCAGCTCTGCAGAACCAGAGAGCAATTCAGGTGCAATACTCCGATTGTGATGGGCCTGGGTGCCACAGGCTGTGACAAAACGTAAGTAACTGCTTGCGATTTTGGCTTGCCCAATGCCTGAAGGAATGAAGGAATGAAGGAAGCTAATATTTGCGCCACTTGTGGCCTGGGATCGCGCATCTGGTCCATTACCCACGTTTTTCTGGTCTCCACCTCGAGAAATTGTCAAAGTTATCCCCGCTATCGAATGGTGTTGAGCTACGGAGTACACGCTCAAAAAATGGACGCGCCACATCTTTGTAGCGCCTATATCCCCTTATAGCACAACAAATGGGCAACCCAGTGCAGCCCGAAGTTGCAAGCCACGTTTTACGGAAGCAGAGAAAGCACCGAACGCCACCCGAGTTGGCGCAGCCCTTCCTCCACTAGTTACAACACAATGCAAGTTCTGGGATGGGAGGAGAGCCAGGTGTGCCAGGTTGCTAGGTAGGTGCCAGGCTGCGAGTTTGCGAAGTCTCAGAGCACCTCGGTAACTCGACTACGTGGCTCGCCACTGATCTTGTTCGTATCTGAATATTGTGCATGGACTCTCATGTACGTCCCAGAAGAAGGGTGTCATCACCAAGTCGGCTGCCACCGTTTCCCATTGCAATGGATCGAGTTTTAATCCAAGGTACAGAAATTCGGTGTAGATGCTCTCAAGGTAGAAGAGCTGACCAGCAGCCGCAGAGTCTCGCGGACAAAATGCCGCCACTGATTGTGTAATGCCATTCGCGTGTTGCTAATACTTGTTTTTTTGTTTCCAGTACAGGGGCCCATCTATCTTTGCTTCATTCCACACTCCTCTAAAGGCACAAAGCTGGCGCGAACTCCAGTCAGCATAGCCAGAAAGTAAGTCGGGCCTTGGTCCTCGGGCGGAGGAACGGCCGCGCGAACCTCAAAGCGGTCGAGTAGTCGCACGACACACTTCAGCACAATCATTTCAGCCACATGCCTGCCGGGACAAGTCCGTGAGCCACCACCCCAGCTGAGGCTGTACCGCTCCAGCGCGCGGATATTGTCTGGCGTACCGCTGCCGGCGAGCCATCGACGAGGGTCAAACTTGTCGGGATCTGGTCCGCAAATATCTTCGTTTCGATGGAGGGAGACGGGATTGCAACCCACGGTAGCTCCAGGTGGTATACGGAGCCCAGAGAGCTGCAGCCCGCTGCCGTGAAGGGGCACCACGCGTGGCAGGCTCATGCTGATGACAGGGTAAAGCCGCATGGCTTCTCTGATGACAGCTCGAGTATACACCAGCTCCAATGCATCTGCGTAGCTTATGTTGCTTCCTGGCTTTCGTGACTTTGCCGCATTTTGGCAACGGATCTCATGTGTTGCTGTTGCTTGAGCTTCTGGGTGCGTTCCTAACATGGCCATGATGGCTATCAGAGTAGACGCAAGAGTTTCGTGTCCGGCACCAAAGTTGGTAATGGCCATTTTTCGCAGATATGACTCTGTGAATTCGGGTTTGTCCTTGTGCAAGTTTATCAGATCTGTGAGTAAATCCTCCCTCTGGCTGCTAGTCGGATTCGACTTGTTCTTTATTCGTCGCGCTACCTTTCTCGCCACCTCCTGGTTTCTTTCGTTAGCAGTCGATGACGGGCTGGCATGGTAAAGCCTGGATTCAGAGAAACATACGGGGAAGAAGGGCTTGAATCCTTTGGGCGTTTGATATGTGACGCCCCAAACGATGCCAAATAACCGCCCAACCCATTTATAGTTGACTTCAAGCTTGACTATCAGAGGAAACAGTCCAAAGACAGACTTTCGGCGCCAGCCAAGGTAGCTCTGGTAACTGGTGGCGCGATCTGTTCCGGCTTTGATCATGCCTGGTGACCACGACAGCACCATGGCACCGAGTGACTCGACGGAAATTATGTGCATCCACTCTTTCAAATCGATCTCCGCGCCGTCTATTGAGTCGAACTTCCTGATCACGTCGTTCATTACTTTGTCGACGGCTTGCTCACGACGGACTGCATTGGCTGTGCGGTAGACCCGACCTATTAGCCGGCGTTGTAGCCTGTAGCGATTCATATCCGTCTCAGAAAGAAGGTCAAGATTATCATCAAAGCTTGCATGCAGACGCCAGTCGATACGAGGTCTCGTAAGAGCCGTTGCCACTGACAGATGTTAGTCGCTGTCTTGATGCCCTCTCGTCGCTTGCATCGCTTACAGTAGAAATCTGACTTCTCGTACCCACGTATTCCCGTGCCTGTCCAGGTAACATCTCAGCCGCATTTTTTCCAAATCTGTAACAGGGTACGAGGTCTCATGAGGATGCTCACTGTAGATATGATCATAAGCTTCCTTGGTATTGAACCACACTTCTTTAGGCCCAACCCTTACAACTGGGCCATATCGTCGGTGTAACCGTTTTGCTATTGCAGCGGTGGTTCCGTTTCTTGCGTGATATGCGTACCATATACTTGATACAGCGGCTAACCTTGGCCCTGGAATGTGAGAGAAAGGCCCGAGGAACAGCCTGTGTGTGATGACTGCCATGAGAAGGGTCGCCAACGCCAGGACGATGGCCCCCAAGGGATAGCGAAGTAGGTAAGCGCTTTCAATCGCCATTATGACGGACATTTTACCCATATGAAAGTATTCTGAAGTCAATCGCCATCTGAGCGCTTGGAGCCTGTTTGGGTCAACGTCAATGACGCGAAATGGTCCGATGCGGTGAACCGATCACCGCACCAACAACTTACCTGCCACTTTGCGAGGCCAGAGTTTCTCAGTCTAGTTGAGACCGATTCATCGACTCTTTGATGCTATAATTCCCAGAAATCTCTAGCCGTCACACGGTCAGATTTTTTAAGCAAACGGGCGCAGCAGCATTATGATTTTTTTGCTCAGAAAATTGGGTCATTTTTGTGTCTTAAGCTGATGCTTGTTAGCGCCGTGGTGGTAGGCCGAAGAGACGGGACGAAGCGAGGTCTTTTCAGAGGATCGTAAACTTGGCAAGATAGAACACAACTTCCGTTTATGTTCCCGTATTTTTTATGCGAATCGCGCTCAGACTGCTTCTATACATATACACTTTGTCAGTATTTGACTTATGCTATTTCCCAGCTATTTGCCCTTGTTCTGCATTTGCCTCCATTTCATGCCTTTCAACGCCAGCAACGCCAGTGGTGCAAGGCAAATAAAAAACAAGCTTCCTACAATTGTAAATGCCTCTCCAACGCCGATGGCTCTTTCCAAGGGTATAATGGCCGCCGTGGCGCCAGCACCAATTAGGCACCTCCCGAGGTTATTCGCGGCCGTCGCTGTGCCCGCCTTTCCCGGATGCATGTCCACCAGGAGCACATTTGTCGCGTTGGTCATGCCAATCAGTCCGATTCCGAGAAATACCATGATGACACACAGCACTGCAATGTGAGCGCGGAAGTGAACGGCCCAGCCCCATCCGATGAGGCACGCCCCCGCGAGCACCATCAGTGGTATACCAATCTCCAGACGTGCGCGCTCGATGGGAAAATTAGACATATCCATCTGCCTACTGCGATCAAATTCAATTCCGGTCATGGCGCAGTGTCGCTTGTAGTTCCAGGTCATTCCGCGGCCGACGGCAAAGGCGGCAATGATGGAGCCTCCCGCGATGGGCAGATACATGAGGCCAACTTGCGTCTCATTCATGTGATATCGTTTGTGGAAGATGGCTGGCATAGCAGCTGTGATGCAGTAGAACCCAGCGAATATGATGCTGCTGGACCAGAGCAGGAGGCCGGATGCGCGACGGAAGAGCATCATGACTGCTTCCAAAAGATTGGGTGGCTCGAATTTGAACTTCTTTTCGCTGGCACCGGGAACCGTTTCGGGAGCTTCCTCCAGGTCAGCTGTCATATCGGCTTTGTGATTCTTCCTACGCAAGCGGACTATTTGAAGAACGGTGCGATGACTCGGTGGCGGCATAATCGAACCATCTTCAACGATTTGTCGGCACGTTTCCGGAAGAAATGCAATGATTAACAACAGAGCAATGCCAGAAGATATTGCTAAAAACCAGAATATCGATCGCCACCCCAGGTATTGCGATAGTACACCTCCCAGAACGGGGCCCAACGAAGGAGCCAGGACGGAGGGAATAATGGTAAAGCCGACATACTGTCCTCTTTCCGCAGACGTCACCACGTCTGCCACGACGGCAGTGCACAGCGCAACAGTACTGCTAGACCCGGCAGATTGGAGACATCGTAGGACGAGTACGGCGCCGTAGTTGGGGGCCAGCGCCAGCCCAATATTGGCGGCAAGGTAAATGACGAAGCACACAATGTATGCCGGTCTACGGCCTCCCGCGTCGGCTAGTGAGCCAACAAACATGGGCGTGATGCCTTGGAAGACCATGTAGGCGGTGATGGTCAGATTTACCTTGGTCGCGCTGACGTGAAGGCTCTTGGCGATGGGGATCAGCGCGGGCAGGTAGATCTGGGCTGATATAGGCGAGAAGATGGCCGTGGCTGACGCGGCGATCACCAACAACCGCTTAACAGATTTGGAGTGCACTGAGTAGGGCGCTCGTGAGTTAGTCCGCTGGATGGGGACTTTTTCGTTGTCGGGCGCAGAAGGCTGTGACCGCACCTCCTCGACCTCCGCCCGCTGCAATTCATTGTCCGATCGAGCCTGGCCCCCCATATTGCTCTTTGAGACAAATGAAGATCTCAATTATGGTTTCCTTAATTCCTTGTTGATATATCTCCTGTCGGCCAACAACAATTGGCATGCTTGAAGAAGTCAATGCCGGCAAACCAGACAGGCCCAACGGAAGGTAGGAGCCTTTCCTTTGTAAACTCGGTGTAGCCGTGTTCTATTGACCAGGTCTTTCGTTCCATTTTATTCCGTGAAATAATGCTGCATCATCTGCGAAAAGTAGTACTGTCTTGTGGCGGATTTCTTGCCGCCCTCACTGAAGGGAGATGAAGCGAGATGATAGATGCAATGATACAGCAACAGTTTGTTGCTGACACTCAAAATGAACTGTGTGATTGAGGCGTTTAAAGGCTGAAAAGAGCAATTGGTATAATCGTGCTGGAAATATTCACTGAAATAAGCGGTATTGCAAGAAGCCTGGCCGGTTACTAGCGTACACGGCCAAGCGCCCGAATCGGCGCCGAGTTCGGCAACCGGGCGGCCGGAAACCATACTTGGGGCGGTGCTATTAATCAATAAAATCGAGCATCCTGGCACAGGCTACTATATCTACTCGGCGTTAAGCTGCAAAAGGTATTGGAATGGGTCTGTTGATTTCCGGTCTAATGGCTGTTTGCCGTTCGGCCGCTGCTGCGTTTTCACGATAGCCGACATAACAACATTTCACAGGATATATGTGCAAAGTTTTCCCTGCTGCCTGCTGACTATTATTATTATATGAAATATCTAGATGGGCCTGTCTTTGATATTATGGGGGCGTTTTCTTCTCCAGAACCAAACGACGTTGATTAAGTGATTGAGTGATTGAATGGAAGTTTTTATTCGCCGTCTTGGTGGGATCACATCAGCTCTGTAATGTTGCGGGGTCCTCATGTCGTATGTCGGGACGTGACCAATATGCTTTTCCGCATTACCGCAGGTGTCGTCATGTCTCGGGGAATCGGCAAACCTAATGCTTAAACCACGTCAGGCAACGTACCCTAGAGATGTAGCTCGTGGTCAATGACGGTAGAGGGAACGTTTAATCGATCTCTAGGCTAAAGAATCCGGACACTGGAAAGGTAGCGAGCACAGTCTTGAACTCGATGAAACGGGGCAAGTTGTACATGTTAATTTCATCTGATCAGGTTACATTGCGCTGTCAGTTGTCGAGTTTGGTATGTCACAGCTGCGCGTTTGGAGGCCACCACCAACAAACAACCAGTAAGGTTGAGAATCCAATCAATTGACACGGAAAATCACAAGACAGAGTCTAAATTAGTATATATTCATTTGAAACTGATTAAAGTGCTTGCAGCTGTTGTGCGAGGTTGCTGAGCGTAACGCGCTGCTAAGGGCGGGGCGACAATTTTCCGGCGCCGAAATACCAAGGTGGCCTCACATGCGAAGCTCTCGTCAAGGTGTATGGGCAGAACATCGTGTTGCCTGCACTTTGTAATGAACAGAGGCTGAACTTTGACCACAAGTGAACACAATGGTAAGATATGCAATCCAAAACCGGTACTAGAGGTATGTCGTTGAAGTTCTAATATTTTTTAGAATGTCGTGTATAATTCCGCCCTGCGGCAGAGCAAGGCCATCAACAGCGAGCTGGCGACCTTGCAGTCCAAGGGCGAAACTTCGGCCGCAGAAATTGGCAACGTGTCGGTGACAATAGCGACCTTTACGAAAGCCATCGACGAATACCACAGCTTGGCGCGCCAGGAAATCGTCCCCAAGAAGCAAGAAGAAGCCTTTGAGCGCGTCAAGAGGTTCCGCGAGGACCTCGCGGGATTTCGCAGCCAGATCGACAACCTCAAAAAGGCGCGCGAGGAGGCGCATTACCAGAATAACCGCACCGAGCTACTCGGCCGCCGACCGTACAATGCCAACGCGACACCCGAGAATCCCTACGCCACGACCAGCACGACCAACACCTCGTCCACGTTTCACCCCCGACACGGCGCCGCGGCGCCGCCGCAGCAGCAGCAGCAGCATCTGACTACGGGTTCGCAAGACGAGATGCGCGAGGCGCACGCGTTTCGCGAGCAAAATTTCTTTTCCAACACGAACCAGGCGCTGGACGACTACATTGCGCGGGGGCAGGCGGTGCTGGGCGACCTGGGCCAGCAGCGCGAGATGCTCAAGAATACGCAGAAGCGGCTGTACAGCGTCGCCAACACGCTAGGTGTCAGCGGCGAGACGATTCGCATGGTGGAGAGGCGCGCGCGCGAGGACAAGTGGATTTTCGCGGCGGGTGTCATTGTCTTTTTCGGGTTCTGCTGGCTGGTGATGCACTACCTGCGATAGGTACCTAGGCAAACGGGGGGGGGGGGGGGGGGGAAAATTTGCGTGGGCTTTTGGGAGAAAACATGGACTTGGTAATATGGAGCGTGGCGTACAAGGTTTTTGTTTTCGGAATAAACATGGCATATACATAAATCGCGAAAGCGCGCAAAGTATTTTCATTTACTCATCATTTATATATTCTTTCATAAATTTCCTACGTCATCAACAAACTGCTCTCCGTTGGCTCCTTTTAGCTGTCGTCCTCATTGTCGAGCTGTCGAAGTGCCACGGTAAAGAGCACATCTTTTGTCGTTTCAATCTCGACATGCTTGGTAGCGGGCAAAATGTGGTTGCTGGTGCTGAGGCTGCCGCCAATCTGGCTCAGCCAGTCGGTGACATCCCACTCGAGACCCTTTGTGGTGATGTGGCTGGGCTCGCGCAGGGGAATGATGCCGACGTGCTTGGCAAAGACGTCTTTTTCGCCGTCCTCGCGGACGTGGATGATGTGCTTGCCCGCCTTGAGCAGAAAGGTCAGGCTGGAGCCGGACAGCAGGAAGATGCGGCCCTCGTCGTAGCCCGGTCCGGGCTGGAAGAGGTACAGGTGGTGCAGCTGGCTGATGCCCTGGTCGACGCGGCCACCGATGCCGCCGAGGGCCACAATGTCCATCTTGTAGGAGTCGCGGATCCATTTAATCGCCTTTCCAAAGTCGCTGGTCTCTTGGCCGCGGTCGTGGATGACCTGCGCGGGCTGGGGCTGCGACGAGTAAAAGTCGCGGACGGTGGGGGTCAGCGAGTCCAGGTCGCCGATGATGGCTTGGAGATTGGACTGTGGGCATGTTAGAGGCGCGGTTCCTTTCTTCATGGGCATAAATAAAATCTCACAAATTTGCCTTGGAATGACGAGAGCTCATATAAGCGGTTGGCACCGCCGTCTGCCGCTACTCTTACCGCAGCTATATTGAGAACCTATTAGCGCAACTGGCGGCGCGGAAGTGAGCGGCACCCATCTTATACAACATATCCAAGACGGGCTCGTTGCTTGATTGATTGGTACACTCACCGTTGTTCCATAGTCTTCGCAAGTTGATGCCATTTTTCAGGGGTTGGTTGAGCACCAGCAAAGCAAAGTCGTCGCCTAGCTCACTGGGCTGCATGTACCTAGTGGGATGCCACTCAAACACCGGTGAGGGAGCCATAATTTTCGATGACGACAAAAAGCCAGCGCAGTGAAAATGTGCGAAGGCTACAATTCCTTGACTCGCGTACGGTATTGTTTAAGCTCTTTTCTTCAGATGCAAGCTCTAACTTTCCAAAACAGACGCCCGTTTCTTTCCCCTCTATCTTGCAAGCATTTCTATTTGGATTAGTCCTAGCTCTGGACTCAGAGACGCGCCACACAAAAGCAAACGGGTGGTTAATCTTCGGCCTTTGCCGGCAGCTTGGAGAATGACAAGTCGACTACGGAGTAGGTTACAGTGGGGAGTGTAGTTAATACCACTGTACAAGCTTCACTGCGGACTTTTTTTTTCTGGGCGCTGACCAATCCAGCGCGAGTTGCGACCAAACCTTTTTTCTTCTCCCCTCGGATCTCCATTTGTTTGCTGTGGCTTCACTTTACACACAGGCATTCGTAACTTCATTCCCCTTTCAATTCTCCTAATTTGCCGTCAATCATGTATCGCGCAGCGTTGCGATCCGCTTCGCGACCGGCTGTCGCGGGCCTGCGAGCTTCCGCCCTCCGATCCGCTCCGCGCCGATTCGCATCGACTTCGCCTGCCGATAAATCGAGGTCATGGAAGGGCTCTGCCGTGCGCTGGGCTCTTGCTGGTGGCGCCGTATACTACTATAGCACTAGCACAGTCTTTGCTGAAGAGGCAATTCCTGGTATGCATGCACGCATCGATGCGGCGACAGCTCCCCCCTGCCGCTATCCTGAGGCGCCACTAATTCCAATCGATATAGCCAAACAGTTCTCTACTGCGCCGTCCTCGTTTCTCGAATCCAATGAGACGACAGAGCTTCCGACCGTCGCATCTATAGTTGAGGGGAGAAAATCACAGGCCGCCGCCAAGGCCCAGAAGCCCGCCGACTCCACGCCGAAGCAGCAAGATGGCAAGGAAGAGACGGCGGCTGAGACTACGGTCAACGCGGCATCACCGACAGCCCTCGAGGAAGAGGCTGACCAGCAGGGCGCGTTCAATCCAGAGACGGGCGAGATCAACTGGGACTGCCCCTGCCTGGGCGGCATGGCTCACGGCCCCTGCGGAGAGGAGTTCAAGACTGCATTCAGCTGCTTCGTATACTCGAACGAAGAGCCCAAGGGCATGGAGTGCATCGACAAGTTCCAGTATGCCTAATTCATCAGTGTTTGCCGAGACAAGGTACTAACGATGACAATTACAGGGGCATGCAAGAATGCTTCCGCCAATATCCCGAGATCTACGGCGCTGAGCTAGCCGAGGCCGATAACGCAGAAGACTTCCCCGACGACCTTGACCATCCTCTCGAGACACAGACACTTCGCGAAGATCACGATGCTACCGATACGCAAACCGCTTCTGAAGGGGTCAAGGTGGCCGACAAGCAGACTCCTGGCGTCGAGCCCAGCGCGGCCGCTCCTCGGCAGCAGACGGAGAAGCCCGTTGAATTCAAGGCCGTCGATGCCACTGTCTCGGCCGCCCCTCAGCAGCATACGGAGAAGCCCGCGGAATCAAAGTCCGCCGAGTCCAAAACTGCCGAGTCCAAGCCCGCCGGATTCAAGCCCAACGATTCAGAGGCTGCCGATATCAAGCCCGTCAAATCTGAGCCCGGCCCTTCCGCCATTCCCGAAGCTAGCATTGACACAACCTCTACGAATTCTCCGCGCGGCCCTGTGTGGGAGGATGCTACCGAAGCCAACAAGGATGACCCCAAGCCCAAGGAGGCTTAGAGACCAGGAATACATTGATCGAGGACTTGATAAACCAGCCTCCATTTCAGGATACAATGCTTGGAACCCAAGTCCGGCAGCGGTCCCCTGTACCACCTCAGTCGCCCATCTACAGTTGATGGATGGGCTTTGTACGAAAAGTAAAAAGGACGGCTTCATGATAGCGTATAGATAGATCCGGAGAAGGACAGAAGATCGGATATATTACTTTGTACAAACAACTCCACGTCTAGTGATTTCAGTTTAGAGAACTTACGCATAGCAAAAACAGACAAACATCTCCTAGAAAACGTAATTCATTACTATTAACTTCGAATAATACAAACTTGCTTCAAGTGGAGCAACAAAAAGCAGTTGAGTGGCCCGTTGTTTAGAGTAGAAATCTTCTGCACCATCCACCTCTTCACAAATCAAAATCATGGCCGCAGCCACGTCCGTTGGCAAGGCACCCTAGTTCTTCTTTCCGCGGTAGAGATAGCTTCCCACCACCGCATGAGCGGCACCCGCGGCGGCCAGAATGCCGACACCCAGGCCGACCGCCTTGCCGTCGAGGTTGCCTCTCTGGTACAGGTTCCAGCCCTGGTAGCCAAGGTAGGAGCCAACGCCGACAAACGCGGCAAGGTTGGCGAGAGCGACGCCCGAGGCAGCACCGTCCGAGAGTTGCGAGACCTGCTTGGTGATCCACGAGTCGGCCTTTTTGGCCTCGGCGGCGGCGTTTTTGCGGGCGCGCTCAGCCTTGGCCTTGGCGGCTTCGGCCTCGCGCTCGATGCGGTTCGCCTGCGTCTCCGTCTTGACGTCCTGCTCCACAAAGTCGGACGGCACTGTGTGCACGCTGGGCATGTCGACGTCAATCAGCGACGAGGTGGAGGCTGACTCGTTGGGGATGACTTCAGGAAGAGGGGGAGCGGCAGCCTGAACGAAGTTAGTGAGTGAGCGAGAGCAACGAGAGCACATGGGGGACGAGGAGGAGGATGGTGTCGCAATTACCTCGGAGGGGGACTGCTTGGGGCCCTTGGCGGCGGCGTTGGCGTATGACACTGTTGAACAATCAGCAAGCCTTCAATGGCTTAAATCATCGAGCTTGGTCTGCAGCGCTGCGCTTACTGTTGATTGTTTTAGGTTGTAGCGACTCAGAGAACGCGTAATGTGAGGTGTCTTGAGTCTTCTGTGAGAGGATTCAATGAAAAGTGCTGGCTTCAACTCGGAGACGACGTGATAGATGTAGTAAATGGGAAAGGTGTGAAACTGGATCTACAACGAGCAAGAGTATCGTGAACTGAGGAGCAGACAGCAGATTTGGATGTTTTAAACAGGTTGCGCAACGTCAGAAGGTCGGCAAGAAGATGGCGGGAAAGCTCGCAGGTCATGACGTAACGATTGCCCCACCCCCCCCTGCACTGCGTCCACGCCACATCACGCGTCGAATTTGCAATTGTTTGATTCTACCAGAAAGCCGACGCTAGCAGCTTTTCGTAGGGAAATTTACGGCAACCTGTATCAGAATGGCATGTGAAAGAAGCGCTTCCGATTTCCACCGCCTCGTCACTGGCCCCAAATCCATGGGCGTGTATTGCTGTTCGGGGTTGCGAGCTAGCGCGCGCCAGGGTGGTTGACCTGCTTAGTCGCAACGGCCGCCAAGTAAGCTTGATTCGAATGGTAACGGCTAGATCCAGGGGCGCAGAGAAGCGAGTACATGCGCGTTGAGCTACTGTTATAACTATAACGTATATTCTTACAACAGCCTCATAGAACGCAGTAGATGCTTGTCATAGTACGAAGCTCTCGTGGTGCAGATGTGATTATGTATAGCATACCAGCGAATAGATTATAATGCTATTGATCTCCCTCCCATATTATTAATGACGCCGAACAAATAGGTACAATGCTTCCCCCGCAAGCACAGATGGTGTAGAAAATGGTGATTCAACAGTACCGCCAATCGAAACCAAGAAAAAAAAAACAAACTAGATCCCGGCCAAACATCACCCAAAATCCGCAGTACTCCCCTATTCGTATGTCGCATTAAAAAAGACAAGAAATCATGTGCGCAGAAAAGGCAACAACAACAACAATAACTTTATACCGGTTGTACAAATACACAGTGAACGTGGCCAACGGGGCATCGAATGCGTCTTAGTGCAAGTCGCCTCGAAGGCTTCGAACCCAATGCTCGCGCACCCGGCAAGGCATCTTGCAAAAGACCATGGCTGTATGGTCGTTGCTGAGCAGCTTCTGCGGGATTCTCACCTGCAGGTCCAGCTCTTCTGCAGAAAAATCCTTGTAGAACAAGTCGACCGCCTTCTCGCGCCACAGGCCGGAAGCGGTCCCCGCCCCTATGCATGACACATGCTGCACGCCAGGAAGGCTGCCATTGATGGTGTCCAGCAGGCCGGGGTTTCTGTCTCGTATCGTTTGTGGCGTTGGCAGGGTGGCAGATGCGGATGCAGCAAGAGGCGCTGCATGTTCGAATGCAGAGAAGCGAGCGCGCTTTTGTGGTGACCCGGCCTGGTTTGTCTCAAGCCGCGACGGCGTGTTCAAGGCTGGCAGAGGGCCTTCCAACTCTGCGCTTGGCAGACTTCGCTTCTTGCTCAACATTGCTGTATCTTCTGGGGGCGTCAGAGCGCTAGCTAGGGAGGCAGCTGGTGTATGGGCAGCAGATGGTGTTGTGGTACCTGGCTGATCGGAGCTTGTATTTGGTGCATGTTGATTGCTTGGGCTCTCCAAATGTGTCTGCTGGCCTGTCACGGCTATTTCAGTCGACAGAACGGACATGTTTGGCCCAGCTAGTTCGGATTCATCACCAGGTTGGCCGTCTCGGCGTTTTGGCTTCATGATCCTCTTGGGAGCACCTCCAGAGCCGATAACATCGGGGTACAGTGTCTCCATATAGTCTTCGTGATCGAAGGGCCGCCCTCTGAGTGCGCGCGACAACGGTTCTCTCTGCGCGAAAACCAGAATCAGTAAAGGCTAGTCCAGCCAGTGGGCCGCAGTGCCAGCCGTACCTCTATATGTGCTCGCCACGCCTCCTCCGTCGCGGTCACGGTCCTGGCTTTGGGATTATACACAAAGTCCGGATCCTCGCGCAAGCCTCGCCACAGCCTGAACCGCTTTCGCGCATTATCACTCTTGTTGATGAGGTGGTTTTTGGTTGGCGAAGCGCCGTGGCTTTCCTGCAGCGCTTGGGCTGCACGCTCCCAGGCCTCTGCCTTGAAGCTGCTGTTCTCGCGCAAGCCCAGCTGAACACTCTCGCAGAGGCTCCGGAAAAAGGTCGCCTCGTAGGCCGGGGTCCAGCTGAAACGCGGCGCCCGGCGATCGCGGTCGACCTTGCCGGAGCCCTGGCCGTCAGCGGCCAGCATATCTACATCGTCTTCGGACATGGTGGGCAAAACGCGCGCTGGGGCGGCGCCGTCTCGACGTTTTGGTGTCGTACGTCTCTTGGTGGCGTGTTGGGTCTTCGCTGAAGGGGGAGTGGAAGGCAAATGTAGGCCCCCCCCTTCGTTGCGCGCAAGCAGGTACCAAGGGATCTTGGACGGACCTTTTGGCTTGATGGTCTGCAATCGTCGCCGTTAAGGCAAGATCCGCGTGAGGCTGACTATTCACCAGCACACTCTCTTTTTTTTTCCCTTTTGGTGGGGCGACGGTCGCGGGACAAGACGCCGCTTGGAGTAGGCCGTTGCTGGGCGCCGTGTGGGCGGGCCTCAAGCGGCCAGTACGGCTTACTTTGGGTACCTAATTAGTGATTTACGGTACCTAACAATTTTCGCTGGCAAATGGCGCGCCGGGCAGACGGATTTGCATGGCCAAGATGTGGCCGCTTCTTTCAGGCTTCAATCAAGAGTCACGTGTGCCAACCACGATGGGTTCATCCCAAGTGTGGGAAGAAGGCCGCCGCCCACTCTGAACTCGCCATCTCAAGCACAGAGGCTTTCGGACAACGCGACATATCGAGGGTATAAAGATAACTAGGAGAAGACTTTGACCTGTGCGACCTGAAAATAAATTGGAAACAGCAAAGAATTATGATCGGACCCTCAGGACGCGCCGCAGCAAAGGAAGCTGTCCGAAAATCATCTACTTCCGACACCCGACAGCGGATTTGCTTCGGCACAACAGTTGACAATATCAAGACAGAGCTATAGTTGAGTACGTTGTTACGGAAGGAAACCACTTTGCAATTTCATACTCTCAGGATGGTGGACCACCTCTACATTCTCACTGAGTAGTTCCACGGCTCCTGCCGGCCTCCACAGGCATCGACTCGCGAATGAGAGGATTCAGTTGGGGAACATACCTGTACGTTATTGACCAGTACAATTCAAAACCGCTACCCTTGCTGAATTCTTAATCTTTTTAATCGGGTCCAATACCTCGGCGGGTACTGGTGGGTTGGCGAAAACCTTTACTTGCCCATCAAATGCACTTCTTATTCTTAACCATGATAAACTCCACTGGCTGAACGCTCTGTGCAGCACCCACAATGCCTTTTGTGGCTTTGAGCGACCGAAGTTGAGCGCTCTGCCGGGAAACTTGCCGCGTTCCCTCTACCTACCCGGTGGGTTAGACTTTGATGTGCCATGCTCCATCACAAGACCTCCAATCACCAACATACTACGTGAGAAAAGCGCAGAGGCCATACTACTTCTACTTATGAAGGGACCATGATTGTTGTTGGGAGCGTAAAATTAGCCCCAAGCAAAGTCACAGTTGCTGTGGTAGTATATGCCCAAGCGTCGTCTCATCACGGCATCATAAGTAGAGTGCCACACAGCCGTGAGGCTGTGCCTAGCCAAGTTATGAAGATGGTAGCATTGGCAGAGCAAAACAACAACATGCTCATTCGGCATTCAGCCCATTGGTCGGCGTCGAACAAGAGTCGACTCTACAAAGCAGCCAGGACGCCAGCCAACAACACGGCGACCCCCGCAATGGCTCCGAGGTAAATAGCAGCTGCTCCTAACAACGCCGTCGTGGGCTTGGCAGAAGAACGAGCAGAAGCAGTCAAAGACGCTACGGAACCCGTAAGTTGGGCCGTGTTGTTTCCGTCTACTCTGTCGGCCGACGCTGACGCGGTCGGAGCTGGTGTGTTGCTTGCAGCTCTGGCGGACGCAGTCGGCGCGAAGCAAGAAAGCAACACTTGGCAGTAGCCGGAAGTAGCTGCTATAATAGTTTATCAGCACATGTTAACTGACGGAAACGAGTAATGAATGCCACGTTTGGCTTGATAATCCCTTACTGATGGCCTTGTCGCCTCCACACGCTTTCAAAAGCAGCCGACGGCGGCCTCGAAAATGTCCTCGTTTTTTTCTTCTTTGTTAGTACTCACCAGCATACGGCTAGATGTGGGAGCAATCAGTCACTTTACTAATCGCATCTTCGAGGCAGCTGAGGAACACTTTGACAGGAAGTCGGTGTGGTTTTGGGCAGCGACGGAATAGATGCTGATGCAACGACTGCGAGTGTGGCCACCTTTATCTTGCCACTGAATACAGTGACGTCGCAAGACTTCATTCCGGAATCAGACAATATGTGAGATATCGCTATTTGCTGGTACGAAACCGTCAGAACAATAGTTGCGCGAAGCTACAAGCCTGAGAAAAAAGGCCACACTTTCCCGGCGGCAGGCAGTGTCAGTCAGGGTGGCGGTAATAAGTACCGGGATCATCTATAATACTGGCTAGTCTGGCTTGCAGTGAGCCGAAGCCATGGCTTGTCAACTGTCAGCCCAGAATCGTTGATGGCTGCTCCAGGTGGCGCGTGGCGCTGGCCAAATGTTTGTGGTAACCCGCAGTCCAACAAGAGAGGGATCCTTGTCAGAGGCATCATCAGCCCGTGAAAGTGGACAGAAGCGCCAAGACAAATGGTCTGGAACTAGACAAGCCCAGCGGCGCTCCCGCAAAACCGAATACTGATGGTCGACTGGGGTGCTTTCCGAACGCACGGAGTTGCGCAGCCATGTCCGAGATGGCTCGCCTGGGTCCGCGACGCTTTTGATATTTCGACAAAAACATTACCACAAAAGACTTTTTCCTAGTTAAATAGTAAGTAAGTCCTGCTTTTGGGGGAAAAGAAAAGGAAAAAAAAAAAAAAAAAAAGGAAGAAATCAGAAAAAGATTGGGCCAGTTTTGAGTTGTGCGTGTGGAGGCCATCCATGGCTTTACTGAGTTGTGGCCGCCGTGGTCATGATCTGATAAAAATTTTTATCTGATCATCAGATAAGATGGCAGGCAGCTTGCGCATGTCCAGACGACCAGAGACCCGGAGCTGTCCTTTTTACGTCGACTCCACACGTTTTTTGAGGAATTCCCACTCGAGGGCGCCATCGAATTTAAATTCAAGCCACGAGGCATTTTCTCCACGGGCTCTTGTACACGGTCGGCCGCACCGCTGAATCCCAGCTTGACCGCGTGCTAACATAGCTGGGCTCTTATATCAAGTATCAAGTATAGTTACATGGCAAGTCTCTGCTTCAACCTTCCCTTTCCTGCTTGCTCCGAGTTGTGGCTACGAGACCCTCCACACTCCCCTGCCGTTCCCCTCCCCTAGTCTCCCACTCACCCTTGCTATGGACGAACAGCGACCATGCTGCTATGGCATGGTTGCATCAGCATCACTTTCCGGAGCCTTTTCTTGTGTCTGTTTGCCTGCATGGGCTTCTTCTACCGAGTTTATTTGTCCCCGCTCGTCTGCCCCTCTTTACCCATCACCGCATATTGATAGTTATTGGCAAAAGCTCGCTGATAAAAAAAAAATTTGTTGATCATCACCTCTTTTTTCCCACACTCTGTGCATGTTTTAAAGCCAGCCAAGCCCACCCAAACTTGAACCCTTTGCCGCTGTTGTCGTTTGTGCCTCAATTTTCTTAGCGTTCAACGCCACCCGCTTGCCCTATCGTTCCAAGGAGCTTGGCGAATCTCATCTTCTTGGTGGTGTTTCCCCCTCTCACACCCTACACATCCTTGTTTAGCGGCAGGCGATTTGCCAAACAAGCCACCCCAAAAGACAATGCGCTTCTTTTCAAAGAAGTCGGCGGCCGAAGAGCCAGAGGTCACGGCCGTCGCGCCAGATTCTGGTGCCGATGAAAAGGGCACCAGCACGGAGCGATCCAGCGAGGAGAACTTTGGCACCGCCAAGCAGGCTGGTGTAAGAAAAGTCGAGGCTGCCGCTGAGGTTTGGAGCAAATGGGATCTCGCCGCCGCCTATGGACTGTGAGTACATTTTCCCCATTTCCGGGATATAGTGACTTGGTGTAAGTCGACACTGGTGTTAATCAATGTCCCAATTATACAGAATCTGGTTGTATTACTTTGCCACGGCGACCGCCGAAGTCATCACCCGAACTCTCAATCCTTTCGTGACGAGCTCCTTCAACAAGCACTCTACCAGTGCCGCGGTCAACATCTTGTCCAGCATCATCGGTGGTTTGAGCAAGCTTCCGCTGGCCAAGATTCTGGATACCTGGGGCCGCCCGCAAGGTTTGGCATTGATGCTCGTCATCTGGTGCCTGGGCTACATCACTACCGCTGCTGCTAACAGCATTGAGACTTATGCTGCGGCTCTCGTGTTTAACGCCGTTGGGTAAGCTTAGCTGACCATAACCCCAAGAGAGAGCATCGCAGAATAAAAAAACTAATACAGGTTCATCATTTAGAGCACAGGGTGTTAGTTACACTGTCACCGTCTTCATCGCCGATACTTCGTCTTTGAGGAACCGAGGCCTGATGCTGGCCTTTGCCACATCACCGTACTTTATCGTCACCCCCATCAGCGGTTTCATTGCTAAGCGTATCATCGGAGGCATTGGCTGGCGTTGGGGCTTTGGTCTTTGGTCCATTGTGATGCCCGTCATTGTCCTTCCGCTCTGCGGCGTTTTCCTCTGGAACCAGCGCAAGGCCCGAAAGCAGGGCGTTTTGGAATCAACCAAGACCAAGCTCACGCTCCGCGCCGTCTATGACTATCTCATCGAGATTGACATTGTCGGCCTCCTTCTTTTGGCCGTTGGCTGGGCCCTGTTCCTCTTGCCCTTTTCTCTCTACTCCTACCAACCCCAGAGGTGGCGTGCACCAATCATCATCTGCTTCCTCATCTTTGGAGCGATTTTCCTCATGATTTTCCTCGTCTGGGAAAAGTACTTTGCTCGCGTCACGTTTCTCCCGTACAAGCTCATCATGGACCGCACAGTCTTCTTTGCCCTCGTCATGTTCTTCTTCTTCTACATGCAGTCGAGGATCTGGGGCAGCTACTTTACTTCCATGCTCTTTGCTGTGTGGGACTTGAAAGCCGATCAAGTAACTTGGATCAACAACATTTATCGAATCGGTTCTTGCTTCATGGCTGTTATTCTCGGATTCCTCATGCGCTACACGGGCCGCTTCAAGTGGGTTGCCACAATCTACGGTATCCCCTTGATGCTTCTGGGTGTTGGCCTCATGCTCAAGTTCCGTCAGGCCAGCGAGGCTATTGGCTATGTCATCATGACCCAGATCTTTGTTGCCTTCTCGGGCGGTCCCACTGTCGTTGCCGGTGAATTGGCCATGATGGCTCCCTCGGACCATCAAAATGTTGCCGTCATCATTGCCATGCTTGATCTCTTTGCCAGTATTGGTGGTGCTATTGGCTCTACCATCTCGGGCGCGATTTGGACCGGTACTTTCAAGAACGAGCTCATTAAGCGCCTCCCGTCCGATGCCCCCATTGATGCCATCTACGCCAAGCTTCCGACCCAGCTTTCATATGCACCAGGCACCCCTATCCGCATCGGCATCTCAGAAGCTTACTCTGCCTCGCAGCGATACATGCTCACGACCAGTGTCTGCCTCTTGGCCGTTGCTTGGGGTTGCACCTGGATGTGGAGAGATATCAACATCTACAAGAAGAAGCAGGTTCACGGAACTGTCGTTTAAAAAAAAAAGGTGGCGGGCGGCCATGCTCGATAATCTACTCGTGCCGATTGTCCATTTTCGACATTGCAGTATTTTTATTTCAGAGGTGAAATTTGGTCGATATTTTGCCCAGCGCACTGCCAAATCTTACACCGCTTGGCTCTTAGTATCAATTAATAGTAGATAGCAACTTAATAGTGTCATTGGATCATCATTCTCCTCCCCGTTAGCATGTGACGCCGCTGGAGCCATACGTCTTTACTTTGAATTCTGACAAGCTAACTTCCTCAGAATTGTGCAACGCAGTGCGTGTGCCCTCACTAGGCAATCGATGCCCGATGCAAGCTTCCGGCTTCCTCGGACCAAGTATCAGTCTTTGGAAGATGCAACTGGGCGAGCATCACAATGGTTCCAGACACTCACCGAATACGGAAATAGGACATTCGATGTTCATTCCATGCGACCTATCATCAGTCACTGTAATACGTGGCCAGCGGGCCGACTCAAGCAGTGCAACGCACCCACGGACAAGGCGGCAGCCTGCTTCTAGCCTTGTACAACGCTCCGCGCACCTCAAGTTTGACTAGCGAATAATTGGTTCGCTTCGGACGAACCATGATTCAGACCTTTTAAATCTTGGTCTCGGACATATTCTTTTCGGCCTCTTGCTTCCACTCGTCACGCCATCTGCTTAGAGGCGGACGCCCGTGGACAATATCACCCACACTCCAGAGCATCCGCTTCTTGTCAGTCTCTTCAGATACGTCATTGTCAGGGCAGATGACATAGAATTCGCTCTTTTCCATCTTCTTGTACAAAAAGTCGGCCACTTGCTCGGGTGCCCACGCGCCGGCCGGCTTCTCCTTGGTCTGCCCGCCGCCGGTTTGAAAGATGGTTAGAATCCATGCCAAGGATCAAAAGACAACATGGAAGAGGGGTTGCATATTGGGTGGGACTCACCATTCCTGTAAATGTCCAGCCTGGAACCAAGAGATGGACGCTGGTGGTGGTTTCTCGAAGATCCCAGCTCAGATGCTCCGCGAGCGTCTTGACGGCAGACTTGGAAGCATTGTACGCGGCGTTTCCAGGCGGGTTTGTGATTCCCTGCTTACTGCCAGTGATGACAATGGCGGTTCGGTTCGTCTTGGAGGCTTCTTGTACCACGGGCAAGAAAGTATTGATTCCATTAATGACGCCAAAGAGATTCGTTTCAAGAATCTACGCCGCGTTAGCAAGTTGCCAATGTCTGGCCATCAGGTAAGACCAGAAACGTTACCTTGCGAAAGTAGTCGCCGTCGCCCCATGTGCCCTTGCCACCTACGCCGGCGTTGAGGGCCAGAAACTCGATAGGGCCGAATTTGGCCAGCGCAAAGTCCTTGAGCGCGGACCAATCCTCAGACAGGCTCACATCAGCAACCGAGGTGACGACGCGCGGGTCAGAGGCGTCCACACCCTGGCCTGCGATATGTAGCTTGGCTTGTTCTAGAGCTTTGGCATTGCGGTCAACGAGGAGCACATTCATTCCCTTGGCGTGACACAACTTTGCGACTGCGAGGCCGACACCAGAGGCTCCGCCAGTGACGAGGGCTGTGGAACCGGGGGTGAATACTGCGGCGGCTCCTGACATGGTGGTTATTCTAGTTAGTCTGGAAAGCTCTTGGCGGCCAATATGGATTTGCAACAGATTCTGTTATGGCGGGCGCAGATGAGTCCAGCGAAACGATTGGTAAATTACAGGATGGCTGTTCAATGGGAGTGGCTGCAGCAAGATGAAAGGCAGGACAGGGCACAGCCTGGCTACCAGACGACTGGTATCAGTTGAAGCTTTGTGGGGGGGGAGTGCACAACCAATGATGACATTGATGTAGGTTTCTGGCGGGGTAGAGTCAAACCCGATGGAGTCGATCTGTGATGAATCAGAAGGCAGCATTGGGTTGTTGCCTTGCAAGCGAAATGTGTGTAATGTGCGCACAAGAGGTTCTAGAACACGGGACTTTCAGCTCTTGAGCTTGATACAGCGAAAAAAGCTTGATACAGCGAAAAAAGCTTGATACAGCGAAAAAGGTAGGTATCAAGCCATCATGGCTTTCCGATATGCAACTAGTTGGTTTTCCATCTTTCATCCGACCACAAGAAATGGTGGAACGGGTCCGCTCCGGGAGTAGTAAGTCATAACCGTGAGAGGCATGATGAGCGCCGTCGCTCAACTTGGGTCCTCAAGTCGACGTCCGTTTAAGCCTCCGGCCTTGACTCGGAACTTTTGCCTGCGACACGATTTTCACTCGTGCCGGACCTGTCCGCAGCCTACTACTTGGCATGCGCCAAACCGCCCGGAGCTTGTATCGGCAAGAGGCTAGCGGCGGCGGCGCCCGGGCGGGCCAGGCTACTCGATTGAGCAACTGCTCTGAAGCGTCGAGATTTTTTTTTGTTTTTTTTTTTTTTTTTTTTTGTTTCCTGACAGCTTCTCGGGTCAGGCGCGAGGTCATCATGTCGAGCGCCTCTTGTGCCACGATGCTCGTGGTGCAGCGCCAGGTGTGCAAAAGGAAAGTCATGGCCACAACTGGCAACTGGTACCAATGTTTTGAAAACTTTGTGGCTTCGACGCCCCAAAGACGCTCGGCTCATTACCTTGTTATATCGAGACAGCCCAGCTCACCTGGTACAGTGCTCGCTCGCTGCGGGGGAAGAAGGGGTCCTTTGACGACAGCTACTAAGACGATGCCGAAAGCTAATAACTGCTGTGAGGGTGTACCGGTAGCACAGACGAACGTGTCAACCCAATAATAATAAATCGGTGAATCAATTTAAAGTGACGACCTAACGTTGGAATTTTTGTCGTCTCTTGGGACATTCTCACTTTGTTGTTGTAATATTGCTTTGTGATTTGTCCCCCAAAATTGACGCCACGGCGGTTTAATGTTTAGCATCTACAGAGCCTTATTTCTTTCAACTTTGTGACCTATTAGTCGCCACTCGACGGCCAAGCCCTAACTAGGGCTCGGCAGCGTCACGCTTCAATGACACTCGGACCGACGCCATGTCTTTGAGAGGTAGCTACGTGATGCCCAGCGTGCGGCTATCGACGTCAACTATAGGGTATGCAAGCCCACCATGGGCCCATGTGTTGTTTGTTAGTGCCCTGGCGGTCGTAGCACGGGATCTATCTCCCATGCTTGCTCTTCAGCATGCACCCCTAACTTTTAACAAGCCATCAAGCCTAGTAAATACTAAATCACCGCGTGGTGCACCAACTAATAAGAGGTTGCTGGATGGCCCCCCCCCCCACCCCTTGTCGCGCATCCCTGTCAAGCAGTCGCTGCGCATCATGGTTGGCTCAATCTGAAATGGTCGATCCCCAAAGGCAGATGGCACGCGTCGCTAGTCAGGTATAAATTACAGCGAGAAAAAAAGGTTGCATGGGTTGAAGAAAAAAATCTCCGATGCGCGGGGCTCTACTGACCGAAAGGAAAGAAGAAGACGAAACAGAAAATGCAAATGACTAAAGCAATTAATACCCCGTGTTACCAGTAGAGTAAGCTTTCCAAAAGCCACAACTAAACTAGCTAATAAGTATACCTACCCCCTTTGCTGTGGCCACAGAACCTGCCAACTCGGCCCAGGCAAGGCACGGGAACAACTAGAGCCAAGACATGCCCATTGTGGCTCTATTTGCGACAAGAACAATGTACTGCATTCTACGGCGCAACAAGGCCATGAGCGAAGAGGCTCCGCCGAAAATATCACCGAACCCAAATCTCGCCTCTGTCTCTCCAACAGTCTACGCCTAGGCGCCCTGAACGACATGAGCAAGTCACAGTAAACCACTTGCCTAGCTGGGACATGTCCGTTCTGCTGCCCCTTGTGGCTTGTGGTAGGGGTTCTTTCTCATTTTGTGACAGGGCCGGGCGCTAACGAGCCTGTGCTGTCAAGAAGAAGAAGACGGGGAAACCTCGCGGATAGATTGGGCCACTCTTTGCGTATATGTACAAGGGTCGCTGGTTTTGTGATTAAATCGTGATAAGCTCTTGGCCAACGGCAGCATCAAAACCAACCGTAATTTACTAGGGTAGATGCGTATATGTTAATAAAAGCACGTCTTTGCCAAACAAGCCGCGAGGCCGCCCATAAAGGTATAAGAGCAAGCATGTCGCGGAGCCAAATACCTATTACGTTGAAATAGTGAAAAGCCGCGCCGTCTAACTACTGCACGTGTTCACCAAACAAAGCTTTCACTATCGGGCCGTCCAATTCGGAGCATGGCTTTATTAGTTCCATAAACGACGTAGCATTCACCACCAAGTTTCTAGACGTTGCTCTTTCTTCTTTCCTTTTGAGACAGCCACGAGCCCGTCGCCCCACAGGTGTCAGGAACTTTGCCCAATCTTTTTGGAGTTGCACACCCTCCCTCACCCTCCCCCCTTTGAGAACCCTAAGCAGTTCAAGTCATATGTAGGCAGCGTCTGGTCTGGCTTTGTCCCGTTGACCATTGTTATTGTTGTGTGTGCGTCGCCGAGGTCCCGCTACGTCGGCCCCGTGCGACGTTTCGCAGCTTAACGACTGGCGAATAGTGCCCCCTGCTTTTCGGTTGGCATTCGCCCAGATGAGCAAAGGGCGTGAAGTTATGAACCATCGGAGAGGGGGGGCTTTTATGAAAGCAAATCATCGCTTTTGACCTTGACCAAATGACTTGCCAGTGCGAGCAGAGAAGGCCGAGAGAAGGGTCACGCAAAGTGGGCTCAGGAACCAGAACTTGTAACAGATGGTTATATACTGGATGAGATCCTCAGATGTAAATTCATGCGACCCCCTTTCCTCTTCTTTGTATCCAAGAGTTGACCTCGGACTTGTATATATCTTTTTTTAAATAACCGAGCTTCTTATTTGCATCTTACACTCCTTTCCTATTTCTTTGGCAACCCTTGCCCATATATCTTCCTCAACTCGAGTATTACACCCCCCGGATTATATCAGCGATTTACGATTTACATCTCAAGCTTGGTAAACATGGTCAAAGCCGGTTTCATCTCGTCTCTCTTGTCCCTGGCAGCCGTCACCAGCGCCTGGGATGCTCCCAACTATGGCGGCTTTTACCGAATATGGCAGGACAACTTTGGTGGCAACGCCGGCCAGCTCCCCAACGAGGGCAACTGGAACATCATCTCCGGCAACCTCGGCGTCAACAACGAGCTCCAAGTCTACCAGCGTGACAGCCGCAATATCCAAGTCAGCGGCGGCAACACCCTGCAAGTCGTCCCCTTTCGAAACGGCAACGGCTGGACCTCTGGCCGCATCGAGTCCAAGTACACCTTTACGCCCAAGGGCGGCCAAGTCACCCGCGTCGAGGCCGCCATCCGCTTCGGCAGCAACAGCATCAACAATAAACAGGGCATCTGGCCCGCCTGGTGGATGCTCGGGGACTCGATCCGCCACGGCGTCCAGTGGCCCGGCTGCGGCGAGCTCGACATCCTCGAGACGGTCAACGGGCAGCTCGTCGGCCACGGCACCATGCACTGTGACACGTTTCCCGGCGGCATCTGCAACGAGGGCAACGGCATCGGCGCCTCCGTCGGGTTTCCCAACCAAGACTGGCACACCTGGCGCCTCGAGATTGACCTCCGCAACGGAAACTGGGTCGACCAGAGCATCGTCTGGTATCTGGACGGCCGCGAGTTTCACCGCATCACGGGCAGCCGCATCAACAACTACAACGTCTGGCACTCTGTGGCGCAGAGCCCTCTGTACTTTATCCTCAACGTCGCTGTTGGTGGCAACTGGGTAAGCAACAACATTTTCTCTTTTTTTTTTCTTTTTTTTTTTTCCTTTCTGGCACAGTATATCAAAGCTTGACACTAACCGTTGTGGCAGCCCGGCTATCCCAACGGAAACACTCAAGATGGATACGGTAGCATGATGGAAGTCGGATATACTGCACATTATGTCAGCCAGTAGGCGCTTTTGTCGTGGGGAAGAGAGAGTCACCTTTAAAATGGGAGGCTCGTGTGGGTTGGCATTTCATGAAGCATGTCCACCGCTGTTGCAATTCTGTTCTTTCTTTTTTTTTTTTGCCCTCTTCACTGTCTATATTTTCCACGGCCGTCTTGACGTGCCATTGTCCATACCTCCGCTCGCTTTTTGCTAAGCTCGTACATATACAACCATGAGAAATACAAACTGTCTATACTCTCTACACTCTATCCCTTGCAAGTGCATGAGTGAGTAGGCACAAGTCCTAAACTCATTAAACCTCCAGGTCTTCCAAGGATTGGAGCATCTCTTGCACTTTTTCTTCCGTTTGTTGCCGCCGCTGCTCCTGTAATTCATACATGACCTGCATCTCCTTTACCATGAATGGCTTGAGCGGCGCCTTTGCGGCAGCTCGATAATCGTACACGGCAATGTCTTCAAAGAATCGAGCAGCAGCCCGCTTGTGCTTGTGCGAATAAGCAACTGCTTCCATCAGGATCCTGTCAGACGAATCATCTGGCTTCGTGACCAGCTTATGCAGCACCGTGACCTGGTCCGGAAACGTCATCGGCTATTCCACAGACCAGACGATGCGGGACAGCCTTTGTGATTAGAATAATTTTGCGCGCAGTAAGTAGAGGGGGGGGGCAAAGATTCAAAATGCTTTTTTTTTTGCTTACAAATTTATAGTCAGTTCGGATGCTAGCAAGAATCAGGCCAATGCCTCGTGGCGACATGAGTTCTGTAAATTCACGTCGATGCTCAGGTGCGACGTGAGCAGCGACGTTCATCATCCAGTTGACGCGACCTGATTCGGCAAATCTGTTGTACTTGACATTGTTCACGTGGCCTGGAGAAATTAGCTAGGTCAACATCGTGGCTGTGAATGTGCTCATCATACCCTAGCATGGTGTTAGCGGATACATGAAGCAGCTTTTTTGGTGTGGTGCTTCACTCACCATTGAGTCCTGTTCGGCACGTCCCATGGATGGTCAGTAGCGGGCTCGCATTTTATGCAATAGTGTCAAGTAAAAAGTCTCACCATGTCTCCCCAGGCAATGCTATGCTTGTCCAAACCCCTCCATTGCGGTTCAGTGAGATAGCCTTCGCGACCAGCTGATAAATTAAGCCAGTGCTGGTCCAGATAGCTCATATGATGCTTCAGCTGCGCCAGAACTTTTGGCTCCTCTGCCCTCTTGGAGATTCCTGTAGACAGACGGTTGCGAATATCAGAGAGCCATCGCGAGTTGGGCGCCGTCTCTGCCGGCGCAGCCGAAGCTTCATCTTGCTTCCGGACACAGGTGCTGCTGAAAGCGCGTCGTGTAGCGCTTCGACTTGGGCTGACGCGGAAGCGCAGCAATTGATGCTTTGGTATCATGCTTTGAAAATAATCGTAGACTGGAAAAAGCAGTGAAAAAGGTACTCGGCGAATTGATTGTTTTGGACAGATGGCGACGGCAATGTTCAGTTTAGGAGTAGGACGGCCTTCCGTCCGAGGTCCCGGTTCGTGTCGGCTCTAGTTGATCTGGGGGCCCACCGACGTCACTTGCGCCCTTTGGTTTCATCACCGGTTTCGCTCCGTCATTACTTTATCATTGCTCAAGACTATATATTTTTATTCTCTTGAATAATCTCAGAAAGATTGAGCGAGAAAAGTCAAATCTTATTCAAACAGATATTTCAATACCACCATCAGGACTTTATAGATAGCCGTGCTGGGGAGCGGCTCCGACCAACAATGTTGGGTGCCTCAGTTTAGGCCATCTTGGATGGCCTTTTCAAGCCCGACTTGGCCACGCACTATATCCAGATTCTCAAGCTCTTTAGACCCAGGAGAAGCTATTCCTCCAGGGAGAAACGACAAGGACATTTCCACCCAGATGCCCACAAGGCTTGGCGGAAAGATGGCGCTGAAAAAGTCGGCCATTTCATCTTTGGCAATGGCTTTTACTGCAACCTGCTTTTCCATGGCCTTGGAAAATGCGACTTGTACATCGAGTGGTGAATATTCCCTAGGGCCATGCAAGGCAAACACGTAGGGCTTAGTCGGCGGCGCATGAGCCGAGAGCAGCTCTGCCGCAAAGGTCGAGCCAATGTCCTCTACGGCAACCATTGGCAGCTGGAACTCGAGCGGCGTAATGACCGAGTTGAAGTATGGTTCAGGTCCCTCGAGTGTTTGCCAGTTGAACAGGGTCCAATTCTCCATAAAGTATGCACACCGAACAAAGAGAATCTCGGGGACGTTTGTATCTTGCAGGATTTTCTCCGCAATATGATTCGTTTTGATTTCGCCCTTGGTGTGCATGAGTGACTCGAAACGAATTTGCTTGTCTATTCTTGTCTTGGGGGGACGATTCAGAGACTTACGACGCCTTGTTCGAATTCAGCGCCTAGACTGCTGAGCAGCATGAGGCGCTTGACTCCGCCAGCTCTTTCGATGGCATCCCTGACATTCCTAGACACTTGTTCGGCTTTTACAAAAGGATCTTCTCCGGTAAGAAATGGAGGCGTGCTTGTCATGACGGCGTCTGAGCCGCCGACGTCTAGTGAGGATGCATCTTCGACGTCGCCGTATACGGCGTGGAAATTTTCGTGAAATCCGAAATCTGCGGGGACTTTGGATAGATTTCGATAAATACCATACACATCAACGTCGGTCGGGGCCTCTTGAAGCAGTCGCCGAATTGTTGCCGCCGAGGTCTTGGGGCCGGCTGGGACGATTGTGATGCGCATCGCTGATACTAGAAATGCAAGTAAGAAAACTTGTCGGGGTCTGGAAAAGATGTGCTCAAAGAAGCTGGGAGGAAAACATATTTTAGAGCAGCTTGAAGAATCAAGGATGTGGCCATTGCCACCCGTTCAGCATTGATCTGCAAACAAGGTTCAGCTGCTAGGCCTCTATCTCGTTGGCACCGAAATACGGGCCAGACACAATAGTGCAGGATCAGCAGTAGTCGCACTTCCTCTTCATGCTCACGCCAGAGTTCAAGGAAATTTAGAATACAGGAAACATGAGCTAGATTGTATCACAAAATAACTGAAAAGACTAAAGGTATCATACGACAATCTGCCAATCGACCGCCTTACCCCGAGAAACCCGCTTCAACCAACACTGCGCCATATCTTCAGATCCCAGCATGTCAATCTAAATTGGCACGCATCCTAGTCGACGAATGCGACTTTAATATATGGAGTGCCTATTTGGCGTGAAGGTTGGCAAGACTAGGCCTGCGGCTCGCCGACGGAGTACCACGAGGAGTCTGGCGAGGAGTGACGCGGCTTTCACCAAAGAAGCGGTGCTGCTGGCTGTATCGTCGTTCGGCTCCGGGCCGCTGCGGAGTACCAGAAGCTTTGGATCCTATAATTGATAAGTAGCTGTCGCGAGTCTTAGATCTTGGTCGATGCTTACCTTGGCGATCTTCGTGAAGGACGCTGTTGCGGCGCTCGGGGTGCTCCTGGCGTGCGCTGGCGAGCTGCTGCGCAAAGGGAGAGCGGTGTCGCAGAACGGGCCCCTTCCAGTAGATTACGTACACAGCAATGACGAGAACGAAAGAAATGGCAAAAAGGATGGTCGAGGCATATTCCAAGTTTTTGCCGCTCGACGTGCCAATGTTGCTGAAGAAGGGGACGGCTGGAATGGTCAAAACACCAGCCAAGAAGTCGCGCTGTCAAGATTGTTAGCAAACAGGCCAGAACGATTGGATTGAATCAAAACTTACAGCCCAACCGTTGCCACCTGTAGCGGAAGCAGAGTAGGGACCATATGCGCAAATCATGTAGTCAATGGTGGCCATGTAAATGGCGTAATTTGCGATACCGACAATGGCAGCAAAAATCATGGAACCGATCCAGTGAATGGGAGGACCCTGGATGGTCCAAGCAAAACCGATGAGACCGATGGGCAAGCAAGGGGCCGTGTACAGCAGGAACCAGAGGCGCGATTCATACTGGGCACGCTCGTCATGGGGCTTGGCTGCGCGCTCCTTCATGTTGCGCTTAATGGCCGGGATGAACAGGAGCCATGCGAGAAGATAGCCTACACCGATGGGGATGAAGGCGAGGCCGATTTGAACCTTGGAAAAGTGCCACTGCTCGTAGACGAGGCCAAAGGACTGTATAAACATGAAGATGAGCGCATCGGAGAAGCCGGACAGGAGCGATAGAACCAGAACAATGGGCTCAGTGAGAAACATCCTGAAAGGTCTTGCCCAAGTCGACAGAATCTCTTTCAAGGAAAAGCGGTCACGGTAGGGGACAAGTTCATCGGGGCCCCAAATGTTCTCTCCGTTCTTTGTGCGGCGACGCTTCGCAATACGGTTCATCATGATGGTGGAACGGGTCTCGGGGACGGTCAAGAAGTGAACTATCTGGACAAAGCCGCCAAGGATGAGCTGCACCCACATGGCCCATCTAGAAATAATGTTAGCATGACAGTTGCATATTCGAGAAATATGGGCTTCATGGGGGACAATTTTACCTCCAGTGAAGATATTGCTCGATGAAACCACCAACGATGGGACCGAGTACCGAACCTCCGACAGACGAAAATACAACGTAGGCGACGGCGTATTGTTGGTGATCAGCCTCCCACATGTCAGCAATCATACCAAGCGTGACTGAACCACCGGCAGAGGACAGGCCACCGAGGGCACGTCCGACCATGATGGTGGCAAAGTTGGGCGCCAGGGCGACGGGAAGCTGCCAGATGTTGACGAGAAAGAGCGAGAGCTGGAGGACGGGCCAGCGACCAAACTCCTCGGACCAGGGCGCCCAGAGCTCGCAGCCAAAGGCGTAGAGGACGAGGAAGATCATGGCGCCGCAGCGCGCGGCCTGCAGGCTGACGCCAAAGTCCTCGCGGATGCCCTCGAGGCCGTTGGAGTAGAGCGACGTGTTAAAGTTCATCGACACCTGCACCCAAAAGATGACGGTGAGAATGTACCACTTCTTCCACGTGGGGAACGAGAAGCCGAGCTCGTCGTAGCAGTCGTCTTCGGTGATTTCATACTTGTCGTACGTGCCAATCTTTTCCAGCTGGGCGCCGTTGCTGCCGGTTCGCGGGACGCCATCGCCGTCGGCCGAGTCGCTGCTCCCGGAGGCGCCATTCTCGGCGGCGGCCTTTTCCTCGTCCAAGGCGGCGGCGGCAGTGGCTACTTTGTCGCCGGCGGACTGGTTCCGGAGCAGCTCGTTGGCGCGCTCGAGATCCTCCTGGTTCATGACCTGCGGAGGGTCATCTGAAAAGTGTGTGGTCGGCATCTTGGGCGGCCGAAGCGGGATGACTTTTGTTAATCGGCGACTTGCCGGCTGCTTTGTCTGGCGGATTGCGCCGCAATGGGAGGAGGAGGAGGAGGAGGAGGAGGAGGAGGGTGAAGAAGAGGAGGTGAGGAATAGGAAGAGTAATCGGTTGTCAAGGAAAAAGGAAACAAGACGATATTATAACACCGCTTACTTTCACTAGAAAGTAAAATTCCTATACACAACAATCGCGGCGGGAGAGCTTAGTATTATTGTTCGCTCGTCGGCCTAGAACCGGGCATGTTTAGTCTTTTTTGGGGCGGACCGGATTCTCCACCATCCATGGAAATACCATTGCAAGGTGACATCATGTCTCTCATTTAGAGATGGCTAACGCAGTTGCGGTCTAGCACTTTGCACGTTGCCTCACCTCAGCACCTCAAGGGGGGGGGCGCAGAGACGCAAACACACGCCATGGCGAGCCCATGGCAACACCTGTTCAATCTTTCGATACAAACCATTAAGCATACTCGGACGATGCGTGAATTAATCCCCCACGCTGGGCCTCGGAGAATGAGAGGCAAGAGGCAAGAGACAAGATCGAGAAGGGCAAGTCTATGGATCTTTTCTGGGGGGGGGTGGGCGTGGAAAAATTTGGGGGAAGATGCTGCCTCCCCCCTTGCCTCCCTCCCCACCTCCGTCCCATTAGGGATTAGGAATGCGGCAGCGCGGTTCCACGGCAACAGTCGAGTAAAGTACACAAGTACACAAGACCAGAGTAGGTTATTATCCGTTTACTGTGTCTAGATGTAAGTTGCGCGCCCTTGTTGTCTCGACCACGTTCCGAGGCCATGATAACCAACTCGGCAACCAGAGAAAAAAAAACACCCAACTCAAAACAAGTGCGACTTCTTAGGCCAAGCCAAGCCGGCAAGTACGGCTCTGAGCGAATGGCGTCCATGAACGAAGTTTAGCGGCCATCGCAGCCGGTCGTGGCGCCCATCAAGTGGCACCCCCCCCTCCCCCTCCCAAAAAAAAAAACGCCACCGAATCCAGGCACTTGGCATCAGCGCCGGAGATTTAGTGCATATTTTACAGGGCTCTTTGGCTTTGACCCAGGGTCGAGGAAGCCGAGAACCTTCAGGAATCGAGTGTGTTGCCTGCTCAACTTGTCTTCCATCCTAGGGTTGTCCAAAGGCCTACTATGCGTCCATTTCGTCTGTGCGCGCAATGAGACGTCAAAGATCTCGTGTCTTTTGAATCTCGAGAAACCGAGTACCGGCACGAGTCATGAGAGTGCTATAAAATAATGAGTTGAGTAGGTAGGGCTTCCGCATGCCGAGGCGGGCACGTATCCATCTGTCGATCCGCAGAATGCGAGCCCCGGCCGCTCCGTACTGGTAGCTTTGTTATAATGGGGTTATTATTACAACAGTATGGAAACATGAACTGTGGAAACGCCTTGTCAGTTGGAACTCCCCCACAGCCATGCCCTTTCACGCGCCAATTAGAAAAGTTTTTATACTGTTGCCTGCTGTGACAGTGATTTCTTGCGACAACTGTTTAGAAAAATTCGCAAGTCAATATGGAGGAGCGATATGAGGAGCAGCACGGCAACTTGGACGGCAATTCCTTTTGGGTGCTTGTCCATGTTCGCTTGGCACAGAGGATGCCTGCCGACCGTCTTTTCCAATTCGACTCGAGGGGCGTCTATCAGTATGTGAGCTGGCATCGAGGGTAGTCCAGCGTTACACTACGTCTTTGTACGAGATATACCCCAGGAGCTGCGATAGCAGACACCCCCCAATAACTTTGTCGCAAGCCTGACACTAGCTGGTCTTGGTCGAGGCTATTATACAGCCCAATGAGGGTATTCGTGTCTCGATAGCCCACCAGCCCAGCAACCCCAATTCGAACACTGTAAATGTTTATCGTGACCTAATTGCGCGTTCATTACTCTAGTGTCCTTTCTGCTCTTTCGAGTCACGAGCCGCAAGGCCAAGGATGACATTTTTCGATTCCTGCTTTCTGTCCTATGCCTCGCCATGGATGGCCCAGACGTCATTGTCCGCATCTGGCGCAGCTACTGTGAGTGGCGTCGGGAGTGCTCGCCGACCGAGCAGGGAACAAAACGCCACACTTTCTTTGTCAACTTTGAACATGATCTTGAGATGACGGACCCTTCGAAGAGATACTGCGCAAGTGCATACGAATCACCGTAACTAGCGCTGAAAGGAAACGGCAGCGGGAGCATGCCGATGTTGCAGTGGAAAGCAAAAACCTATTCCTACTGATTGTCTCTGCCCTACACCTTTTTTTTTTTTGTCTTTTTACTCGCTGTCAGTGCGCTCGCTCGCGTGCGCAGTTGGCAGGATTGGCAGGGTACGCTGGGTGCTCGAGGCCCATGACATCATGACTTGGTAGCAAGCTGCGCCACGGCTGCAGGGCTGCGGCCGTCAATTGTGTTCCTCTAAAAAGTCAAACTTGTTTCTCTGGCCTTGAAGCACCCCTTTCTTTGTATTATGCCAACATGTCGTTTGCTAGCTGTCAAAAACGATTCTCACATGACACAATGATGCATGTCTTGCCAGCATGGCTGTAACCTCGACCACCATCAAGCTGGCGATGCTTGATCCATTCAAGGGTCATGATTTTTTTTTTTTAAAAAAAAAAAATCTTACAACATCGCTATGTGTCAAGGTGCACAACGCAGCCGTTCGCGTTTGGCCTGCCATCCGCGGATTCCGCAACGATACAACTCGACTTGACTCGCCTTGTCTTCGTTGTAGTGTGACATCGCTCTTAATCATCACATTATTCGCATTCGACAAAAACGGTCAGCCGTTGCATCCTTGAACCGGCCCGGAAAAGCATTGCCCGTGCCCGTGATACGACCGCACAGACGAGCCAATGCCCCTTCGATATGGTTTGCTTTCTACTCGTATTGAGCAGCAACCCCGTATTGAATTATTGCATTGAATACGGTTGCCTTTCGTGAAAATCACTATTGTAATGGAACGTTGACGTTGAACTCCTCGATATAATTGATCATTTATTCAAAGATTCATATACATTATTAACGCTTTTTACCTCCCATCACAAACTCTAATTTCGATTCATAATTCAAAATGTCACGTCTTTGCCTGACTTGGCACTCTCCAAAACGGCCTCGATGATTCGAAGAACGTCACGAGCCTCGGTGGCCTTGACAGGCACATCCTCCTCCTTGCCAGTCTCGACAGCCTTGCCAAAAGCATTGTAAAAGGCAGTGTACGTCTCCGGCTTCAGATCCGGGACAGGAGCCACTGACGACTTTCCGTCCGCGTCAACCACCGTCAGGCGCATGCTCTCGGGCTTGTCCTTGCCAAAGCCCTCGACCGTGGGCTTGGCGCCGGCCTTGAGCTGGTCTTCCTGGGGGTCGAGGCCGACCTTGCGGAAGCTGCCCTTGTCGCCGCGGACCCAGAAGCGCGGCTGGTCGACCTCGACGCTGAGGGCGCTGATGCGGACGTGGACGAGCTTGCCGTCCGGGTACGTGAGCTCGGCGGCGACGGCATCGGGGTTGAAAAAGTCGGGCTTGCCGGCGCGTTGGGACAGCAAGCGGCCGTGGACCGACTGTGGAAGACCAAAGAGCGTGTAGGCCTGGTCGATGAGGTGCGTGCCGAGGTCGAAGAGGGCGCTGCCGCCCTGAGGGATGCCAAGCGCGCCCTTCCAGTTGGTGGCGGCGGCGGCCTTGTAGCGGTCAAAGTGCGTGTTGTACTCGAGGACGCGGCCGAGGGTGCCCTGCGCGATGAGGTGCTTGACTGTGAGAAAGTCGGAATCCCAGCGACGGTTCTGGTAGACGCAGATGAGGCGATTTTTGGCGCGCGCGAGCGCAATGAGCGTGTCGGCCTCGGCCGAGGTGGGCACAAAGGGCTTCTCGGTCAGGACGTGCTTGCCGGCCTCGAGGGCGGCTTTTGTCAGCGCAAAGTGGTTGTCGGGCGGGGTGGTGACGACGACGACATCGACGGCAGCGTCAGCGAAGAGGTCCTTCACATCGGTGTAGTGCTTGACATTGGGGTGGTCGGCGGGCGCAGAGTTGCCGTCCTTGGGGCTGCGCTGGACAATGGCGTGGAGCTTGAACTGAGGGGTAGTGGCGATGAAGGGGATGTGGAAGACTTTGGCAGACATGCTAAAGGGTACGAGTTAGCCATTATTGCTGAATGGACCTCATATAGGAGCATTAAGCAAGGGAATCGATCCCACGAAGCTTTGCATAGAATTTGGGTAGCCATCACTAAGCAATGCATGGTGTGAACCGCGCATGGCGGGGGAGGGGGAGGGGAGAGGGAGGGGTCGAGGCGGGATGTTGCGAGGCCGACTTACCCATATCCGATGACGCCAACGTTGAATGTCTTTGAAGCCATTGTGTCAGCGTGGTGTGTTTAGGAATACTATAAAAAAGAATTGGAACAGGTCTTTTCTATATAAGAAGCTCCAAGTAGACAATTGAAGAGAAAAAGCTTGTCATAGCCATGATCCGCTTAATAATGTTGCGCGATTGGGGAGTCGGGGCGGAGACGTCACCGCTTTAGCCCATCTGGCAGCTGGCAGGCGGTTCTTCAGCGCACATCCGAATCTTGCAGGGGTTGAATCCCTATCGCGCCCCCACTGCCGCACCCTTTGAGGTTCTCGTGGGGGAAGATGTTTCTGGACAGTAGCTTAAAGGGATTATGTCTAGATTTCCTTTTTTTTTCTCCGATACATGTAGACGATGCAATTAATAGCTGTTTCTAGGGCCATATTACCAACCAAAAAGCATACAAGCGAAATATTCTTGTCAACATACACGTTCAACCCCCCACGCAACTGCAACTCTAGCACTCTAACTAGCTGGAAGCCCTGGAAAAGACTTGAGCCCCCTGTAAAGTGGACTGGAAAAACTGGTTCCAGTGGGCTCGTTGCACCTAAAACTCACGGTGACAGGTTGGTTGCACCGCTTTCAGCGCAGAAAAGGCCCGACTTGCGCGACGACAGACCCGCCATCTCCAACATCTCGGACAATAAAAATCATTTATTAGCGAGCTTGATTTCCAATCGCTGAGCGATAATTCTCCTCGATCTGCTGCGCGGTTTCTTTATACGGCCACTTTCCCACCTATTGAGTCACACGCCGGCCAGCCATAGAGTACCGGTCCGAAAAAGCCGTCTACACGGGGCGGAGCAAACACCGCTCTCCAGCCATTTCCTATTCTGGACCCTCCGCAACACATCAATATGGCGAGGCGAGGCGCATTGCTTAATCGTGTATCGGCCATCACGCATGAATTGTCTCCCCGGGGCATGTCTTTAATTGCGTTGATTGATCGGGCGAGCTCCAGAGCCTGCCAGCTCATAGTCAAAAAGACTGGCGCTGGTTGCAACTTGATATGCCGCCTCTCCTCTTATACTCGACAATCCCCATTTGTTAGTTGGTACAAGTCTTGGGGCAGCCTAGACATGTATAAGCTGCTTGCATGTTCCACGACACGCCGTGCTGCCGAATACTGGCCATTCCTTGGAAAACGTTCATAGAATGAATCCGCCGTTTGTGGTGGCGATCACAGCAGATACTAGTGAGCGAGGCTGTGTTGCTGGCCGACGAATCGTATTCCGCTTCACTCAGTCCGATGATGTTCAGCCCTGCGATACCACTCACTGCCTAACTAGGCGTCTAGAAATTCAAAGCTGACCTACAACTCGACAGCCTCCACCAAAGCTGAAGATAAAGTTGCGCCAACGACGAATAACAACTCACAGGATCATTCGTAGCAGGGCGCAGTAGTACACTCAGCCACGCTGAGCCTAAATTGTTCCTCACCCTTCTTAGTACTCGCCATTTGCAACTTTTGAAAAAAAAAATGAAAAAGAAACATCTCTACAAACTTGTAAACGACTCTCAAGAGATTGAAACATTATGGTTCAAAAAGTAAGAGGATCAGGAGAAAAGTCACAGCACTGCCATACCTGCCGCCGCCAGCGGCTGCGCTGCGACGGCGTCCGCCCGACCTGCAACAAGTGCGTCGCGCGCGGCGTCGACTGCCTTGGCTACGGCACGCTGGCGCTGCTCTGGGTGCAGCCGCCCAACGATCGCGCCGTGATACCGGTGCCAGCGGCGGCGGCGACTGCGTCGTCACCAACGGGGGGGAATGCGCGTTCGGTCGACCGTCGGAAAAAAGGCCGCCCCAAGCTCGTGCTGATGCCGCGCGCGGCGTCGGAGCTCACCTTGCCCAACGGCGAGGGGCTCGAGCTGACGAAGAAGCCAGATGCCGCGCAGCTGCGTGCGTACCGGAAAGTGATGAGGATGCGCGGGTTTCACGACGACTATCTGCGGCGGCGCGAGATTGTCCCGAGTCCGGGGTTGGATCCGGAGGGCTACCAATTACAGCGGCTGATTATCGATTCGCTCCGTTACTGTATGCTGCAATCATCATCACTACATCAAGGATGACCACAATTCGCTGACAAGAACCTTTTTCTTTCAATGCTTTCCAGATGATGACCATGTATGCTCGGATTTGGTCCTCTTCGACACCCCAACCAATCCGTTTCGCGTCCTCGTCGAGTTTTGGAGCTACCTGCCCGACATTGTCTCTGACCCCCTCGTCTCCGTCTCGGCCGTCCATCGCATCAGCAAGACACAATGTGCCCTCGATGCTGCTGCGTATGTGCCGGGCTGCAAGTACGCGTTTCGACGGAACAGGCTCCTCGCGGTCAGGCACCCGCTCGTCCCCGTCGTATTTCGACACCAGCAACGGATGGCGGGTGCGCTGGCCTCCATGGTCGCCAACCCGGCACTGTGCGAGCATCGCGGTATCCTCGAAGCCATTACCACCATGATGCTTTGCGAGGTAAGTCGAGAGAATTTCACGCGGACGCACCATTGGTCTTGCGTGTGTCTCCCGCGTTATCAGGTTTGGGAGTGAGATTGACCGTCCGCACTAGATCCAGCAATCGCTGTTTGGTGACTGGGAAAAACATCTCCATGGGGCTCAAGCCATCATCTCGGCCCGGGGAGGGGTGGCAGCCTTCGTGTTGGAACAGCTGAACCCAGTCAACTTTGATCTGTGCACAGTCATGCAGTACGTCTACTCGACTCAGCACTCGCGAACACGGCTGACTTGCGAATAGAGTAGAAGTGATGCGAGATGTGGGATCGCCATCCTGCCTTTTACGCTCCAAAAAAGCCATGTACGAGGACTACTTGGAATATGTGATACCCATATACCAAGAAGGATGGCTCTCGGCATTCCCTTGCACAGATTTCTTGATGAGCTCCCTCATCCGCATCAACTTGGCTCGATACGATGATTTCCAACATGGCGGCGACGTCATGACTAAACTTGCGCTGCGGCGGAAGCTTCTCGACGACATTGTCGCTTTTTCTCCAGCGGCGTGGCTCGACGAGCGCACCCCGAAGCTTGCCAAGGTGTTTGGGTCGCGCGCAAAACAAGCAGAAAGCGGCAGCACACGATCAGCCCTCTTGGACCTTATACAATCATTTCAAATGGCTACTATCCTCTATGCCATCCGGACGCTGTTCCTAGACCATGGTATATCTGCCTTGATAGGGCAGACCACGGAAGGAATAACACCCACATTAGACCAAGTCTCGAGTGAGAGCGGCATCCTCGATTTGCAGCAGGTAGAGGCAGCGGCCATTGAAGTGCTGGGTGCATCTCTGCGGCGCATCTGGAAGATGGAGCAAGCATCGCCAGACTGGTTTGGCAAGTTTACTGTCTGGCCACTGTTTATGCTGGGCATGTTCATCGGCCCAGTGGCCGAACCAGAAGAAACCAAAGACTTCATCTGCACGTCGCTGCTACGGCTCGGTCATCACATCGGGGCCATGGCGTACAAAGACGCCATCTGGGCTTTGCAGCACACCTGGGAGCGGTCAGAGAATATTGAGCGCTATAGCTGGCTTGGCGAGCTGCCTTTGGATGTGTTGCCCGGGTTGTTCTTCATGTAGCATGCCCCAGTGGCGTCGCAGCCTGCAGCGGAACAATTCGTCGAGTCAGTGTGAATATGAATATGAAATGTATTCGATGTGTAATCTAAGATGATAACAATGTGCCAATGTTCTGAAATAACGCCGCATTACGCCGTTCAATGTTTGATTCGTTGCTGTCGTCCCCTACTGGTATCAACATTCGATGAGCGATGACAAGGCTAATGTTCTCTGCTATCGAGATCGAGGTGTGGCCTGCTCCGGAGTCGGTTTCGCAAGTGCATTCTAAATGGCCATGATAAATGTACAGTAGTCTATGCGCTTCGGCGTCTCCTATACCATAAAAGACTCGCCGCAGCCGCATTCTTCCTCTGTGGAGCAGTTAGCACGCAGTTTTCATAGTTGTTGGACACTTTCAAGTACGTACTGATGTTCGGATTTCTGAAAACGAAGCGCTGGCTCAGCTTGTCCTCTGCCCAATCCATCTCGCTGCCGATGATGCTAAACAGCGCCTTGCTGTCGATGAGGACCCTGACGCCGTCCTGCTCAACCGTCTCGTCAAAGGCGCCCGGCTTATCGACGTATTCCAGGTGATAGGCCAATCCGCTGCAGCCGCGATTGCGCACGCCGACCTTGATGAGCTTGGGCTCGGGTTGATCCAGCAGGTTGCGCAGCTGCTCGACGGCTGCGGCCGTCAGCTTCATGGCCGCCTTGCGCGGTCGCAGCTTTGACCTCGGTCTTGTCGGCTTGGCCTTTTGCGGCTGCTTCTCGGGGACGGGAGCAGTAGCCTTGGCATCGGATTGGATTCGCTGCTCTTGCTGTTGATTCACCGCCGGTGATGATGATGATGATGATAACGTCGATGGAGCAGTCTGTGCTGGCGGTTGTGATGGTGCTGCGGCGGGCGCGGGCGATGCCGGTGAGGACGGTGGCGGTCGTGTCTCGTGGACCCTGGGTAGGGCCTCGGGAAAGGCAATCGAGGTTTCGGCCAACTCTTCACTGCGCGCATCTGTCGATGAGCGCGTCGGGAGAGAGTAAGAGTGGTAGGCGGCGCATACAGGCCTCGATGATGAAAATTGACGAATGGCCAGACGGCAAGTAGTGTGGCGGGCGGCGGCGACACGGCCGAGAAAGTGGTGGGCGTTCATCGTAGCTGAAGCATGAGAGAGGGGGGGGCCTCACGATTCGATGAATTCAATGTAGAAAGAGAGTAGGAACTTATGAGCAAGACTGGCGCATGTCGTTGGTCATGAATTGCAAATGATGTTGATGATGGAATTTAGGTTGAGCTTTTGGCACAGGTCGGGGAAGGCACAGCAAGTTACAGTGGGTTAGTAATGGAGACTTCAGCGCTGAGGACCTGGAGAGGATACAATGGCTCAGCACTGTTTTAGTGCTCGGCTCAGCGGCTTTCGAAGTGTGGCCTGACTCTGCATGTCCGTCTTCCGCCGATCCAATCAGAGCCTTAGGATTAGTCACAATTGCCTGTTTTTGTGGCGACTTTTAGACATTGCCCACCAGAACTTTATGGTTCCTTTGGCCATAGGGGTGTCCATCGTTTTACATGAACAACCATTAACAATCACTGATTCTCTGATTCTCTAACAAGGAAGAAGAATCATTTCTGACACCCAGAAAACCTATCCACATCTTCTGCCAGCCAGTTTGAGCTTGACGTCGGTGCCTCCGCCTCAAGCTTGTCCCCACAATCCTCTCCAGTCATGCGGAAGCGTCCTGCAGACCACTTCTCACAGATGATCCCATGACTTGTGCTCGTGCCTTTCCATCAATTTTCATCAACGTTTCTACTAGATGCCTCTCTTCTTCGCTTCTTGGTCACTGCCATTTCCAGCTTCCACGCTACTGGTAGATCCAACATCATCAGCGGGGACCAAAACGTTGGCGCCATAGTCATGATGGCCCTCGTTCCGACGCGGCGGTGGAATCAGAATATCGAACCAGCGCGGCACAATGAGACCAGCTCCTATAATAATCAAAGCGATGTGGCCAACTGCAAACCCGAAAATGTGAAGCGGGTCGTCTCGCAGCTCATAGAATGATGGATATGAGAAGCTGTACACGATGGACAAGGTCGGCGCCGCAATGTAGCGAACCAGCGGCGCCCAGAATGCAGGAATTTTCCAGTTTGTCCCTTGGCCGACAATCTCGTTCAAGTCGCGGCGAAGTTGGTTACCCTACGCTGAATTAGCTTTGTTGGACAAGATGGCCAGTCTTGATACGTACCGAGTAGAGTGCGACAAACCAGATACGCGAGCCAAAGACGCTTCTGTTCCACCATTTTGGAGCTGCTGCGTCGGGCGCCTTTCCCAACAGGATAGCTGCAACCAGGCCAATAATGAAGATGCCGAATCCTACGCATGCACCAGCGACTGGCGACACAGCCTGAGCAATCGCGACGCCGAGCACCATGCCACCAAAAAAGCCACCATTGAAAGACAGGAAAGCCGGCAGGCCAACTTGGCCAACAACGTCGCGCCATCGATACAAGGTTGTGGATGTAACACACTCAGCCCAGACAACAAATACCAGGCCTACGTCGTTGATCCAGCGATCGACGCCGTCGAGCAAATAGAAGCCAAACTCGGTGCAATATGGCAAAGTCAGGCAAAAGAAGGCCAGTACGACGGCGGTGACTACCCAGGGTCGACTGAACCGTGGGTGGGCATCCATGATCAGAGTGACAATCGCATCGACCATGGCAAATGCTGAGCTGTATCCAAGAACCATGAGGGTGAAGAAGAGCATGACGGCCCAAAAGTTGGCGCCGGGCATCTGCGTGACGGCTGTAGGCAGGGTGATGAAGCCCACCACAAAACTGCCGAGTCGCTCACCTCCGCCAGGTGTGATGCCGAGAAAGCCAATCACGCCGTAGACGATGAACGCCGCGACGTTTTCAAACAAGACATTGCTGCTAACAATCATGATGGAGTCCATGACAGCGTTGGAGTACTTTTGGTTATAAGATGCATAGGACGTAAAGTAGCCAAAACCGACGCCTGTCGAAAAAAAGACCTGCCCACAGGCTGTCTGCCAGATGGTGCCTCTTGACAATTGACTACCATTCCACGTTGCCCAAAAGAATCGAACGCCGCGTGCGGCATTCTCGAGCGAGAGCGAACGACCGATGAGGATAAAGGTAATGACGATTGGAAGGCCCATGGTGAAGTACACGACGCGGCCGGTCAGGCCGACGCCGCGAAAAATGGACACCCAGACGAGGAACCAGGTGAAAACGGCCCAGCCTACAGTCTCGCCAATGACTGCCACGCCGGGGTATTCGACGTATTTCGTGACGGATGATCCATCGGCAGAGAAATTGCCGGGTATGGGGTCGACATTGGCTACCACATCCTGCATGTAAAACTCTTCGCTTCGGCCTGTCCACGGAAGTGGGCTTCGAAAAGAATTGCGAAAGTAAATCATGATCCAGGCTAGGTTGACCACAAAGTACGGACTGACGACTGTGCCGACAAAGATGAGCGAAAGGCCGGTGCCCTTGAGACGGTGGCTTATGTTGTTGTATGCGACGACGCAGCCTCCGCGGTAGGCCTGCCCTATGGCGATTTCGAGGACGAGGACGGGGATGGCGATGAGGAAAACACACATGAGATACGGAATGAACCACTGCAGCCCGTGATTGTTGAACGTCTGGCTCGGGTAGCGCAGCAGGTTACCCATGCCTGCGCAGCCACCCATGGAGGCGAGGAGGAAAGCCGCGCGTGAGGGCCATTGGTCGCGGCCGTCGGCAGACTTGTTGCTCTTGGGCGCGACAATGTTGACAATCTTTGCAAAGGTGCCCATGACGTAGGGTGGTGCTACTTGAGCAGGTGTCGGTAGTTGGAAGCTAAAGTCATGTAGTGTCGGCGGAGGGCGGTTCGGTGTTTGTTTACGAATAAAGGAATAAATATGTAGCGTCGCACTGCTCCGACGCGACCATGTTTCATGGGAACATGCAACCTTTTAAACAAGCGACAAGGCTCTCCGCACAAGGCCGTCTTGGCCGATGATGCCATGGGAACATGTAAAGAAGGAGCGGAGAAGGGTTCTTGGCAAAGGCTGCATACGCGGTCTGGGCGATCTCGACCAATTGATCAATGGCTGGATCAAAAGGCGACATTTGCTGCCCCTTTTTTCTTCAAATTCAATTTACATGAAGAGTCTTGGCGAGGGCTATCCTTGACGAAGAAGCGTGTATATAAACTGCGGCAGCATGGTGGGACAGCCATTTATCTGGGTAGGCTTTTTCAACCTTTGTACTGAATCCCTTCAATGTGATGAACATCTGTGTACTGGCAGTTTTTTTGGCAAGAATTATGCCCATTTTTGCTGGAAACAGAACGACCGCACTCGGTGTTTTGTAGGATCGCCAGACAGCATCTCTAGGGCCTGGCCAAGACGCTCATGTGGATAAGCATAACTTGCGTTTAAACAATGGATCAACATGATAGGCGCAGGCTCAGTGTTACCCAACTTACCCTCCCATGCCCAGGCGCTAAACCAAGCAAAATGGGTACCGTCATGTCTTGGCCTTGATCCTTTCCTCTTCGCGAGGCGGCCGGGGGCAGCAAGTTTGGGGGTCATGTTGCAACTGGCTAGCCGCGAGCAGCCGGTGTTGGCAATAACAGAGTTTTCCACATATCCGGGGGCGCGGTCTTTGTTGCTGGTTTCGGACTTTGGCCTTGACTCGCCAGGCTAACTACAGGTACCTTAGTGGGTGACTGATGGCGACATTGCTCAGTGGCGGCGCCATGGTGATGCGCCAAGAACCCGTTTGCCCGTCAAGAGGGTACCAAAAAAGAAAATGGCCGATTTTCTCACAGACATGCTACCAAATGGTGGCCATGTTTTTGGGTACCCGCTTTACTCCGCGACTTGCAAACACCTCCATGAACGCTCAACCAGGGCAGTGACATGGACAATCTCTTCAAGGTTCTATAATACTGCGAGAGATTCAGCTACGAAAAAAAAAATCGAGTATGCTCGATTTGTGAGTGTGCCAACTCGGAGGCTGAGCCACCCGCTCTAGCAACCATAATCATCAAAAGTACGTATTCGTCGATGCAAACAAGTACAGATCAGAGTATGATCCCCACCCCCGGCCAAGGGCAAAAAAGGAAAAAAAGAATGACCATCAAGTACATCCCAAGTGTTATTGATGAGTGCTTCATGCCCAGCTCGCCCTACCCTGCCGATTCTCCATAGATGCGGCCCACACGAAGCACATAGCTAATCGACCAGCTTAACCCGCCGAGTGCGGCTGAATCGAATATCAAAGGCTCGCCGTTGTGGCGCACCAGCCACGGCAAGATTCTCGAACTCGTCTCAACTCCGCAACGTCGCTTCTCAGCCTCAGCTGGCGTTCAGCCACGTGTTTGCAGCCCCCTTCGTATCATTGATATAGAGCGGACAGCCGCAATGCTATCGCTTTCCAACGTTTTGCGTTGCCCCAGATGTAGAATCTGGTCATTGACAACGACATGTCCCAACCGGAGACCATGCGCGCCTGGGTCTTTACAGATAGAGGCGACCCCTCGCGCGTACTAAGATTTACAACTCTCGACAAGCCGACGCTGCCGTCGGGCAGACCTTTGCCCCGCGATGCGCCCGAGCCCGAGGAATGGGTGCTCGTCAAGACGGCCTTTGCAGGGCTCAACGTCGGCGCCATCTTCCAGATGACGCTTATACCGCAAATGATTCGCACCAAGACGTGTATCCCCGAAATGGACCTCTCCGGTGTTGTCGAGGACGTGTGGCATCCAGACACCGACGACGCCGCGAATCGCACGCCTTTCCGCTTCCACAAAGGAGACAAAGTCGTGGCGATGCTCCCGGCCAGCCACTCCCTAGCCACCGGAACCGGTGCGCTGGCAGAGTACGTTGCAATTCCGGCCAGGTATGTGGCGCACAAGCCGGACGGTGTCAGCTTTGGTGATGCGGCTGGCTGCTTGCTGGCGGGCATGACGGCGTGGCAGCAGGTTCACGAGTCGGGCGCCAAAGAGGGCGACCGGGTCCTTGTCAACGCAGCGAGCGGTGGCATCGGGACCATGGTGACTCAGATGGTGCGGAATGTCGTGGGCGGCTCGGGATATGTGGTTGGCATCTGCAGCGGCAAGAATGTGGAAATGGTCAAGAGCCTGGGAGCCGACGAGGTAAGTTATTCCCTTTGAAGCAATGGGGGCAACTTTGAGACGCATCTCACCAACAAGGTCAAAGGTCATTGACTACACAAAGTATGATAATCTGCCAGCACATCTCAAAGACCGTTTTGGGAGTACACCTTTCAACGCCATCATCGACACGCTCGGACACCAGTCCATCTATCTCGGCTCGCCCGCGTACCTTGTCCGCGACGGCATCTACTCGTCGGCGGGAATCAAGCCGCCCAGCTTCGCCGTCGCCCACTTCTTGCGCGCCGTCTTGCAGATGAAGCTCAACGAGTGGTGGCCGGTGAGCGCCTGGCTCGGGGGCGTCGGCCGCCTATGGCGGGGCGTGTCCATGATGGAGCCCACGCTGGCGGACAGGCAGCGCATCGTGGGCATGCTGGGCAGCGGGCAGGTCCGGGTCGTGCGCGACAGCGTGTGGAAGTTGGAGGATGCGCAGGCGGCGTATGCTCATTTAGGAGGGCTGCATGCGCGTGGCAAGGTGCTTGTCAAGGTGAATTCGGACCTTGGTGACGACGAGACTTAGTTCAAGCACATGGTATGGTATATATAATTAGTATTTAGCACATTATCACTACTCCCCATTCTCCTCGCCAACATTGCCTACAATCATCTTCCATAAAACATCAGAATAGAAACTCGTCCCACACGGCTGTTGTAAATGCCATGTATCATGATAAAATTCGAAAAAATGGCCCTCAATCAGCTCTTTATCACTCGTCGTTCACCTGTATACATTCTCTCACACCAGGCTCCAAAGTTGGATCGACCAATGACACCACGCTGGGCGCTATCTTCATCAATAGCTTTCAAATTCACGTTTACAATGGCCAGAGATGCCAGGAAAGAAAGCGCCAGGAAAGCGATGGAGGCGATGAGCAAAATACGCATCACTTCTGTGTAGCTCTGGTTAATGGCGACTCGCTCGGGGCTACCCATGGCAAAGGATGCAGCGACGGTTAGCGAATCTCGTATACCAATCGCGCTCGACTCGGTCACCCTTGGGAGATGCGCTTCCAGCTTGGTGAGTAGCAGTCTTGTCCAGATGGAGCCCGCAATGGCGTTTCCGATGGCGCCGCCAATCGCTCGGGCCGTTTCGTACAGCATTGTCACATTAGCAACATCTAGAAGCTGTCAGCAAGGTTGTGAGAACATCATGTCCGAGATGTAACAAAAACTAACCTTGGTGTGCGGCGACGGATTGTGCGGCAGTCTGCGCAACAATGCTAATCATGCCGGAGCCGCCACCAGCAATGATTTGGCCAATGACAATATGGGCAAGCGTGGCGTCCATGTTGGAGTATCGCATCATGAGCCCGCCGCCAATAAGTTTGACGAGGGTGCCCGTGACAATCAGCCACTTGCAGTTGCCGGTAAACTTGACCACAAACGCAGCCGCGAGCCCAGCCACGGCGGCGGCGACGGCTTGCGACGTCATGATGTTTGTGGCCGCCTTGGGCGACAAGCCATTGACAACGACCAGGAAGGAGTAAAAGTACGGCTGCCAGAGGTAGTAGCTCAGGAAGAAAAAGGCCTCGGTCAGGCAGGCGGCCGCCACCGTTCTGCTCTTGGCCAGGTAGAGGGGCAGGATCGGGTAGGGGGCCTCGTATGCTTCGTACCAGACAAAGGCAGTGAAGCAGGCGGTGCCAGCGACGACCATGACGATGATGAGCGGCGAGGCCCATCCGTTGTCGTAGCGAGCCGCGAGGGTCATGGGAAGCAGAAGCAGCACCAGACCAGTGAGGAATAGCAAGAGACCTGGGAGGTCTGCCTGCGCCAGCTTGACAATGACGCTATCCGCCACACTGTCCTCGGGCGTCTTTTCTCTTGCGCTCTGGTGGCGCCAGATCGAAACGAGTAGCGGAATCGACACGACAGGTACGACAATGGCCCTCAAGCAAGTGCATTAGTTTTGGCGAAAAAGATCCCATCAGGGCGGATGTGCAGTCTCTTACCACATGGCATATCCCCTGTTTTTTGTTTATGAAAGAATCCATTAGCGAAAACAAAAAAAAAAGGTTTCTTTGACTTTTTACACATTTCAGATTTTCAAAACGTACCAGCGCCAATGGGCCGGCACCAGCGCCTGCACCATCGGGCCGCCGATCCAAGCCGTCAAGATGGGCGGCGAGTACAGCAGCGCGCCAAAGACGGATCTGTTCTCCAGCGTCGTCGTGTCCGCCGCGAGGACCTGCTGGAGAAAGACGATGCCCACTTGGCCAAAGGAGTAAAAGACGTGGCCGGCTGCCATGGTCCCCATGTTGCGCGACGCGGCGTTGATGGCAAAGCCCAGCACAATCGACACGAGCGAGACGCTCAGGGCCTCGGCGCGGCCCGAAGCATCGGCGATTTTTGCAACGATGGGCTTTGTGGCTGCGGTTCTGGTAGTGAAGCGCCGTGGGCCCCCCGGCAAAAACGTCAGTTGGCCGTCTCGATGCTAGCGATTAGGGAAGACGACGAGGGAAGACGACGAGGGAAGACGACGAGGGAAGACGACGAGGGAAGACGACGAGGGGGGGAGTGCGTGCAAACTCACAGGATGTTTTGAATGGTGCTAATGGCGGGTAGCATAGAGTGCGATTTAAACTCGGAGAGGGCATAAGGTTGGTACGATGAGACGGTCAGGCTGTCCAGACTGAGGGCGACGGCGAGCAGCATCATTCCTATCCACACAACGAGTATGGCGGCCGGTTTCCACGTGCTGGTGACTTGCTCCATCTTTCGGACGCCTCGAGGTATATCCAGCTGTGCAGCCGCTTCTGCACGCATCGCTGCTTCTTTGTAGAGTTCGTCACTCAGGCTCTTGCCATCATCATCATCATCATCATCGTCGTCGTCGTCGTCGCCGTCGTGACCGCGTGCGGCGCCGGCGTGGGCGCTCGGGGCCACCGGTGCAATCACATCCCCCTCTTGCACACGACGGGCTTCCTGCTCTTTCCTTTGCTTCTTCTTTTGCTCCCGTCGTAGTTGTCGGCGGCGGGCGGCTTCCTCGAGCGGAACATTGAGTGACGCTGACCCTGCTACCGACGGCAGAGACGGCGCAGGTGACCCAAAGGTCGCCATTTGCAAACCTGAATAATTCATTTTTGAGGAGGTTCGCTACTGATCTGGGGGGGTCGAGAGAGGGGAAAACAGAGAGGGCAAAGATGGGCGACAAGGGGGGGGGGGGGCAGGTATACAACAGGGAACAACAGGAAAAAAGCTACTTGGTACGTGACCGATGTGACCGATCCCGTACCTCCGCCCAAGTCAGGTTTCACAGCATGGGACTTGAGCTGGTTGGTAAATACTCTTGGCGGCGCAACCTGGCTTGCCTGGGTACCGTGGCCGTGTAAATCCGACTCGGCGGATAGTTGTTGCTTTGGCGTAAAAAAGTACAGTGTACATGGAGTGACCGCAGCCACCAACGCGGGGGAAACACGAGAGCCCGCAGAGGATGACGACGAAGACAAGGTACATGGAACATGTGGGCGACTCGTATAAAGTAAAGTTGCGATTCAGATGTCAAATCCTCCGAGCACATCTTGTGGAGTGAACAAGGCACGAGAAGAGGCGTGGGGGAGGGGGAGGGGGGGGGGGGGAAGCACGCACGATAGTACATACTAGCAGACCCTGATGGCATCTTATCAGATCATCTGATAAGCTCCAGCTCTGCAAAAGCTCGAGTCTAGCGAATTGGCGTGCTCCCATCGTCTATTTTAGTAACACCAGTGCTAGGGCCGTTTTGATCCCTGCTCGTTCACGCAAAAGTGGGCGGCGGAACTTTTGTCTCGGCCCAGTGTCCACGTCTCAGTTTCGAGGCCGGGGGCGTTAGCTCAACATGATGACTGGGTTGGTTGCTGTGCTCGGCTTGGGGCCGGAGAACCGACCGGCAAAAGATGGGTGGTGGGTGGGTGTCGCGAAACTACCACACTTGAGCTAGTTTCTTGCTGTGGCTCTCTCTCGATTTCTAAAGCAACAGTCCAGTCAGCTGTGTCTAGTAGCCTACCAGCCAGGGCTGTGTTGCTTCCGAGGCCGGCCTTATTGGATGATTCACACGCTTGTGAAGCGGCCAGTCCCCGCGCCGGCAATTATTGCGGAGCGGCCCTGTCATGTCCGATTGTGCCCGCGCCGGTGAGCATGGGGCCTGCGTCTTCACGCACCACAATATATAGTAACGGCAAGGGCTGCTTCTACCGGGGCGCGCATGCATTTCCGCGGGCCTACAGAGTCATCTTCGGCTTATACAATTAACAATGAGTTGTTGTAGCCTCAGGTATAGGTTTCGGCGAGCCATGGAATCCGTCTATATAAAGTAGCGCCCCGCGCGATACTATCCGGTCCGCCTGCCTCCCGCACTTTGGCTTCACCCAACACAAGAAGCAATTCAGCCAATTCCGCGCGACTTTCCAACGACCTCACAGCAAATCAAGTACGAAAAAAAAATCCTTCAACAACAAAAAAAAATGGCCCCTTCCCGACCCGCGCAGAACCCCATGGAGGGCACCCCCCAGCACATCCTGGACCTGCTCGACCGGCTGCACGCCGAGTCGCTCGCGCAGGAGCACGCCATGGACCGCTCCGTCTTTGTCGGCGCCGCCACCGACGAGGACAAGAAGACGGCCGTGCGCGACAAGTTTATCGCGCTGGACCAGGACAAGAGCCAATTCGTGTACGCGCTGTGCCGCGCGACCGACGCGCGCACCATTGTCGAGGCCGGCACCTCGTTTGGCGTCAGCACAATCTACCTGGCCCTGGCGGCGAGCGCCAACGCGGCCGGCGGCAGGGGGGGCAAGGCGGCCAGGGTCGTGGCCACCGAGTATGAGCCGACCAAGGCGGCGCGCGCGCGCGAGTACTGGGCGCAGTGCGGCGACGTGGTGACGAGCGCGATTCAGCTCCGCGAGGGGGATCTGAGGGAGACGCTCAAGGAGGACCTGGAGGATGTTGACCTTTTGCTTCTCGACAGTAAGATGAGCCTTACCCATTCCCCATTCCGTCAAAACCCCTTTTTTCCGTCAAGAGACAAAAAGACAAAAAGGTGTCGTTTTGTGGCCAAGCCCCCCCTCCCCTCGCTGTGAAGCATGCTAATTCTGCCTGCCATCCTAGTCTGGACTGAAATGGCCCTGCCGACGCTCAAGATTGTACAGCGCAAGATGCGTCGCGGTGCCATTGTCATTGCTGACAACACCAGTGTGTCCGAGGGATACGACGAAATGCTGACATATATGCGCAACCCAGATAGCGGTTTCATCACAATGACTCTGCCCTTTAGCCAAGGCCTGGAATTCTGCGTCTACCTGCCCAAGAACTGAGAGGTAGCTAGGACTTGTATAGCTGGTTGTGTCGGTCGAAATTGGTCACAAACTGGACCGAGGTTACATGTTCTATGTTTAGATAAGAATGGCTGCTTGTCAACAAGAGTCATCAAGTAGAAAAAACAGCGTTGCGCATGTTGTCTTTTTTGGTATCGTTTCATATCTCGTTATTATAAATAGTGTCTGCGACTGCACTCTATGCTTTGGAATTCGCCTTGTCGTCAGAAGACAATTGGATTCCGGAGCCGCCTGTCCATTCCGCCATTGTTGCTCCGCGTCGAAAATGCGAGGCCAGATGCTGCGCTCGTTCGTTCCAGCTATTCATTGTGACATTGCAAAAGCCGCATCGGCTCTGAATCTTGTCCTGCTTGTGCTGGAGAAGAGCCAGGTCCGGCGTCCATCCATCCCACTTCTTGCAGTGGTGAAATTTATGCAAATGCTGCCAGAGGTGGTCTTTGCGCGTAAATGTGCGTTCTGACGCGGGCCGGTCTGCGCAGGTCTGGAATTCGTGTGATTGTATGTGGTCGTGCGTGGGCGAGAGCTCACCGCAAAAGATGCATTCCGGGCGGGTTTGGTTGACGCGCCACACCAGAAACGACTGGTCCGGCGGCAGGGGCACTCTGCAGATCCATGAATCGAGACCGGGGAGGTGGATGGAGCGTTCGTGCCGCACCCAGTCGTACCGTTTGCGGAAGCTTTGCAGGCAAAAGGTGCATTGAAAGGTGGTGTTTTTGGCTCGCGTACCAACAATTGTTGGACTCTTGTTTCCAATGGAGTCTCCATCGACGGAGTTGTTGGCGGAATATGGAATAAAGGTAAAATCCCCCGATTGATGAGAATTCGCCGAGCCACCAAAGCTAGTAGACGATGCCCTGTTGAAAGACCTGCGGCGATATCTGCCAGACTCGCCACTGGCCGAGGACACGGAGCCGTCCCTCCCACTGCCATAGCTGCCAAAGTAATCCGAGGCTTCTTGAGGCGATCGGTTCAGAGCACGTTCAATGGCAGAGGAAGAAGCAGGTTCGTCATCTGGCGGTGAATTCCTCCAGCGCTCCATGGGAGACATGCTATCTAGGAGGGAGCGAGGCACGGGCGATCCCTTGCGAAAGGATTTGGTGGTGTTGTTGAGTAGCGACTGGGCCGAAAGCCTGTGCCGTCGACGGGCATTGGCGAACCAATTGATGACTTGAGTGCGGCTCAGGCCGCACTGATTGGCGAGGTCTGCCTTTTCATCCTCGGAGGGGTAGGGATGGTCCATGTGGCATGCGAACCAGTGAGACAAGGGCCGCGTCTTCTTGGCGGTTCGCGTGCTTGCGCGCTTCGAGGTGACGACTGCGAGGGGCGCGGGGCCCTCACCACGAGATTCCTCGCCGTGGGTGCCGAGACTGTTCTCCTCGCTTACACCGTGGAGATGGCCAATGACGGGCCGGGAGGTCTCGAAGCTCGAGGCCTGCCGCTTGCCGCGCTCCGCCAAGCTGCAGTCCCGAAACAAGGCCACGCAGCTGGAGCAAGACGTGATGGGATTGGGGTTGGCCTCGGTGGTCTGGAGTATCAGGCACTGGAGACGCTGGCGCTTGCACTGCAGGCAGGGCTCGGGCGGGCGGTAAGCGCCGTTCTTGACAAAGAACTCGTCAATGATGGCGGCGTTGCCAGCAGCGGTGCCAGGCTGCGAGGGCGGGGCGTCGACTGGGCCGATGGCAAGGTCCCAGCCGGCGCCGTCGGCATCTGGAGGAAAGCCGGCCGAGTCGGCATCGTCGAGCTGGAGAGCCGGGTCGGCGGCGAAGAAGGCGCCCTCAAAAGTATGGCTCAGATCCGCAGCGGTGACAAAGGCAGGGTCCAGAAACATGGAATCCAGGTCTTGGTCGGCGGACAGGACCTGGGGCATGAGGGTGTCCGTGTCGTCGGCAGCGAGAGCGCAGACGGACGCAGCGGCGGCGGTGTCCGGCGCCGGATAAGCAAGGCCGGCATCGCTAAATTGGAAGAGAAAGTCGCCGTCTGCGCGCAGAGGGTCCATCCCGGAGAATGAAGAAGGGGGAGCGGGAGGGCTTGAGAATCGACACTGGCGAGAAGAGTGACTCGGAGTATGAGGCGCGCGAAAAGAGTGATTAAAATGCCTACATGATCACCAAGCAAGAGAGAGAGAGAGTATGTGTGTGTGTGTGTGTGGTCTGAGGGAAGAATAGACGTTGAGCGCTGGTCCGGTGCCGGTCCGGGGCGATTGCTGACCAAAAGCACAACTGCTGGACATTAATGTGCAGTGGGGGTTATAAAGTAGGTAGGTAATTCTGAGCAAAACACCACTCAAACTGCGTGCATTGCCGCTCAGAAGTACCTGGGGCAATTGGGGGACAGTGAGTGGATCCAGGGCAATTCAGAACGAATCACCACTAAATCCCAGTATATTGCCGCTCGGAACTACCTAGAGGCAATCCGTACTGTGATTCCGGATCAATCTTGACCGAATGCACAGACATTGCTACTCAAAAGTTTCCAGTACCAGCAGTTAGTTACCTGGAATTACTGGAACAGTACCTGAAGGCATTGGAACATTACCCAGAGAGGTGCGTGCTTAGCGCAGTCTTGGCGGTTTTAGGTGCTGACAGTTAGCAGGTCAACAGATGTCTTTTGTACTGTAGTGGATCTTGATTCAGGCGGTGGAGGGTCTACAACTGCCAGGCAATGTCGTGGGCACAACGTCATCGGTCTGTACAGATGTTGAGCTCTTGTCCAGACGGTTGATGATCTGTCAGTTCTTGTCCACATTTTCCAATGAGTTTCACATAATTATCAGACTGTCATAAGACGCAGAAAACAAATTAATTTAAACAGGTTCATATCCAAAGTCATCACCTGCCGCAGTGTTGATAACACAAGTGGCTGTTTATAGTGGATGGCCCTGTTATTAGCGGGTACCAGTGGGCACTGCCCCTGCGCCCCTGTAACCGGTAGCAGCATGCCACTAGCCGAGACCGCTAACAAACCTTGTTAACAGCGAAGCCATGCGACCAAGCCAAGGCGCATGGCACAACGGCGACTCTTAGCGGTAAATAAGTGTTGACTGCAATGCATCAATCAACCTAGCAAGTCGAACCGGGCAATTTTTCAAAGCCTATGCCTATCTGCATAGGCAAGTGGCGCAACACGACGCTCATGGCAAGTCGTACCTATACGACAGCAAGCCAAAATGGCTGTCGTCTTACACTGCTCGCACACCTCTGGGTAACTCTACATATCAATACAGCAAGATTTTTGCCATTTCCCATCCAAGTTACATCTTGCAATCAAGCCAGGGCCGAGCAAGACCACAGATAGGTAGCTAAATGATAAGAAAACTTGGGCCAGGGCGACCGCCTCCAATCACGCCCCCTCATCAGCGTATCAGTTCCCCAGTCAAGAACCGTATCAACTATTTCATGCAAACAAGGTTTCTTTCAACCGTACGCCAAAAGCTTCCAAAATCGCTTCCATGATTCCACAAAAGTTCCAAAGACAGCCTTCGATATTCTCGACGCCAACTACGGCTGAACTTGTGGCGTGCAGCTGTCTCATTGTCACCCAGCATGGCGCTTCGGTGACCCCCTCCGACGAGTTTATCAGGCAAGCCCGGGCGGGAACTCGGCATTGTATGTTGTTGGCTGACAATTCCCAATATTTTCGTCCATTCCTTGTCCATGTGGTACCAGCATTGCTGTATTTTGCTAGCCGCACTCGTCACTGTACAATTGAAGAAAGCACTGATGACCGACTTTGGATAATCTTTTTTTGGTATTCTGAAAGCTGTTTCGGCTCTACCAAATATGCTTTTCCCCCAACTCGCACGCGCTCTTTATTTTTCGTTCTTTCTCGTACCTCATGATGCACCATTTACACGACTTGCGCCAACCAACCATGGTGGCAGGTCAACCTCGCGTGCCCAGAAACAAAATCGGCTCGGCATCGTATATATATATATCAGACAAGAATCGCTCGAGTCGGACAGTCCTGAGCCAACGGGCCCAAATATTCTGTCAAAATCAAAATGGTTCGCCGATTCGCTTCCGGGGTGCTGTGAAACGGATACATTTTAGTATGCGTAAAAAACCTGTTCCGTCATTCATCGAAGCTGCAGCTTGATTGAGCCTTGCTTGTGCCGCCGACCTTTGAATAATTCCCCCGCCCTTCTCTCGCATTTCTACCCGTTTCGTCGGTCACTGCAGCAGTACGGCGGCGGCCTTGTTCGTGACTCATGCATCCACGCCCGGCATAACCCCCATCCCACCTGCCCACCCACATCGTCTCCAGCTTTTTAGTTTTTTTCGCCATTGGTAATTCGCTGATGAAATCCCAGGCAATGCATGGCGGCGCGTGACCGCGGGCCGCGACGACCCAACTGGCCCAACGAGCCCTGCCAAAATCAAGGACGGGGTTTTGTAAACTGGGGTCCGGCGTCCGTCCATCCGTCCGACGGCCGAGGCTGCAAGGGATAACCCCAGACTATCGCGAGCCCGTCAAGAACGACGAAAAGTCTTTATTGTATGATCAAAGTTGGAAAAAATTCACGAAGCCGCAAGACGTGGGCTTGCCATCTATATAGGTATCAAGCACGTCTTAGACCAGCACCATGACCCAGCAGAGGGCGCAAAACAAGCTGTTACGAGAGGGCGCTACTTGGGCGCGGGCGATTCTCTACCAAGCAACAACTAGAGGGCGCGCACACACAAAGTGTGTATAAAAGAAACAAAAAAAAAAAAATTTAAAGAAAAATGTTCAAAATCGTAGCCATATCAACCTCACTTTCTCTTGATTGACATTGTTCTCGAGATTGGCATTGTCCTCTCCCGTTCTGCGCTCAAACGCCGCATCTACCAACCCGACAACGCATCATGCCCTCCTCCTCCTCACCCTCCTCTCCTTCCCCGCACCGACGCCCGCTGCATTTCAACGCCCTTGCAAAGGATTGGGCAGCGCCACCAAACAAGGATCTGCCCAGCATTGTGCAGTTCCATCAGCGTTTTCCGGGCTACGAGCCGACGCCCCTGGTCAGCTTGCCCTCCCTCGCGCGGGAGGCGGGCGTCGGCGCCGTTTACGTCAAGAACGAGTCGGACCGCTGCGGCCTGCCCGCCTTCAAGATCCTCGGTGCCTCGTGGGGCACCTACAGGGCCGTCACGAAACGGCTCGGCTTGCCGCTCGACACCGCGTTGGAGGCGATTCGAGACGCCCTGTCCGCCGCGTCGCCACTGACCCTGTACGCCGCGACGGACGGCAACCATGGCAGGGCCGTGGCTCGAATGGCGAGGCTGCTGGGCGTCGCTGCCGAGATTCATGTGCCGTTTTGTATGAAGCAAGACATTATCGACTTGATTCGTCAACAAGGTGGAAATGTCACAGTGTCGCGTCAAGGCTATGATGCTGCTGTGCAAGAGGCTTTTGCTGCCGCGCAGCACCCCCAAGGTCTCTTTATCCAAGATTGTTCTTTTGGTGATTATACACAAGTACCTCAGGTCAGTCCCATTGTCATATCGAGTGTCATTCTTGCGCTTACTAAATGCTCGTGGTGTAGTGGATTGTCGATGGCTACGAGACAATGACGCACGAAATAGACGAGCAATTGGGTGGGAAATGGCCACATTTAGTCATTGCACCTGTTGGCGTCGGCTCCTTTGCGAACTCGGTTGTGATGCACTACAAAACTCCCGATTTACGCTCAAAAGTCATGTCTGTCGAGCCAGACACGGCAGCCTGTCTCTGGAAACGGCTCGTTCGAGGCGAAAAAGAGTCGGTTCAGAGCGCACCAACAATCATGGCGGGCTTGGAATGCTCGACCGTGTCCGAAGGAGCCTGGCCTGTCTTGGAAAAGGGCATCGATGTCAGCGCTACCGTCTCCGATTTTGAAGCCCATCAAGCCTGTACAAGACTGCATGAGCTGGGCGTTGCTGCTGGACCTTGCGGAGGGGCGGCGTTGGCTGGCCTGCGCCGCTTGACCTCTGATGACAAGACAGCTCTGGGTCTGGACGAGAAATCCATTGTCGTGCTGCTCTCGACAGAAGGCCTTCGGTCGTACGACATTCCTCACAATGTCTCCGATGATGATCCTGTAGCCTTGACACAGGCTTTGGTCCGGATTGACTCCTCAAGTCCTGCTCTTGGCTCGAAACCTGGCCCTGGAGAGACGGAGATTGCCAAGTTCATCTGCTCGTGGTTTGAATACCGCGATATTGATGCGCACTGGGTTGAGCCAGTAAAGGGCCGGCCATCTGTTATCGGCGTAGTTCCGGGTCGCGGCGACGGCAAGCGCCTGGCGCTGAATGGCCACATTGACACTGTCACTCTTCTGGGATATGATGGTGATCCTCTTGATCCCGTCATCAACAACGAAAAAATGTATGGTCGGGGCTCTGCTGACATGAAGTCTGGCCTAGCAGCGCAAATGGTCGCAGCAGCCAACGCCAAAAGACTGCAGCTGGCAGGCGATGTCATCGTAATGGCCGTGGCAGACGAAGAGTACGAGAGCTTGGGGACATCCAGCGTTCTCGGGGCCGGCTGGAGAGCCGACGCCGCCATCGTCAGCGAGTGCACCGACCTGGCCATTACCCGTGCTCACAAGGGTTTCGTGTGGCTCGAGATTGACGTCCATGGCGTCGCAGCTCACGGGTCACGGCCGGACCTGGGATACGATGCCATATCCAAGTCTGGCTACGTCTTGGTCGAGCTCGATCGCTACGCGGAACAGCTGCAGCAGAGAGAGGCAGATGTCGTCGTCGGACCTCCCAGCGCTCATGCCTCCCTTATACAGGGCGGCGAGGAAGTCTCGTCGTATCCCGCAAAGTGCACGATTACACTCGAGCGGAGAACCGTGGCCGGCGAGACGCCAGCTATTGTCGAGCGTGAGGTACGGGAGTTATTGGGCCGGATTGCAGCCACTACGTCGGGCTTCCAGTATGACCTCCGCGTCACGTTTCATCGTCCTCCATTCTTCATGGCGGAAGACGCGCCGCTGACGCAGCTTGTCCGCAAGCACACTGAAAGGGTGACGCGGGGTGATGCCAAGATTGTTGGCGCTCCTTTCTGGACAGACTCTGCGCTGTTACTCGAGGCTGGTATCCCAACCATTCTTTTTGGACCGCGCGGCGAAGGATTCCATGCCAAGAAGGAGTTTGTATATACCGACTCCATTGTACAAACTTCGCAAATTCTTACGCAGCTAGCACAAGAATTTTGCGCTTGATCTCAACATTCATATAGACTATATATCCATTGCCTAGGTCTTGATAACTAGATCTCACATGTAGTTAACGGCTCAAAGGCCCTTGCTTAATTCTTCTTTTCTCCCTTTGGCACGTTTCATGCATACTCGCGAGCATCGGCCGTCGCAACGTCCATTTTGTCCAGCGTCGGCATCGGAGCAGTCAATCCTAGCGAAGCTGCAATAGTAAACAGCCTTTGCTTCTCTTCGCGCGCAGCAGCATCCCCAAAGATTTCATCCATGTCCTCCAAGCTCTTGCCCTTTGTCTCGGGCACAAAACCCCAGGTAAAGAGAAAGGCTAGCAAGGCAAAAGCGGCAAAGAAGATGTAGGTGCCCCAGCCAAACGACTCGAGCATGTCCGGCGTCACCAGGCCAATGATGAAGTTGCACATCCACGTGCAGCTCGTGGTAAGGGCCATGGCCTTGGAGCGATTTCCCAGGTTGAAAATCTCCGAGGGCAGGACCCAGCCAATCGGCGCAAAGGAATAAGAAAAGTTGACGTCGTAAATGTAGACAAACGCAATGCCCACCCAGCCGGCCGCCCGGTGGTGAAGCAAGCTGTTTCCGTAGGCGCCCAGGATGGCGCCGACAATGACCAAGGAGATGAATGTCCCAGTAGCGCCGCACATTAGAAGAGGTCGCCGCCCTACTCTGTCGATGAGAAAGAGCGCCGGTAGGGTTGACAGGGTGTTTACGATGCCGTATACGCCCGTCGCCAACAGTGAAGTTGTGCCGCCAGAAAGGCCCAGCTGGGAAAAGATAATCGGACTGTAGTATATCATGGCGTTGCAGCCGATGAATTGTTGGAAGAAGCCAATCAAGCAGCCGACAGCGAGACGCCGAAATGCAGGTTTCGTCGCGACAAGGCTCCCGTACTGCGCAAAGTACAGCGACGGCCCCGCCTTGCCGGGAAAGCGCTCCCGAGCAATGGACTCGTCAAACAGCACCTCGGCCTTGATGGCGAGGTACTCGTCCCGCAGACACGGCGAGTCGGGGTGCTCCGCGCGACGCAGCTGCGCGAGCGCGCGCAGCGCCGCGTCCTCCTGCCGGCGCATCAAGTAGTAGCGCGGCGACTCCGGGTAGAAGAGCATGCCGATGCCGAGAATCAGCGCCGGGGCAATCTGCAGCGCAAACGGCACCCGCCAGGCCGCCTGGCTCTGCCCGGGACAGCGGTGACCCGGGGAGCCGACGTCGTGGCGCGGGTCAAACTTGGGCCGGTCGTGCGTGCCGCCGGTATACGGGATGTCGGGAGCGCATCGAACGCCGCCTATATACTGCGTTCCGTACTCGAGCCAGTAGCTGACGAGAATCCCAAGCGTTATGCTCACTTATTTTTTTAGATAATCAGCCAAAAGTGCTTTGTTTTTTTTTTTCCTTCTCGGGTACTTGTATAGCTTACACTGCTGGAGCACGACCAGCGTTCCGCGGATGCCCGCCGTCGACACCTCGGACATGTACATGGGCACAATCATGGTCAGCATGCCGACGGCGAGCCCAGCCACCGCGCGCCCGCCAAACAGCACCGCCATTGTCTGCGCACCGGCCTGCAGCGCCGACCCGAGCGTGAAGACGACCACGGCTGCCAGCATCGAGCCCTTGCGGCCGAAGCGGTCCGCGACGGGGCCGTTGACCAGGGACCCGAGCCAGGCCGCCAGCAGCAGCGTCGATACGAACCAGCCCTTGAATCTGCTGTCGAGGTAGATGCGCGGAAACTCTGCCGCAAACGACTGCATCTCCAGCACGCCGGACACGACGCCCTGGTCGTAGCCAAAGAGGAAGCCGCCGAGCGACGCAAACTTATCAGCATCACGTAGTCTGTTAGCTTCTAGCCCCTTTATCAAGCAACGTATAGGAGTCGAGACCCTAGTCTTGATGACTGACATACCGCCGAGAGGCCGAAAATGTAGGGGTTGTCGAGGAACTGACGCCAAATTCCTGGGGGCTTTGTTGCGGATGCGCGTGAAGCCATGTTGCAGCTGACGAATCTCTTTTTGTTTTTTGTTTTTTTTTTTGTTTCTTTTTTGACGATTTGCTTCCGACTCCGTAGCAAGACAAAAGTAGGGGAGGGGAAAGAAGAATGTCGCTCGGTGCACACGACACAAGCTCGCGGGGAAAACCCCGTCTGGGCTTACTACCAAGATGGCCAAGATCAGCTTAGCCCTTAACTAGGTGCCGGCCACCGATCTGCGGGGCCGAAACGTGGGGGTTGCCGTGACCCGTTCACGCCATTGACCTGTCAAGCTTGACAAGAGCTTCGAACGCCACAATATCTGTAGGCATAACTGTAAGTCACCTCTACTGCCTCACTCTCTACCTAATGTATCGTCAATAGCAAATCTGCGCTAAATGCAAGAGAAATCCGATCTCGGTCGAAACCCAACATCGGACGTGAAATCTGTATGAGTCTCACCCTGACGGTGGCATTACTTAATCGAGGCTATTATCCACTACTGATAGTAAGCCTCATCGCGGCAAATGCACCAGTAGAGGGTAAAAGGAAAATTCATGACATTCATACGCTGCATCAACTTGGTCCCCGAAACCAAGCAGAGACTTCAAACACATCAAACCATTTTCGTCTGGAGCTCCTTGTTCTCTTCACGCAAGCCCTTCAGTTGACTCCCAAAGTCTTTGTTCACCCACTCCCAGTAACCCGTCCAAACACTCGTCACACCGGCATTGCTCGTGGCAGCACCGGCGTTGCCTGTAAGAGCCTTCATCTTCTCGCCTAGGAGAAGCGTGACACGGAGAATGCTCTTGTTCGCCTCTTCCTGCTTCTCAATATCTTGTTTCACAGAATTATCTTTTAGTTTCGTAGACAAGACGGCTTTATAAGCTTCCGCAATCGCATCCAGTCGTCGTGCAGTCTCGTCAGGATCAATGACAATAAGTTTTGTTACCATCAGGTTACAAAGCTGCCGAATATCATTGTCGTCGCGCAAACCGGCAACAATCCGGTCGTAAAAGTCGATATTGTTGATCCGGCTAAAGGCAGTCTCCATGAGAGCATACAGCGTTTCATAGGCACTCTGGAAAACTCATTAGCTCAATGTCACCAAGACCATATACTGAAAGGCAATTTACCTTTCGAACTTCTAGCCCATCATCTACAGTATGCTTGAATGGCCCCATCTGTACTTCGCGCACCAACTCAGGCTTCACGACTGATTCAGTTAGCACAAAGGGCATGAGCTGGCCGAGATGGGGCAGGATGAAATCGGGCTTATTGTGCGCTGCAGAGTTCAGCGTCGACATTGCCAAGCGACGAATCTCCATGTCTTCATCTTGCAGCATGATAAGCAGCATATCGATCAGCATGTTACGCAGCACAGCATCAAACGCCTCGTCACACTCAGGGAGCGTGTACCGTACTGCCTGTACAGCCATAGCACGAACACCCGTCGACTTGTTCTTGAGCAGTGTCTACCGAGTGTACTATTAGTAAGCGTGTTCATATGCAAGTAATGCAGTCTCATACCTGGAGTTTGGGCATGAAGTTGGTCGGGTCTAGCGTTGCCAGACGCCCAACGCACTCGGCGCAAACCACCTTGTTGTCCACATTATCCGATGCCTGAAGTAATTGATCCCAAATGGACACGGCTTGGTCTCTAAGGTCAGCCGATTGATCCGAGACAGAATGTAAAATTTCTTTGATCGACTGAATCAATAGATACTGTGTGTTTCCGCCCTTCTTGATTTCCTTGAGAATAGTGGGTAGGAATGCCTGGACGTTCCCAGACCCGGCGCGGCCAAGCGCAACGGCGGCGGCCAGGGAAACCTTGTCTGGCTCAGCGCTGAACTGGCCAAGAAACAGCTCCGGCTGCAATGGTGAACTTGTGCCAAGTCTCATGCCCGCCTCGCCGAGGACTGCAAGTGCAAGACAGATGCGGGCGTTGTCACCGCCTTGAGAGCTACTCTCCAGCTCAGAAACGAAGCTGCTGACAGAAACCCCAGACGAAGCTCCACCAGTGACAAGCAATGTTCCTATGACTTTTCCGACAACCACCGGGTCACCTGCAATGCTCACATTCTGCAAAAGACCGGTCATCAAAGGACCACCGGCGCGACTTTCGCCCACAGCACTAACAAGAGTAAGAAGCTGATCGAGGACTATTCCTGCCAGGTGTGATTTCAAAAGCTCGCATAGAGCAGAGACAGTTTCCTCGGTCATAACCAGGTTTGCATCAGTTCGGACCAAGTCTGCCAAGATGAGCAGAGATGGGCCGAGAAGGTGCGCGTCGGCGTTCCTCACGTTTGGCATGAGCGCCGAGACAATTCCCTCAACGGTACTGGCTTCGAGTTGGCCCTCAGCAGCTTTACATAGAACAAGGTTTTTAAGCGCAGCAATGCTGGACCCACGAAGCGGTCGGTTAGCTTTGCGAAGCTGGTCTGCAAGCTCCAAAGCCACCTCTTGGATCCAACTTTTTCGCAATTGGCCTTGGGTGTTGGCAAATGTAGCAACATTATCCAGTGCACGAACGGATGCAAGCCGAGTGGTTTCATTCTTGAGACGCTCGCGCAGAACGTTCAGCGCAGCCTCACGCTTATCTTTTGATAAGAGCGCCTCACTTTCGACCGCGGATGTGCGAGAAATTAGGACGCCAAGTCCGTGGATAGCACGTTGCCTAACCTCTGCGTCTGCGTCATTTGCTGAAGCTCTGTCCATCATCACAGTAAAGAGTTTGTCGAGCTCTCCTTTGTACTTGATTGCGGATCCTCGCGATCGAGGTGGCGTAATGGCTTTGACCAGTTCTTCTGAGGTCCGAATGCCCTCGCTTGAGATTTTGTAGAACCTGTCGTGTACAGCAGATGTCACGCCGTCAACAATCTGGGTCAGAAAGGGCTGCAATACAGCTGACGAGTGAGTTTTTGAAATGTCGCTGATCAGTTTCAAGGCAGTGACTCGAAGCGAGCTGGGCGTGGCAGATGCGGTACCTCCGCTTGTCGTGATTGAGGACGAAATTGAGCTGGAGCCGGCAGGCTTGATCACATCCAGAATAAGGCTTATGAGCGTTCCAAAGTGGTCAGCAAGGCCGCCTCGCAACACGGACACAAGATCATCGAGTAGGCTGACTACAGCTTGCTTCGTCGGGATAGTCTTGCCCTTGAGCTGCTTGGTCGCAACTTTGACAATGCTGGGTATAAGGGTCGTTAGTTCGGCACGGGGTCCATGCATTGGTGCTTTTTCGAGGATCGGAGAGACCAGGCCAGTGCCGATCATCGACTTGGATATGTTTGAACCACCACCACTGCTTTGGCGTCTGCGTTTGCGGCTGATGGGCATTTGAACGGCAAGATCGGGCTCAAGCTCGTCCAAAGTAATGGTTTCGGTGTGAAGCCCCTCACCGGTTTTGCGAACAAGGAGGGAAAGGGCGGAAATAATCTCAAGGCGAACGTTTTCTTCACGCTCATCCATACGCTTCACCAGAGTCGGTGCGGCCGTGTTATACAAAACCCCATTTTCCAGCAAATCACCACTACCGCGGGTGGCAACCAAAGTATATATGGCTTTCGCAGCGCATCTTCGCACTTTCCAGCTTGCGTCGTCGTCATCGTCTTCGAACCCATCGTCAGCGTCGAATTCCTCATCATCATCGTCTTCCTCATCTTCCTCATTCAAGTCATCTTCCATTTCTTCATCTTCGTCGACCGCATAATTTGGGTCATAGCTCAAATATCGGAGGCAGGACGATATAACAATATCTGTATAAGGACGCATTTCTTGAGGGCATGAGGCTAGGAAGGCCTCGAGGGCCACAAGCGCTGCTTCTCTAACCTCATTAAATTCAAGGCACAAGTCGTCTCCATCGCTCATCTTTCGCATGTGAGACTCGAGCTCATCCTCTGTCAATTCCTTTAGAATAAAATTGGCAGTTTTGGGTAGATGCGTTCCGAAACGAGCAGGAATCGAGCGAGCCATACTTCCGAGGATAGAAATATAAAGACGACGCGAGACAGCGGTTGCGTTAGGCCGTGCCAGTGCCTCTGTGAGTGTGTTGACGACCTTTTGCAGCTGCTGATCCGACAAGTAAACGGCTAGCATGGAAATGGCGACAACAGCTCGCTTCTTAACAACAGAGCCTCCATGTTCGCCTTCCAGAAGACGCATTACGACATCAAGCATGGATTCCGCTTCTTCCTGGTCAAGAAGAGGGCCAAAACAACGGACAACTTCAATCAGTACATCCACAGCCTCGACACTGATTTCTTTGCTGTCCTGCAACAGCGCGACAGGCATGTCGGGCAAGTTGATTTGATCGTTGGACGGGCCGCGAGTCTTGGCCTTGGAGCCGACTAGACGTGGGATCAGCACGCGCCTTACGGCTGCATATGCATTGTTTACGTCGGGGTTGGCCGGCACTCCGGGAAGAGGTCGGGGAAGTGCAATGATGACTTGACGTAGAGCCAATGCTGAAACGGCATTGTCGACGGAGTTTTTTAGCTTTAGCGAGGATAGCTTTTCGATCATGGGTCCGACGATGCTATGGGGAACTTTCGCGACGAGAGGTCCTACACTGCAGCACACGTTAGCACGGTGTATTCTCAACGCTGGTTTGGTCTCCGGTAGTATGACAAACCACTTGATAGCCAGGTTTTGCACTTCGCCATTCTGGTCGTCGAGTGTCTTGATGATGCTATCAACGGTGCGGGCGGCGACATTGTAATCATGCTGCAGAAAATCGGGCTTGGAGAAAGTCAGAATATTCAGAAGATCGTTCAGAGCCATGAACCGAAAATCCGGATCGGCATCGCTCAGCTTCTGAACATGGTTCATGACCGCCTGAGGCGTGCATGCAGCCGGATTGACGCTGGCCATAATGGTACCACCGTAGGAGCTGAAGCTGGTGTTAAATGGGTCGACATGCAGTTATAACTTGGCACGATTTCTGCTCCTTGGTCTCTGGCCTCGGAGCTTCACGGCCGTCCGTTTGATGGGATCTTTAAATGTGAATGTTGATGAAGGAGGCAAAGAGGCGGAAACTGGGAGGTGGAGGTGGGGCAACAAGCTTGAGCTTGTGAGGCAGTTAGCAGTGGAGGGGCAACGAGCAGCTCCAAACTCGCGAGGGGCTGCTATCAAGCAACAAAGTGGTGCACCTCGTTTCCTGAAGAACACGTTCCAGCAGAGAAGCTCGCATATCAGTACGCAGGCACTCGACTCTCCCTGCCATTCACTCGAGCTCCTTGCATCTCCCCCTCACTTGACTTTATTTTTAACCGCCAGTCTCCAGGCCAGGCAACACTCATCCCCCGCTCGGCGGGTCAAGTCTGCCACTCGCTGCATTCACAGCCTTCAAATGTTGTATTTCAAACTTCCAGTCCAACGCCATCAAACAACTTCTGGAGTCGTCTAGAATTCGGATCCCCCTAGGCACGCCACAGCAAATGAATGATATCGTTCGGTGTCGGGCAAAGATAGGGCGCACCCAAAGATAGGACGTTTCCCTTGCCCCCCATAGACAGCCATACGCAGAGCCCTTGATCTTTCGGTCATTCAGTCACGTACACTAGAATCAGGCGTCGCTTGCCTCTTCTTCAGATTGCAAAACCCGAGCCGAAACTTCGAAAGCAAAAATTTCAACAAGGCCGGCCTGCTTGGCACATGACCTGCAATGAATGAAAGCCCCCACGATGCTCAACTTAAGTCAGCTTCTCGGCTAGCGACATTGTGGTTCCCGTAGCCAGAGACTGGGAGAGGTTGTGCTCAATCACGTTTGCCAGGCGCTCAGTACTAGGTCTTGCGAGCGCTAACTTGACCTCACACACTCGACGGAAATGTACGCCGAGAACTGCGGGCAGGAGGCGTTTTCTTCCCGGCCGTCGGCATTACCCTCCAACCCATTGTCGATCGGAAACTATCCACAATACTGGTTGTGACGCGTGAGAGATGATCCATCGCGGGGGAAGAGGGGGCCACATTCATGCGCCTCAAAGGCCGTCACTGGCACACGACCGTTGGTCTAAGACGGGCTCACTCTCACGATGTCAACAGCGCCGGAAGACTTATTCAAAAATTAATGGTGGGCCGTCACGGATAGACCAATCTTGTTTCGGATTGTATTAGCGGACAACACAGGTGACTGGTGAGCCAGAAGCAAGCAAGCACGCACAGACGAAAGCTTGGCTCATGTTTCTGGTGGCTGTCGCTATCTCCACAAGGCCTACAACCCTAGCCACGAGGCAGTGTGGCAAGTGTGGGTGGTGAGAATCTGGAGAATTACGATGTCCCCCCTCCACACTTTGTTCGACTCGTGCGAACAACTTCCTTAGGAGCAAGGTGCGGTATTGTGAGCTAAGAGTCCCATCTTGACACTGTTGCGAGCGCGAGTGCAAGACTATGCGGAATCGCGAGTGCCGTCCGCGGTGGCGTCACTATTTTCAGCTATTCATTTACTGAGCCGCCACTACTACACGCGACGGACATATTGGTACAGCGATCCACCGAAGAGTTGCATATGTTTGGCTCCCCCAGCCATGGGTGGCTACAGCCACCGTTTATGGGGCAAGTCTGGTCTCGATATTGTTTCTGCTGTAACTTGTTGAAGCGAATGACATGCATTGGCTGAGTACGTGTTCCAGGATGCCACCCCTATCGCGTGCTCATCATATGATCGTTGCCTGACAATGCGCAATCCTTTGTCCAAGACCGTCTCGAGTAGCTTGGAGGTGCGGCAACTAGCCCTTGGCCGGCATCCCACCAAGCGCCTTGTGCAGCCCCTCGTTAGATCACTCGGTGGCCTCTGCGGCACGGTGCTAGCCGGGCCCGGCAAACATCGTTTTGAGGGGTTTTCAGGTTCCCCGGCTCGCCTGTTTATTATAGTTGGCCAATGAACCTCAACTCCATCTCTGGCTTTGCCGTGGCTTTTTGGTGGCGCCGAGCGTTCCTCAGCCGCTGGTTGGTAGTCGTCTGTACTGCGTAATTGTCCGTACTGGGTCTCATCCACAGCCTAGGCCGCTGATGACACGGGCCTGCTTCCACTTCGACTGTGGAGTGTAAAGGAGAGATGGCTTGTTTGAAAGCTGAATGGCCTTTTGTTTGCCAAAAGCCCAGCTTGTGGTTCCTTGGGGTCTCTGAATCTTTCACTTTACAAAATCGAAAACAGAGCTCTGAGTCTATTCCTCTCGAGCTCTGAAGCCGGCTTACACGGTGAACGCTCGTCCGGATCCAAATTTATTCAGCATCGAATCTCGCCGCAACACTGCTCGCGTGAACTGGAGCTTTGTTAGCTGCAAGTTCCAAGTAGACATATCGACAGTAGATATGGACCTCCCCGCATCTGCGGAAAAGGACCACATAAGGTGCGCGTTCCCCGTCCATGCGACCGCAGGCCGCCTTTACGAAATACTGACTCCATTTTAGACATGGGCTTTCACTATTGAGCATCGATGACTTCGATTTCGACTGGTATGGCACTGAAATTAACGGCACGCTGCTTCAAAGAGGCCCCAGTATTAGAAGCACGCCACTGCGAGATAGCATTGGCTCAGTCCCTTCTCCCATTAGCAGTACAGGAGCAGCTTCTTGGTCAACTGATGGCTACATTCCATCTGCGACTTCTGCGACTTCTCATCCGAACGCCTCGCACGGTCAGCTCCGGTCGAGCGCCCCGAGGGATCAGCGGCCCTCGATGAGCCGATCACTGCGCAACGCTTCCGCTGTCAACATGTCTCTTTATCCTGCACCTACAAAGCCTCTTCCTCCGATTCCACCAACTAGGCCTAACACACAACAAAATTCTTCTGTCGACACCAACAGCCTATCGTCTATCAGCACCAGCTACTCGTCACCCTCAAATCGTCATGTAATTTCTTCCGAGCCAGTCTACCTCGGCCCAAGCGCAACCGCCTCATCCGGTTCCTCGCTGGCGAGAAGCACGGAAGAATATCGTCGATTTCCGGACCGAACGCAGCCTTCTGTACAGCGGCCTTTCAGTCAACGATCAGTTCCGAAATCATTGACTCTTCACTTCTCCAAGGAAATTGTGTCGGACGACAAAAAGGTCAACAACACCGTGCACTATCTCGACATATCACCAAATGCAACCATTCTCGCAAGCAAACATGGGAACAACTTGGTCAAGGTGTGGTCCGTGGCCAGTGGTGAGCTACAAAATTCCATCAAATTCTCATCCTACACGGAAGCGAGGTCCCGTTCTAGGGACTACATGATTCGCAGTCACGCCATTCTTTCGGAAACATCCACTTTGATTGCGATCGCTACTCGTTTTGGCCGCTCTATTGAGATATACGATTGGGCGAGAAAAAAGTCTATTCAAACTATTGGGGACGCCGATCGGTGGACTGCCGGGCGCTTTGAAATCTTTGACGGGGGAGGGTGCCCGCTGGCAGTATATCGGGCTGACTTGTCGACAATCGATGTTTACCGAGCGTCGCCAGAGAGAAGGAAGCCACTTCGCAAGCACCAGTCTATCGACGTATCCAAATCAGGGCTTCCATTTACGCCCGTACTCCCCGAGTTGGCAATTTCAGCAACCAGTCCACTGGTGGTTGCCGCCGCGGGACCAAGACCTCCGATTGCTGGCCATCCCCCGCCGAAGAGGGAGACACTTCTCGTCGCATGGGAAACCTCGCACGGCAATGAAGCTACCTCGAATAAGCCCTATCGAGTCGCGAGGCCTTGGCAGCATGAAGAGCTTGATACCGCGATCCCAATTGACCTTGTCACTTATGGTAGCGCCGTCGTCTCAATTTGGATACCCGCCAGCTTCCGCGCCGTGCCCGTTCCGGCAACGCGCAAAGGTTCAGGGTACAACCTGACGCCCTCCAAGGTGACACTACGCTGGGTGCTTGTCTGGGATCTATCCGCAAACTCGACTCGAACTTTTTCCATTCCAAATTGCACTTCTTGTATATCTCCCGACTGTCGACTAGTGGCCTACTGCAATGCATCGGGTTCTGCAATGGGCGCCAGAGGCTCGCTTGTCATTGTCGACGTGATTACGGGGGAAGAAGCTTGGTGCTGGCCTGACAAGAATGCAATCAACGTACAAAGTGGAGCTGCGTCTGGATTTGCACAATTTGATGCTTTGGGTAGCGTCACGGAACTTTCGTTTTCGGTCGATGGTCGTTTTCTAATCGTGGGAGATGGTCAAGGGCACATGTGTGTGTATGACGTACGGGGATGATATCAAGGTGGGAGATTTTTTATGAGGTGCGCTTGCTTTTATTGTATTCATTGTGTTTACCATATATCCTGGCGTTTACGCACACGTTTTAATAGACATATCTGAACTCTGCAATCTCCTTGTCTGTCAAGTCAGCCTGGTTAATGGCCTCAACGTCGACTAGCTTTACCGTATTCCCCGCTGCCTTGTCCCGACGACGGTTCTCCCATACGAGGTAGTACCGAAGCATGACGGACAGAAGTATGCCACCTGCGTAGCATACCAACATGGCTAGAAAGCCAGAGGTGTAACTTGGCGACTCTCTCGCAAAGAAGAGTTGTGGGCCTATAATGTTTCCAACACAGTATGCGATGAAGATCATTGAATTCATCGTCATCTTCTTTGTGAAGCCTCCAGTGTTGCTGGTGATCATTGAAACATTGAGTGGAAAGGCGCAAGCGTACCCGAACAAGAAGCAAACTCCGATGAAACGAGACCACTTTTGAGCCGGGTCAAGAACACGAATCATGATGGCGCCAGCCAGCGACAGTGAGAATCCCCATGCTATCCAAAGGGTTCGAGTATTGCGCAGATATGTACTTCCAGCTGTCGCAATAATAACAAAAACAGCCTGGAAAGCAAATGTTAAACTGTTGAGAAGCAATGTCGAAAATGTGCTAAACCCCATGCCTTTGATGACAATGGGACCAAACTACATGATATGTTGGCGCAAGTTGTGTTATGGAGGAAGGGACCTGGACTTACGCTTGCAACACCGCCATTCGGAATGTTGTAGCAGAGCTGAATTCCAACGAGAAGCCACAACTTTGTATCAGCGAACGCCTCACGCACTTGCGCCCACTTGATCTGATTGTTCTTGATGCCAGTCATGTTGTCCTGCACTCGTATGATGGCTTTTTCGCGGTCTTCCTTGCTCAAGAAGAATGCTTTGGTGGGCACATCGGGCAGGGCAATGAACATTGCGATGCCCCATGCAATTGTAGCAGCGCCAAAAATTGCGAAAATGGCCTAAAATGCAGAGTCAGAGAGGCCAAGTACTGATAAAAAAGCATCAGGGTTACCTTCCACGATGGGATGCTGTGTACATGACCGATTCCATAGCCCACTAACCCGCCAATCATTCCTGCGAATGGGCTTCCGAGAAACCATGCTGCCTGTCGAAGAGGTTGTTCAGATCGCTTATACCACATGGAGATGAGTACACCTAATCCCGGCGCAACGGCGGCTTCCGTGACGCCAAGGAAAAAACGGTTCGCGAGAAGACCAGCGCTGTTGAAGCAGAGCGGTGTCAAAATGAGAACGCAGCCCCAGAAAAAGCTAAAAAAAAAGAGAAAAGAAAAAGAAATGTCAGCAAAAGAAAACTGTACATCAAATATATGTGTGCTTCTGCTCATCAACAAGCGCTAAACTCGACATACATTGACGCCGCAATGGTCTTTCCAGTAGGTAGGCGAACCATGAGAGCCGCGGCTGGATATGATGCGATGAGATACCCAAAGTAGTAAACACTATTTGCCCAAGAGTATGCGCTCCCGGAAATACCAAGGTCTTCACGTATACCCAAGATTGCTGTCAGGCTCAATGCGGACTTGTCGAGGAACTGGAACATGTAGCACATGGCCATGATTGGAAGAAGACTAAATACAACATATCAGTAATCATACCAAGTGCAGCTTTCTCGGCGTACCAAATATCAATTTTGCGTAGCAGTCTTTTGTCTTCCTCGGGAAACAGCATGGTGCTCGGACTGACGATCTTTGTGGAGCCAGACATTTCAACCACACTTTCATCTCTAGGAGAGCTTTCGCTTTTTTCCGTCATGGCTCCCTTCAATCCAGATATAAGCAGTGGGACTTGATAGATGGGGAATCGACAGCCGCGTTTGTAGAATAAGCTGTCCCGCGTATCTAGATGGCGGAGGGTGTAGACTGTTCCCAGGCGGTTAGAAAGGGCCTTGACGTATCGAGTATCCAATCTACCGACTAGACTAATCCGACTAACTAATCTCTTAGCAACTTTTTTCAGAAGATCTCGGATAATAAAAACCTTATCGCGGGTGGTCCCGCTTACCCGACTTGGTGGAAATGTCCCGGCCCGAAATCGGATGGGTGCGGGGACCAGCGCCTGATTTATTTCCACGAGGCGATGCGCAAATCGATACACTTGGAAATGTAGAGCCGAAAAGAAATGAATCAAGGCACGCCACTGAGTGCTTTTCAATAAGACGATAGCTTGTTTCGAAGTGAGGGCCTGAACAATGTGAAAGAGAAAAAATATATGCTCGCGAGAAGAACCTGAGGTATCACGAACAGGACAACCGAAACCCAGGATCTACATCTTGACCGCGCCCGAGGAAATAAGCAAATAAGCAATTACCGCCACTCGGAGATCCGCTGTGGTATACATATTATGAAGCCCGGGCACTCTATTACGCTGCGGACTGCGCTAGATGTCTCACCCGGACGACGAGGTCGTTGCGAGCGCACACGCACAATCATGGTGCTAGCACATCGGTGCTGCCTGCGTAGCGGATATATATATATTGACCAAATATGGAGAGGCTTGCTCAGCAGCCAGTTTACCAGGTTTACTGAGAACTTCACATGATCAAAGGGTCGCGGTGGCACGGCTGGCCGCTGAAATCTCAGGCTCAAAAGTAAGCACGATGCTGCGGGCACCGACTCTGCAAGCGCCTCCATAACAGAAAAGATCGACACGGTATCGAAGACATTTTCTGTGCTCTATTTTGATGTTACTTACTGGGCTCCGCACTCGATAATCTTTCTACCAAGGCACAAAGGATTTACTCTCGAGTGAGTGACGAACATTGATTGACGCTGTTGCAGCGCAGTCTGACATGGCTATTCCCAATTTATCTTGACGCGTTGCTATTATGGCGGTGGCTTTTCCTTCTACTCATGTTTTCTATACTTTTTAACAATTTTTCTTCTTTTATTTCTTTCTGATTCAAATATATCTATGGCTTCAAAACTTGTTTATTTTTTTACTTGGCGTCTTCGCTACCCCCCCCCCCCCCCCTACCTTTGGAGCACCAGAATCCTTGTATTATAGGGGTATACGTCAAGGAATTACCAGTAGAACAATGCTGCATATACGAGCACATAGCTCAAGCCAGAGCTACCAGCACGTAGCTGTCCATTTGAACGCAACGTCGTAAAAGACACCACCCTATAATGAATGATACAATCGTTAGCTGCAATACAATGTGACATGCAGCGCATTGTAGCTACTTTATTCACTCTACAATAGGACGACAATTCACATGGTTAAGGAACACAGAGTTCAAGTTTAAAACATCTCCCATTACTATCTAAGCCAACCGATATTAAAAGTCTCCATTGCAATCAACATTAAAGCTTTCAGCCAAGATTTGTTCATCGAGCCCATGCATCGATGTAGAATTCGCTCGTGAAACAGAAGCTTGGGTACTATACAATTTTTCCCCCAAGATGCTCCAAAGAGCAAGCCAAGAAAAATCCCATCACAGCCATTTCATCGCGTCGCTTCCCCAGAAGAGAAAGTCACTTACAGAGCAAGGACAGCGGCAACGGCGGCGAGAACACCGGCAGGGGCGTAGAAAGCAGCAGCAGCAGTGGGGATGGTGACCTGGGAGCTGGTGGGGGTAACACCGCCAGTGCCGGTAACAGAGCTGGCGCATGAGGTTGTGACAGACTCAGGCTTGGTGTGAGTGGCAGTAGCGCTGCCACTGCCGGTCTTGGTGGCGCTGCCAGTCTGGGTGGCGCTGCCGGTGCCGGTAGCGGTAGCAGTGCCGGAGGAACCGGCGCCGGTGGAGGAAGAACCGCTGCTGCCGGAGTTCTTGCAGTCCTTGTAGGAATCCTCGGCCTTCTCGAGGACGGTGGTCAGCTGGCCAGCGAGCTCCTCAGCGATGGAGCGGGCGTTCTCGGGGACCTTCTCAGTGACAGCCTTGATCAGGGCCTGGGAGTTCTCGGTGATGGCAGCGATCTGGTCCTGGACAGTCTTGCACTCGCCGGCCTTCTCGACCTGGGACTTCTTGGACTCAAGAGCCTCGGTGAGGCCGCTGCCAGTCTTGGCGAGATCCTGGACACCGCTGCCGAGCTCGACAGCGTCGGAAGCAGTCAGGTCGGGGCCACCCTCGACCTTGGTCTTGCCCGCCTTGAGGTCGGAGACGAGCTGGTCGGCGGCCTTGACGAGATCGGACTTGTCACCGTTGTAGGAATCGACAGCCGACTTGACGTTCTTAATGTCCGTGTTGACGGTGCTAATGACACCCTTGACGACGGTAGCATCACGGGGGGCAACAGCAGCCACGGCACTGGAGGCGAGAGTGAGAGCAACAGCGAACTTCATGTTGACGGTTTGTTGAAAGACTGGGTCTTGAAAATGAAGAATTGCAAGAAACGAGTGTTGTATAGACACTAAGCGAAGGTGAGTGATGGGGATGAGGAGAGAAGAAACAGAGCGGAAGATGAAGGAGAGGGCCAATGATTATATAGGAGAGAAGCCAGACCTTTTAGTCTGGCAAGCCTACGAGTGGTGGCATGCGAGAACGGGCGATGGAGGGGGGTGTGCTGGACAATGCACAAGCCCCTTCTCCTAGGCTGGACACAATGGCCTCTCTTTTTTTGACTATTCCAAGCCCGGACAAACCCAATATTTGTCCTCTGGTACCTTGAATAGGGAGGTAGAGGGTGTGTGGCCTGTGAAAGAGCTTATTACCGAGGCTGCCTATACAATCAGTCGATATAAAAGACGGTTTGGAGCATGAGAGTGGACCAAATCTTGCCAGTATGGACAGCCACAACAGGCCAGTAATCCAGGTTGCCAGGTTGCCAGGTCAGGTTTCTCGTAAATATTATGTACATGGACATTGTATAGTGCGTGCGGTTGCCAGCCATCACGAGTGAGCCAGAGTGGCGATAGCTGCAGGACCAACTCTGCACATCCCATGTACATGTACATGTACATGTAGACACCGAGCCATGGAGGCAAAAGACGCAACTAGCGTGCATTTGCGGGCTCGGAGATCTATCAGAGTGCGTGGACAAGTGCGTGTGGAGAGAGAGCTAGTTCAGCTATTTTCCCTCTCTGATGCGGACGCCGGGCCATTGGCTTGACGCCACGGTTCGGCCCAGGATGGTTTCAGCGGCCATGTGGAGGCAACAAAGGTTCCCGGCCAAACAAGGCTCTGAAGCTCTTGTTGGGGAAACGAATCGGGGCTGCAAGAGTCATTGACTGGTGGGTTGGTTCAGCGCGCACCATGTGCTCATACATCATGCCCAATAGAAAGTAAAGTTTCCGTCACTCGCTTGACAGCTTTTCAAGCGGGTTTGCTATGAGTCGGCGAGGCAATCGCGTGCCGTTTTCAATCCCAGTATTTACTTGCAGAATGGCATCATGTATGATAACCACATCAAGCTGCCCCAGCTATTCTCCGCAAAAGCTGTCGCTGTCTGTCTGGGGGAAGGCCCGGCCCATCTCCACGCTGCCCCTTGCACTCGGATGGCCTTTCTCATTTCCCCCCGCATAAGAGATTCTGCTAGCGTAGTTTTGCCTTGAGAGCTGCATGAGACGATTGCTATAACAATAAACATGTATTATAATATAATGTGTTCAAAGCATGTGCGGTGAAAAGGAGTGTCGGAGACGGCAATCATGGTTCAATGAGCAAGCATGGTTGCCGCGGCCTGGCAAAGCAGCCCAATCGAGCCTTTTTTACATGCTCGATGCAGCCACTGGGCACTTGATTAGCAGGCACCAGAGCAGAGCTAAAGAGTAGGCCCGAGCTAAAAACAGAGCAACGAGCTAAGAGAGTGATGGTGTATTCGTACTGATGGGCACGAAGGAGGCAGGTCACTTGAGAGAATAATAGCGCTGGATGAGGTGTGGGCTTGTTCATACAAGACGTATTCAGAAAAAAGACTTTGACAAGTTGAGTCTCCACCTGCGCGATACGGACTGCTCGTTTGATTCTTCTGTCTTTGCCGCACCTGCAGCTCGATCGGATTGAGACACAGCTCCGGGGAGTGGGCTTCCGGTACAGCCAACCACTGCCTGTGTCGCTCAGAGAGAGTGTCCACCTCAACTCGTCATTGGCGAATAGGATTTTCTGCGAGGAGAGAGTCTGGAGGTGCAAAGTACCAAGTAGATATGACCGTCTTCCATTGTCGAGTCTGGGTGAGACCGCACAAGCATGCGGGCACGGGATTTCTGACCATTTCACAGGACAATCAGAAAACAGCACAGTCCCAGCACAATACGGCGTGCTCACTGACTCGCGATCTGGTATTGCGTTGGCGTGGCAGAAATAGCAAAACTGAAAAGGTCCTGCCTGGCTGGACTATTATTAAGAGAATAACTTCCTCTCAAGCTATCGAGCGTAGGCCCTAGGGAGTTATCCACTTGGGCTCAAGGACTCTCCCAATGCGGACAGGTTTGCGACCGAGGAGGCTTGGAGAAGGTTCGGCCAAAGATTTGAATGCACTTGTTCTTTCCCGTCTCGCCCTCCACTCCTCCCGGCTTTGTCAACGGTCATACGGCTGTGGCCGCAGATGTGGGTAAAGTAGGTCGGCCCCTTGCGAAGACGTAGAGCAATTTTGCATCGCCTATTACTAAGTAATAAGCCGGACTTTGCTCATATTTACTATTCGAAATTCGAATGGAAACTGTGAGAGTACATCAAAAGTCGACTGTACTATTTACCTGGTTGTAGGCATACGCTGATCTACAAAGTATTGTCATTTTTTGCTAGGTCATGACGAGCATTCAAGTGAGATCGCCCAGTCGCAGGTACTTAATTTTATTATTTGAAGCCTGCAGACCTTACGAGGTATCCGCTAGAGTGCACCAAAATCAAGCTGCTAGTGGCCGCTGTCGCTCTTCCATCATTGGTTAAACAACAAGTAGTTAGTGAGAAGGGTGGTGTGGGTAGGCAGGAGCAAGGGTGGAAGGCAGGTTATAGCAAGGTTAGGTATCCAAGTATGCTAAATACAACGCGACTGGGGCTTCCATGGCAGCAAAGCATTTCAGGCATTATATTATAATAAACTAATTAATTCACTTGAGTGGATGGCTCATTTCCTTTACAGATGGACCGAGTAACTTTGCCGCCGTGATACTGTCCAATAACACGAGCTTTCTACTGGTACTTTTACAGGTAAATAGCCCTTGCCCATGGACAAAGCCCTATTTTTTTTGTTTTTTTTTGTTTTTTTTTTACCCCGCTCAAAAGATCGCGTTGGGTCATGCCCTGGGTTGCGTAAAAAAGGCACGCTGATTGATAATTCGTTACTTGATCACTCTTCTCCTTGGTCATAGAAAGTAAATACACATTCTGCAGCGGGTCCAAATCGCTCAATACTTGGCAGCATCGTTGATGGCCTGTTGGAGAAGAGCATGGAACTATCCCAATGCAACCAACTCTCAAGAGGTAACTGTACCTGACCATCCCAAGGTTGCTAGTTACGCCACCCGTGAGCCACATACAAATTGATTCATTGATCCGTGTGGCCAAAATCCCACACGGGCGTGTAGCCTGATTAGTTGTGGCGCCGCGGGGAAAAAAAAAAAACTAGGTGACGCATCAACGAAAATTTTTACACTAATTTACTTTGTACAGATACTCAGGGGCGCAAGACGACTTGTTCTCGGCCGTGCAAATCCGGACGATTCTCCCGCTCTGTGGAGTGTGTCCAGTGTCCGCCTTCAGCCGACCGAGCAAGCCATCCGAACTCTGCGAAACGTCTTGAAAGAAACAAAGGAGACATTGCTGGGGAATATCCACTTGCTAAGTCCGGTCCAATCATCCAAAGTTGCTGACCTGCATTGGAACTACAACGGCCAATTGTGTGGAGATTAAATGTCACTTCATTTTTTTTGGAGGGTTGCCAATCTTACTGGGTTGCGGGGAAGTGAGACTGTGGCAACAATGCTGGAAATGGCCTACAAGGAAGGCTCTTGTCTTCATTCTGCAGCTCGTGCTCTGCTCAGAATGTTCCAGCCTCACGCCGCGCCCCTTCCGTGATGAAGATCTTTCGTGTATCACAAGGCCGAGGCGAGGCGCATATTGCTAAGCCTGTGCGATCTGCGTCATCCTGTACAGAACGCCACTGTCGAGAGAAATGATGACAGGACGGGGGCATGGGGGATTGAGGGGGTTGATGGCAGCATCTGATCGATAAGGCGTACCCCCTTGATCCCGCCTGCTACTTCATCCAAGATGCTCACGCAAGTCATCGACTGGCATAAAATCACATGATTTGCAGCATAACTCGAAGCAAGATATCTGCATGAAAAGCAGCCACCATTCAATTTCCTCTGCATGCTCCTGCGTACCATTTTCGTTACCGACTTTGCCGGGCATAGATGCCTGCGAACTTGGTCTAGAACAAACACTATTGCCAGATACAGTGCAATGCACGGCCTCTCAACTCCGACTATCAATCTGTATTGAGCTCGTCCGAAGCTGTTCCTGAAATTGATGCGGGTAAACTCCTGGCTTTTCGGGCTAGTCACAATGGGCAAGTACCGAGGAGCATTCTGTCTACGACTCCTTACTCTGACAGCACGTAATCTCTGAAATGCCCCGAAGCTGCAGCCCTTGCATAAACGCTACTCCAGAGCAGCCAAAACGGGGCGACTGTGCACAGAAGAGAGGCTAGTTCTGTATCAACCTCAACTATCCGTCTCCCCTTTTCGGGAGACTTTGCCCGGTTTGCCAAACAAATGTTGCGCGAGGCTCGGCACTACTTCATTCAATATTGAATCCTACCACATGCTCCGGAGAACTAATACGCCCGCCCCCCTTGCTGCCTGGATTGACCAAGATCCTGCGAGGCCAGCCACAAGCCGCCCGCCGCGTGCAGCCCCCTTCGTGTTGCAGCTGGCTTGGGGGAGATGAGGACCTAAGAATAGCTATGGATTACTTCTACTAGCCAACCAATGTGCTAATCACTTAGAGCCTCCGCCAGTTAAAGCCCAGGAACCGCTTTTGTCTTCAGCTGTGGCGTGCTCGCTCTGGAGCAGAGCCAAAAGAAGAAGTCGGCGGGATACCTATGTTGTTCCACTTCGGCTTATGCAAGGGACCAGCATCAATTTCTGAGTCTTGATATTTCCTCTGCTCTACTCCGTATTGGAGCTTTTGTATATTGAGAACATGAGTCAGCTCAAGTTCGTGAAGGAAATAGAGTCGAGTTTCGCTTCGGCAAGCTGAGTCTCCGCGCGCTGTTTCGTGCGATATCAATGAGACCCGTTGCAAGTTTCTGAATGCCTCTGAAGTCTTTCTTTTGAATGAAAGCTGGCTTGTAGAGGTACAGAGTGCGTAGACAAGATTTTACTGTAGAACCCGACGTACAGCTAAGACAACGTAGCTATCTAAGTATCCGCCCGTCTCAAAGACGAGGCATTTGGGTAAACTCATTGATATCGAGTGTTGCTTCGTAGAAGTAATTGAACTTTACAATTCGATTAATTTGTCTTGTCAGGTATGCGGATGATGTATCGACTATATATTCCTCCGGAGGTGAGACCAAGGATCTGTGTGTCTCGGTAAGACATCTGCACACGTTCTAACTTGGTGAGATGGCGAAATTCAAACAAAACTTTAAGGTGGCCTTGATATCACGGAAACGAGTCAATCACGTAAGAATCACTCATGTATGTCATTGGTTTGTGACTCCAGTGTGTGTCGATTTTGCTCATTGTGAAGCCACGGTCGTGCGAGCAGCTAGCCGCCACATCCGTCTTCAACTGGTCGACTTTGCTTCCCAGGTATGGGCTATTCGATGGCATTAATGCACTTTGTGTCAAATTATTCCTAAACTTACTCACACAGACTTCTTTTGTCCTTTTATCGTCCTTGATGATTGATCTTTTCTGAACTGGCGTTTCACAGGGTAGCTCAGCTGATGACTCAGTGTCTTGATCAGCATAACGATCCTCATCCTCTTCCTCACTTGTCGCCGTGTAACAACCTCGAAATATTTGTTATCGAAGATTCAGTTCGACGGTCTGCACCTCATTTATGGTGGCATTGCTTTTTCTCCCTCGCAAGAGCAATCCTTCGTCGCAGTGACCAGAATTGAATTAGTCGTTCACCACCAACAAATCAGATTAACACAAAGCCTCAATAACCATTCTTGTACACAGTCGCAATATTCGCCTCGAGTCATTAAATACCATTAAATCGTCCAAATGTTGTTTTAAACAGCTGCCTGTCGCCAGCATTCTAACATTCCCACGTGATGGCCTTCGACGTCAGCCCCTCTCTTGTCTGTCCCGCCAAGCTTGGCTGGCGGCAGGCTGCCACTTTAAGCTCTCTTTCTCTCCCTCTAATAATCGAAACAGCATCATAATTTCAAACGAACCTCGGAAGAATATACGTAAAAAAAAAAAAAAAAGACATATTGAAGGGGGAGCGACGCAATACCTCGCCGCAGAGCCACCATGGCCGAGCCTCTCCCCGCCGCGTTCAAGATACCCGAAATCAGTCGATTCATCAACCGCGCCAATCAGCTCCGTGCGGTCAAGCCCGCCATTGCCTACTGGTGCGAGTACCACGCCGTCAACCAGATTGTCGGCAAGAGCCTGCACACGACCGACGACGAATGCTTCAACTTTACGCGGACGCTGATTGAGCGCCTCGAGGCGACCAAGGCCGAGCGCGCCGACGATGATGCCATCACCGACAACACTGCGGGGCAAGCATACGTGGAGATGTTTGCCCAGGAGACGTTTGACCGCGCAGAGAGAACCATGCGCGCCAACAGGGTAACCAGGTAAGGAATAAGTCGCTGCGCTTTGCGATGAGGTGCTCTCGTACAGGGGAAGCTGATTTTGCGCAACTTTTGGCAAGGCAAACCGCCGACACGTTCGACGCCGCCGCCACCTTTTTCGACCTTACCCGGGAATGGGGCACTCCAGAGCCAGAAACGCTGCAAAAGATCAAATTCGCAAAGTGGAACGCCGCGCGCATCCTCAAGGCCATTCGTCAAGGCGATGATCCCAACGAGTCCAACCCCAAGGCCCCCGAGCCCGAACCTGAAGATCCAGCCGAGGTCGAGCTCGACCCCGCGACGCACGACGCATCGACAAGTATGCAGCCATCGGCGCGGCAAGCCTCTGTAGAAGATGCGCCAGATGAAGGTGATCTCTTGCCCTCGGTCCCTCACACGATGGCGACCGCTACGGACGCTGGTGGCTTCCCACCAGCCGCACCAGCCGTGACGACACCCGAGCCTCCTTTTGTTCCACCCCCAAGCAACCTGTCACCACCCTCCTCGAGGCCGCAAGTGCCTCCTCAGCCCTCGCCACAGATACCGACCAAGATCACCACCGAGAATATACCCTCACCTGAGCCTCTACCGACGCAGCCAAGAGAGGCAGCTACGCCAATGGTTCCTCCGCCGGTAGCCTCCGCACCAGCTCCCATCCCGTCCCCGGCTCCAGCTCCTGCCGCGGCCCCAGCCGCGGCATACGCGACGACGACTAATATACACCACAAGGATCTCAACCAAGCTCAGAAGCACGCGAAATGGGCTATTTCAGCCTTGAATTTTGATGACGTGCCCACCGCAGTGAAAGAGCTGCGGAATGCGCTGGCCATGTTGGGTGCTCAGTAGCTGGATAGACATCGTGTACAAATTCTACAAATCACAACCTTACGGACGACGGATGCTGGAGTGAAATGAGTTTGATCATCAAATGTTCTAGCCAATGAGTAGTAATATAGGTATATAATTGAGTAACGTTTTCGTTTGATCAAGTCATGTGCGCCGTCATGGTCCTGCTCCATTTCCATGGGTCAGGTACTCGAATAATTCGTCGTAAGTTCATCATGAGTTGTATGCTGCATGGTGCTATTCCAAAGAAAAAGCTGCAGCAGTGCAATGATAATGATCTATGCAGCAGCAACAAAGCCTTGCGCCGTGAACCCGGTAATAGGGATGCTGTCAAGGTATCGGTTGGGGACGCCATTTTTCGTAGGTGGCTCCGGATCCTCGGGTGCACCAAACCATCCACGATCAGGGCCCCAGGTGATAGCTTTGCCTGACTCGGTGGCAACGCTGAAAAGGGAGCGCATCATAGGGCCCCTCTTCTGTACGCTTTCGTAGGCGTCGAATTCTATGGTGCGAACTGCCGGCAGACCTTTCAGGGTGCTTGCCAAAAGTTCGCGGCTGAATTCCTCGTAAAAGCCGTCTGCGCGGCGAAATTCATTAAAAATATTGTCGCTCGGGTCAACCTGCACATAGACTGCCAGAGTATGGACGTGGATGCAGTCTTGTAGTCCCAGGGCAGCATTGACGACCCAACCCGCAGGCGGTGCACTCCAGCCTGGTCCAAGTCGCATCTCAATTCTGGTGAGACACCGTCGCTGTCTAGCGGAAAGACGGGCCAGAAGAGGCTTCTTGGTCTTGTAGTACCGGCCGGGCGTCGTGGGGAAGAGTCGGAACGTTCGCGTGCTATAGAAGAAATGCGTCGCTTCGTTGCTGATAAGCCTGCACGTCCTCATCAGGCCGAGATTCTTGTGAATTCGTTTGTGGTTCTCTCGAGACAAGTCAAGAACCTCAGTGATGTCGGCAAAGAAATATTCATAGATTTTGATCCGCAGTTCCGACGGCAGTAACAGAAAGGGAAATACCTTCTCCGGTGGCTTTGGCTTCTTCTTCTGAAATGGACGGAACGGTGTATCAAGCGTCAATGAAGCGATGGAGGCCGTCATATGTTGAGTCTCTGTGACAGCGAGTGATGCCTCCCGGTTTGCCTTCCCGGACTCTGCCGACATCGGCAACTGTAACGTTTGGCTACTCTTTTGCGCCGTAGAGCCGCGCCTCGCCGTTTTTCGAGGCATTATGAGCGGTCGATTTGAAGACCGACTGCAGAGAGCGCGTATACCAGCCTTTCGGTGGCGTGGGATCGTATCGGTGAGCAAAAAGAACGAGTGGCAAATCTGCAATCTCCGTGGCGGATGGTAGGAGTTTCGAATCGTAGAGACTTCGTGGCCGGAGGCCGATAAGAAAGCGCCCTGAAGATTTTTCGTTGAAATCGAGACGGTAGTGCTTGATCAGCAGGAAATGGCTTTGGAAATAGAGCGCTGCGCAGAGGGTGGTGCCATGGCGATATCGCGAAGGAGGATCATCTAGAACCACCCTCTAAAATGCGATACGAGCGACCATTGCGTCGAGCCGGAGGAATAGCGATAGGGGTGGGAGCACTGTGGTAAGAGCGCAGTTGTCAGCGCTCAAGAAATTCAAAAGAGCGAAGTTTAAAAATGCGGTCTGCTATGAACTGGAGAGGATGTCTCGTGCCGTTGGTGTGAGGGGAGGGCTTGGAGTCGGTGACAGAGCGAGCCTGAGAGGGAACTTTTAGGTGATGGCCCCAGAATTTGAACTAAACCTAGCGTGAGGCGTTGTTTCAGTGCAGAATTCCAAAATACAGGGCGGTTTCCACATAACACAGGGGATCACGGGCCGCTGCAAGTACCTTAGGTACCTAGGTACCCAGCACGCCTACCTAATACAGCCAGTGCTAGATAGGCGCACAGATCCGTCAACTCATGGCACTGATGTAGGCGTTTTGTGATATATCACTATTCAATATGGTTTTTCTTTACGAAAGGGTATCACTCAAGAAGTGCCATTATCTACTCATATAGTAGAAAGCTGCACTTGCGCAGCACGCAGTTGTGCTGAGCTCGCTGTCCGGATCTCGGTCAAACAGAATTTCCGGGCGCCCTTTCGCTGTGTCGGCCATCACCTGTCAGGCTGTCATGCTGTCATGCTGTACCTAGTGGCACCACTGTGTTCCACTGGATGAGGTCAGCTGGGAAATTTTTGGTGGGCAAGGAGAGAGGCCGACAAAGCTTCCACGCATGTCCCGAGTTTTTATCTGTACGGTCCGTACAGTCCATCAAGACACAAGCGACTTCCTCAGGACAGCTGGTTTTGAGGCACAACAGAGTATCTTGCTTCAAGTCTCGCTGTCGCGCCGCGCCGCAATTGATTCGAACCACGCCTCTCAACATGCTGTCACGGCTCGTCCTGGCGCCCCGTGTGGGCATGGCCAGTCTGGCCCGACAAGCCGCCGTTCCCAGCGTGCGCACCCGTGCAGCCATCAATGGGCCCTCGGCGCTCCTCGCCAGAGCCTACTCGCAAGAGAACAACAACAAGAACAGAGCCTCGCATCCCAAAAAGGACGCTGCACCAGGCGCAAATAAGGGCCCTGCCGCCAGCGAGGAAGCTTCTTCATCGCAGAAGTCGGCTGAGGCTTCATCGTCGCAGCAGCAACCCAAGGATGCTTCTTCTGCAAAGGCCGAGTCGTCAGCTGATTCCGCCAAGGAGCCCGAGCAAATACCTTTCCACAAGCTCCCCGATCTGACGCAAGGCATCCCCTCAACCTTTGCGCAGGAAATGGCCGAAAAGGCTGGTAAAAGGCCCTCGTCGTATCTTCAGACGATCGAAGAAGAAGAGAGCTCCACCTCCCGCGAAAGACGCGACCCTTACGATTCGTACGAGTCAACGCATCAGCTCAATCGCCGAAAATATACACGAGTCGCGCTGGCTCTGGCCGCCATCGGTGGTGTCGGCACTTTGGTCTACATGGGTCGCAATTGGGAAGACTCGGTTGATATTCAACGGCATCCTGATGCGCCTAACGGCTGGGGTGTCGGTCTATGGTGGGACAGAGTCAAGGCTCGCACGACCGAGTCCGTCACATACTACCAAGAGCCAGCCTTTGACAAGCTGCTACCAGACCCTCAGCCATACTTTGCGCGCCCATACACGCTGTGCTTGAGCTTGGACGAGCTCCTTGTTCATAGCGAATGGTCTCGCGAGTATGGCTGGCGAGTCGCCAAACGCCCCGGCCTCGACTACTTCCTCCTCTACCTATCCCAGTACTATGAGCTGGTTCTCTTCACCACAGCCTCCAGCGTCATGGCCGAAAACGTCCTGCAGAAGCTAGACCCTCACCATATTGTCATGTGGAGACTATACCGCGAAGCTACCAAGTTTGAGGACGGTGAAATCGTCAAGGTACGTCTCGAAATCGCACAATTACTTCATATTGCAGTACACTAACACAACGTCATCTAGGATCTCTCCTACCTTAATCGCGACTTGTCCAAGGTCATCATGATCGACACAGATGCGAAACTCGTGCGCAAACAACCCGAAAACGCCATCATCCTCCCTCCCTGGAAGGGCAACTCTTCCGACCGCGGCCTCATCAACCTGATTCCCTTCCTCGAGTACATTCATACCATGGAATACGATGACGTCCGCCGCGTCATCAAGTCCTTTGAAGGCAAGGACATAGCCGAAGAGTTTGCGCGCCGCGAGGCCCTCATGCGCCGCGAGTTTGAGAAGCGCAACAAGTCGGAGCGCAAGCCCAAGGTCTCTGGCATGGCCGCCCTCGGCAACATGGTCGGCCTCAAGCCCGGAAACATGAGCATGATGCAGCCTGAGGGCGAGCAGAGCGCCAGCGAGGCCTTTGCCCAGGGCAAGATGCTCCAGGACATTGCGCGCGAGCGCGGCCAGCGCAACTACGAATTCATGGCGCAGAATATCCGCGAAAACGGCGAGAAGTGGCTCCAGGAGGAAAAGGAAATGATGGAAAAGGCCCAGCAAGAGGCCATGAGCAACATGATGGGCTCCTTTGGCGGCTGGTTCGGTGTTGGCAAACCCGCCGATGGCGCCGCCGCCACCGGTTCCGACGCCAAGAAATAAGAAAAACAAACAATCATCTCCCTACTCTCTTTATCCATCGGCGGTTCGCGACATTGTGAGAGAACGCATCGTGTCGTGCGTTTGCACCATTGCAACAACTTCCCATGACAAAATTCGCTACTATCGCGGCCACGGCCGAATGAAGCTCTGGCGCTGCTTTATTTGTAATTTTATTAGGACCACAAATCATACATGACACCATCTAGAAAGAAAAGGAGCGAGCTGGCTGGGGCGCAACAGCAGCAGTGTCTTAGTATTACCCGAGGTTGCATGGGCAGGACGGAACATGTCCTTTATATAGATTCAGCATTTTCCTAAGTTCTTCATGCTCGGCACCTACTGCTGACTAGCCGGAGGACAAGTTGAACACGGCTAGAAAGAAAAACATCCATGTACGAGGTGCATATGTTATTGTATACTACAGGTGTAATAAGAAGTGATTATTCAGGACAACTGTGTAGGGTCGTGCACCCAGACCTTTGACTTCTTTCCCTGACACGCAATTATAGGCATTTACTTTCCATGGACGCGCCTGCTAATTCGTCTACCTCCAATGAGACAACGCTCACAGCCTGGGTCCGTGATGCATTGAAAGTAGCTGTACTACTGTTAGCGTGGAAATATCAATGCAGTTGAATTACATACGCATCGCTTTTCTTGTCATCGATTTTCGAACAGTCACACCAAGCAGCGCAGGAAGGAGTTGGCTTGGCGGATGTAGTGGTGGTCGAATTATGCCCTTTGGTTGTAGCAGGCTCAGGAATGGGATCTGGCAATGGAGGGAATGGGATCCCACAACCAGCACATTCGGGCTGTTTCAGACAGCTTTCAAACCTAGATATAAGGATGAGCAACTATGTGTCGTATTGGTTCGTGGAGTTGACTTACGCATCAGGATCTCCGTATTTCGGCTTGCAATCGCAGTACGACGGGCATGTTGGAGGAACTGTTGGTGTTGGGGATATACTCCCAGTCGTACTTCTGCTTGTTGATGTGACAGTCATTGTCAAGATTGACGTCGCTGTGACTGTGGAGACCTTTGTAGCATCGGGAATAGTAGTTGAGGCTATGGTCTTGTATGAAGGGATCTCTACGGACGTTGTTTTAGCCGTCGTATCCTTTGTAACAGTCAGTGTCAGGGTTGATGTCGCCGTGACTGTTGTGGTGAAGTCTGTGATTGTGAAAGTTGCCAGGGGCACAACGGCAGTCTTGGTAGTTCCACTCATTGTAAGCGTGTAGGTGCCTGGAGCGAGTGTTTCAAGCTCGTAGATTGAAGTCGTCACTGGTACAGTCGTGATGTCGGGCAAAGTGCAAGCAGCACAATTGGGGTTCGAGATACACTGATAATACCTGAATTTTGTGTAAGCGATATGATTAATGGTCAAATCTCACTGCACTGAGGATACATACTCATGACAATTCTTGTCTTCGATTTTAGAGCAATCGCATTCGCCATAGGACACACATGCCGCAGAGCCTGCTTGGGTTTCGCTCGCTTGAAAGGATGGCTGGCAAACGACCTTACTGATGCATTGCGCGTATCTTTGGGATTAAAGTAAAGAACGTGCGTTAGACTTCTTCCTCATCAAGTCTTATCAAATGACGAACTTACCCAGCCTCTGCTTCTGGGTGATCGAGACACCATTCAATGGCGAGTTGAGCAACTTGCATGGACATGACTCCATGACAATATAGCAGGCCAAGTGCCAGGATATTCGGAGTATATCGATGCATAGTAAAGATATAATAGGGAAACGTCTAAGGAATAGGGTGAAAAGTGATGTTTTTGTCGCGAAGCCAACTGCGATGCTTAGGCTGCCGGACATGCAAGATGCGGAATCCTGCTAGTTCTAAATCGCAGGACTTGGGACTTTCGTTGAAGATTTAAATATAAGACGGAGTTGTAGCGGTGCAACGTGCGACCTTGGTTTGCACCTGCAGTTTCTCGTGGGCTGCAGTACGCCTTCCTCGCAAGGACTCGGAAAGGTAGTAGGACAGAGCCGACTATCGGTGTTAGCTCCGTGAACCAGTATGATTCCATCCTCCACAAGCTTTGGAAACACGCACGTGATAGCTCAATGAGAGCAAGCAGGAACAAACGTGGCTCGCGGGAAGCACGGATACATTACCGTGCATGTGCCACTTGACGCGGAAACTGTAGAGACCAGTCGTTCACGCCGCACGACTCTTAATCGAGGGTTTCGCCTACCTAACTTATCAGGATATATGTCTGCTGCAATTTCTGGATGAATTCAATACGTAGACAGTCTCGTTGACCGTTCTCATGGCTTCCATGATACGACACACCCGACCTGTCGTGACATAGCAGTGCAAGACATTCAATATCTAATGTCAATGTACCGAGTGCGACTCACTACAACAACTCTGTATCTTCGTTTTTGCGCAGGTGGCACCAGATGATCTCTCGTGACGTGCAGCGGTTTCCCGATTAAGAGCTGCAAGTAAAAGCTTGGCAGAGGCCGGCAACACATCAAACGTAAACGGAGTTTGCCTGAAATGCCAATACGACGCAAGTGTTTGCCTATTGAGTTTCAAGTACAGCCGACTCGGCGTGTTCGCATGTATCTGCAGATTTTGGGAATCTTCAAGGGCGGGCTTTCGTTTGCTTGTCAGCAGTTCGCCAAATGCTCGTCCGCGGATAAGGTAACGCTGACCTTCTTAATTATGCTATATGCTAAAGTTTGTGTAGCTTCTCTATTCAAAGTCTTTAGCTTGGTTTGAGACTGCTTTTGTCCCGTGCCTTGTCATCGTTTGTGCACTTGCGATGCATTTTGGCCTCTGCCTGTGCCCAAACGGCGAGTACCTGTTTCCGCACCCACTTCTCGATAATCGCATTATAGCCATCAATATCAACACCGGCTGCGCTCATGGTTAGCACTGCCACATAGGAAACGGCACAGGCAATAGTCCCAAAAATCAAAAAGTGAGTCAGCCACCAAAAGTGTTGTGAGCCCAGTGGGCAGTCCACATATTCATGCTCCCACTCCCAAGTGTCAAAGTTGAACCACATGCTCAGCAGACCGGCGTTGCCACCAAAGTCACCCATCATACTGCGCACGGTAATTTCCCGGCGGCCTGGCAGGCCAGAACGCGAAAGAAAGTCCATCATTTTAGCATCTCTCCACCGGACTGTTTCCCAAGACCTCTCAAATGAGTTAGTGCCGTTTGTCTGGTTTATAAAATGGTATGTGTCACAGCCTTCATGGTCATGCCCATTCATTACCATGCCTTTACGTCCCAATCCGTTGGACGGGGCATTCGTGTCTCCGCTAACCCCGAAGATGCCTTCTAGCAAGCCCTTGCTGGCATCACTGCTCAGTAAGTATTGCTCTTTCAACCCGCCGCCATCGGTTTGGCTATGGAAGTCAAAGAACGGAGCATCAACACAGATGCCAGCAGGCTTGTACATTGGAATGTGTGTAAGAATGAGAGTAAAATGCCCATCAAACTCAACGGCAGCTGATGTTCCAATGACAGAGTTGATAAACTTGTACGTCTCGTCCTGCAACGGTACGGATTTGGCGGGCGTGTCCAGGTTCATATCATTTAGGACTACGATCCTGAGTTCGGGGGCTAATCGCTTCGAGTCTGGATTCGTTTCTGCGTTGACGATGGTCGCATTATGCTCAGGATCGCTAACGGGGAGCTCGAATCGCAGTTCGTAATTAGCCTTGCCGAAAACGCGCTCAAATCTCTGGAGGCGCTCCTCAGTCAAGTCTCCAGCATAGCCAATGTCGTGATTGCCGGCGATGTTGATGATGCGCTTCTTCCAGACATCTTCTTCCGGTGAACCATTGAGGAAGCCAGTGAGGTTGTATTCGTGGGCTGGGAAAACGGCCACGTCGTCCGGGACGCGCTCCCCGCCCTTGAATGTCCTGTTCCAAAATCGGCGGCCTCGTCGTTCAAACTCGTCATCCTCGATCCACTGACTCCCAAGGAGGTCACCAAGAACACTGACATGCGTCGGTTTTGTCCACCAATGCAGAGTTTTATAAATGTGGGAAAGGTAGAAGTCGTTGCCGAAAAGGTCAAATACTTTGCGCGCGGATTCGAGAATGTTGGGAATGTCATCGAAGAAGATGTCGACGAGGTCGTGCATGGACCATCGGATGCGCTCTTTGAGGGATTGATGCCATGTTTGAAAAGTCAGCTGCTTGAATAGCAGGGGCACATGCGGCATGAAGCCCGCATAGGCAATGGGAATGGAGGTGTCGCCTTCGAGCTGCGGGTCGCCGAGAGCTAGTAGGCGAAAGGGAGCTTGCTTCGTGGGGATGTTGGCCAGTGACTCTTCATCGGCAAACGGCCAATGAAGCTTTTTGGTTCCTTCAAAGGCCTCGGTAGCATCCCGCGACGGTATTGGGAATGCGCATCGCTCAAAGAAGGGATAAAGATATAGGTAGATTGAGCAAGCCAGTGTCAAAGGCACAAGCAGGCCTAGGCCATTGCGCAGCCTCGACGCGACTAACATGTAACCGGCTGCATGTATAAACAGGCGCAAATGGTCAGCACAGCTGTCCTGTTGAAGAAGCGAAGTGTGTTGGAGGTGAAGGAAAGTCTAAAGCTAGCTGTGAAATAGCTGTGCCAAGGGTAAGGGGCTGGCATGTGAGGGCATCGCCGCTATCGATTTCGATATTTTGGCTTAGTCATGAAGCGCGACCTCGCTCCTCCCACGAAGCGCCAGCACGGCGTACTAAATCTCGATTACGATTCCGTCTACTCTCTGAAGCCTATTGCCTTTCTCTGGATGGCCACCTTTCCATTGTTCGCTGTAGTGATTATCGTGTCTTCGCTGTAGGTACGTATAGATGTAGGTACGTATAGAAAGACTGGGTCTTTGCTCTACTTGGGCCTGGTCGTGCCATGCGTCAATAGAACATACTACGATGCCGATCGCGAGCTGAGCTTACCCTGTACCGCAAATTTAGATTCATCGGCAACCTTTCGTGTGGACATGTGCAGTGCTAGATCTCTGGATGAATAGCGGTAGAACGGTCTGTTAGGTGTCTTAAAAAAGATTCGGCATTTATACCTAGTCAATGACCTTGCGGACACTGGTCTGTGACGTTCTGCTATAGATGTCGGAAATTTCAGTGCATGCAAGCTAGCTAGCACACGTGGCTTGGATGAGATAGACGCAGAATGAGCTACGACAATAAGAAAACCAATGCTGCGTTACGTATAAGCAACCCGCATTGTCTGCAAAGCGGATCGAGTGAGACACAGCAGCGTCCTAATGAATAATACACTCTCCCGAGAAGACCGACCGGCCGGAGCAGATATCCGCCACTGGACTTTTTTCTAGGAGAGGATATCCTGTTGTGGCGAGTGGGCAGTTTGCATAATCGCGTTGATGACGAATGGTGTTGCAATCACAAGAGGAAGGCGGTGTGCAAACGGGTGATTAATGCACCTAGCCGAATCTACACGTAAGCTAAGATTAGTAATTCTAGTTATAGCCTTAACA